CCATTGGGGTGGCACACTGAAATAGGTCGGGCCAAGTAAGTTAAATCATAAATCCAAGAAGCATCAACCAGAATGAAACAATGCAAGGAAAGCAAACCTTATTCATCATTCCAAACACCGAGAACCTTCATTTCAAAGATTCATTGAAGATTATCAATAAGTCAAAGCAGGGAAAATATAACATTAATTCCACAGATGAACTAAGGCATCTAGTCATTTTACCCTTCTTTGGCCCGGCCAATGCCCATATGGCTTGGATGTTTATCTGTTTGAAATATCTGCAGAGCCTCATGAGCAGCCGCATCAAGTTTAAGAAATTTGTTCCTGTTATAAATTTTGTAAAGGATTTGCAGGCACATTATCATCCCAAAAATTCTGGAAAGTACCTTTCATCAAGACAAAGAAACAGAACAGATAAAATGGAGGATACAATGGTACTTCCATGACTGAATCAATTGCGATTGACGCAGTCCCAGATTCATTTTGTTCCAGGGTTTCAACAATTCGTTCACTTTCTAATATCGCAAGAAGGCCCCCACTAACACGAACTTGGACTTCACTGCCTACATCCATCATCGAACTAAGCTGCAATATACAAGAAAAATGAAGAAACTTCATACAATTATAGATAGATTATTATACCAATTACTGAAAGTGTGTTAATGACCACAGAATTAGTTAGCATCGGAAAATATAAATAAATTATACAATATGATTGAGATTCCAACTTCAGGTTAAAGTAACTAAATGATCAAAATCCTTGTACAGGGGGATTAACATTTCCCACGCTGTAACTTACATAACAAATCCTTTCTTTGATGTTCAACCCATCATCCATCCCTGTTACTCGAAGATATACCAGTCTGCACAATATTGGGATAACAATCAGTGTAAAACAGCAGGTATAATAAAATAATAATGAGTCAAATAAGCTATTACATTTGAGTCAAGTAACTGGAACGGCAGAAACCAGTTTCCTACTAGACCATTTTTAAAATGGGGAATTCCTCACGTAACAAGTAATATGACTAACAAGAACCACATAAATAAGGTATAGATGGAGTTGATTACACTTTCTGTACCTATGCCACGCTTGCTCGTAGCTGAATGTTGAGCTCTTTACCAGCCGCACCATGGTATTCTCGTCAGCTCCATCTGCAGAGACAATGAAATTATGCAAGGCCATAGACTTAAGGGATCATAATTCAACAAAAATAGAGAGTGACATACCATTCTGCTGCAGAGCAGATACAAAGGATTCTTCACTTTTGGTGCTTGTGTAAATGATTGATGGCTTCGCTTGATATTTTACTGAAGATATATAACCAAGACAAAATGAAGCAATCCAAAAACTATTGTGGTAAGAACAGTGTAGCAGAACGAGGTGTTGCAACGTAATTGTAAATCAAGAACTCGCTATACCAAGCTTAGTTAGAACTGTGGTACAGCAATATAAGGGAACTCTACATGTAAAGATTCCATTCTGTTTCATACTGAGAATCTATACCCATATTAATCAAGGTAAAGTCTGAGCAATCTTCCTCCCAAAATTCTAGCACATGAAGCTTGCGTTCACTACAGTCGTAGTAAGAAACTCCAACTCTAGAGAAAGAATGTTTAAGTTAGATAACGGGTTCTTATTAAAACTACACAGAGAGAAGGATATGAGCTTGCCCATCTGATAAGCTAATAGACGCATTCAAATCAAGAATTTGAAGTCAAATACTAACCGCCTGCCATGCTGAATGCAAGCCATATAAACCTGCATTTCATTGAAAACAAATTGGTACATTCACAAAATTCACAAATTGGTAAGTGAGAATGCACAGGGTCTCAGAAATAATTGTTTCTGCGATCAAATCGACGCAACGACTAGATCCAATTACTTCCGATTAAACCAATCTAAGATCAAAATTGGGGAAAGCTAGGGTTTATCAGCATCTATACTACTGAGAGCTATACACATCGATTCGAAAATAGATCCGAGGTTCTGAAGTGCCGAATCCCTAAGTCACGGAAACTAGATATCAACAAAACCCTCCGATTTTTCAAGTGACGAACAGCAACATCAAAAGACGTCGCGAACGTTTGGGGTAAAATGTAATCGAATCGAAGATACCTGTGATTCCATTTCTGTGTCGTCTATTTCCTCCATTGCCGCTGATTAGAACGAGAGAGAGAGAGAGAGAGAGAGAGAGAGAGAGAGAGAGAGAGAGAGAGAGAGAGAGAGAGAGAGAGAGAGAGAGAGAGAGAGAGAGAGAGATCAGATATTTGGGGAAATGAAGTGAGTAGGGCGCCAAAATAGAAAAATCTTCGTCACTTTTAATTTCTAAAAGGAAAACAAATTTGTCATTGTTAACAAGGAATTCAAACTATGCCATGTTGAAACATACATGGAATTTCTATTATTATTTTTATAAATATAAATTGCAAGAAAAATTAAAAGAGTAAAAATATAAAATAATTAAGGTACTTCTTATTACTTCTTATTACTTCTTAGGACATCATTATTGCAGGGTTCTTAGAGTTAAGATTTATCAAGGAGGATATCTTATATAAGCTACCTTCTTTAATAAATCTTAGCCCTAAGTAAGCAATGTTTATCCTTCTCTTTCATACTTTTTCTCAAATTAATTATTATTTTAATAAAAAGCAACCTATAAAAAAGCACTGCTAGAGATTGTCATAGTTGTTAAAAAATATTATAGTAAAGTTTTAACTCGTTTTGAAATATAAAATTAATAATATTTTAATTATGAGTCAAAGAGATCAACACATCTTCGACCTTCTAATTGTGTAAATAAATTTCAGTTTCCTCTTGGTCAATTTTTGTCATATTTTATATTTTATGATTCTTTACAAATTTTAATTAAATTTCTCTTAATTATGTGTTTCGAACGTGGATCATATTTTTATTCACTATTTATGTGTAAAGTCTATAGTTATGAATGTAGATAACAATCCTTGTCCACCAAAATTATTTGAATTATGTTTTTTTTTAATTCTTATCAATCAAAATTCTTTGACATATGTAGTTTTGGATTTGGACAACAACTCTTGTCCATTATAATTTTTCCGAATATGTTCTTTTGAATGTGGACGATAAATTTTTTGAATGTAAGACAACAAACGTTTTTCAAACTAATCCAATTAACTTAGTTTTATGTTATTTTCATATATTTTCATATATATTATTCTCCCAGTCCCAACAAACGAATTTCTTATAGTCTTATACCTCCCGCTCTTCTTTAGAATCTGAAGCGGCAGAAATGCTGGCCTCCACTAGTTTTGAAATCACTTCCTGAGGTTTCTCTTTTTGCACAGCAGCAATAGACCCCCTCACAAGCTTTGTGAATTGTTTGTATACCTTTACCTCTTCTTCAAAATCTGATGAAACATAACTATTGGCCTCTACCATTTTAAGCGTTTCTTTATGAGCTTTTTTCTTTTTCACAACAAAAATACCAAGAAGGGAACCCAACAACATCTCTTATCTCTCACTCTTTCATATTCAAGCTAGTAGTAAATCCAACAAGATCTCTCAAGCTTATTATAAGAATCTATTGAATAAAAATAAAAATTTAAGACTAACTACCACCAAAACAAAACAAAAATAACATGGTTCTTATTTTCCTTTCCAAACTAATTTCGATTAAGTAAGATATTTATGGATTATTTTTTTATTTTCACTTTAAAGTGAACCCTTTAAACAAAATTACTATGTGAACTTGTTCAAAAAAAAAAAAATTACTATGTGAACAAAAATTACACACTCTCATGGCAGTTATGTAAAGTGGCAATTATGTAATTACCAATAAATAGGGGTCAAAGAGAAAAACACATCTTCATCCTTCTTATTGTGTAAACAAACTTCAATTTCCTCTTGTTCAATTTTTGTCAGATTTTGTGATTCTTTACAAATTTTGATTATATTTCTGTAAATTATGTGTTTCGAACGCTGGCCATAATTTTGTTCACACTATTTATGTGGAAAATCTATTGTTATGAATGTAGATAACAACCATTGTCCACCAAATTTGTTCAAATTATGTTTTTTTTTTCAATTCTTATCGATCAAAATTCTTTGAAATATGTAATTTCGGATTTGGACAACAACTCTTATCCATTTTTTTTTCAGATATGTTATTTTGAATAAGGACAATAATTTTTTTGAATGTAGACAACAAACTTTTTCAAACTAATCTAAATCGTATTAAGATCAAATTTTGACTTAAGTGGTTTTATGTTATTTTCATATATTAAATTTCTATTAGGACCAGAGAACTTTAACAACTAATAGCGTTCATATCATGGATGAGAACGTAATTAAGAAGAAAGCATTTAATCCAAGAAGAGAACCAAGTCTTGAAAGCATATAGGCCGGTTGTATATTATTCTAATATATTTTTCCTGTCTATTAATTGGCGTCAACATGTTAGATGAATATTTTACTACTCGTGTAAAAATTTAAACAACGAGATTGGATTATACAATGTGCCAGTGCGAGGTAGATGAGAAATCTAAAACTAGCTCTTTCAAAGAACTCAACAAAAAAAAAACAAAATTAGTGTAAAATAACAGTGTATGTATCATAAACATACAAAATGTATGGATCATACACTACAAAATGTAATGGTGGATCATACACTACAAAATGTAAAAAGGATATTAACAAAAACATTAATATAACTCTCGGACATAAGAATAATCTAAAAATCTCAGATGCATCAAGCCCTACAGCCAAACTAAAATATGAAAGGCAAGAAAATGAGTACAATTAAGTAGGTATTAAACACACAGTAGAATAAAAGAAGGGGTCTACTACATGTGGATGAGTAACATGTTTGTCAACACTGGTAGTTAGGGATTGCATTAAATTTTCCAACATGAATTAGATGGGCAGCAGATGAATTAATGGTAATTACTGATCACTCTAAAATTTTACTCTCTCTATTGTTATTCAATTCTTCGATTCTTCAGCTCATGCTACATGACCTATATAAACACCTTATTGGCTGACAGAGTTCATCATCATCACTTACAAACAAAAAAGAACACAAAGATCGACATGGCTTCCAAGTCACTCTTTCTTGTTGCCTTACTTGTCGGCTCTTTTGCTTTCACTTCATTTGCTAGTGTCGCCAACAGGAAGCTTAAGAATGGTCTCGAGGATCAAAAGACATTCTTCCATCATCGAGGTGGCCTCGGTGGAGGCGGTGGTCTTGGTGGAGGCGGTGGCCTTGGTGGAGGAGGCGGTCTTGGTGGAGGCGGAGGCCTTGGAGGAGGAGCTGGAAGCGGTTTAGGAGGAGGAGCTGGGGGCGGAGGAGGTTTAGGAGGGGGTGGTGGTTTAGGAGGAGGAGCCGGTGGTGGAGCTGGAGGAGGATTCGGTGGAGGAGCTGGAGGTGGTGCTGGAGGCGGTGGTGGTCTTGGAGGAGGCGGTGGTTCCGGAGGAGGATTTGGAGGTGGTGCGGGTGGCGGTGCGGGTGGCGGTGCAGGTGGAGGGTTTGGAGGTGGAGCTGGCGGTGGAGGCGGACTAGGAGGAGGAGTCGGAGGTGGAGCTGGCGGTGGTGGTGGATTTGGAGGAGGAGCAGGAGGAGGTATTGGTGGTGGATTCGGTGGTGGAGCCGGTGCTGGAGGTGGTTTCGGCGGTGGACATCATTGATGAGAGCTATAATATATCGACGTAAAAGCATCTGGAACGCAATGCATGGTTATGGTTTTACTTTTAACAACGTAATATGAAAAAGAAGAAAACAGTACTATATATTATTCATCTAAAGTTATTCGTTCCATGATTTTGTGTTATTATCGGGTTCTGATCAGAAATAAATGAATTAGTTACAAAATAATCGAGCTACACTTGGTGACTATCTAGGTCTATTATATATACACCTTCTTCAATGTTTCTTTGACCTGTTAATACAATTTGACTATATATATATATATTAGTTTACAGAAACGAAGAGGACAGATTAACGTTTAACCCTAAGAAAAAGATTCGATGTACATGTAAACATTAATTAACGACGATGTTACGACAATGCACGACAATAAGTAATTAAAGCCTTCTTTTACCAAAAACATGCCGAAACAAAAAGATGTACGTGAGCTAATAATTATATGTCCTACATGCATCATACTCCTAGTTATATTATTTGGTATAATATTTGATATATATATAAACCAATAAAGTCTACGTGGATTCATAGATAAACTTGAAACGTACCGTCTACATTGGATGGAATCAAAGCTCTAAATGCAACTTACTTAATGAAATCGTATAACCCAAATAAGAAGTAAAAACAGAGAGAAAAAGAAAAAAAAAATCAAGAAAATCATACTCTAATAACTATCGAGAGAATGAAAAACTTTCAGCACGAGTATTATTTTACTATATAACTTAAAACGATTTTGTAGGATTTTAGATCTGTTAAATTTTTCTCATGGTGTATATAAACTACAATATTTGACTGAGGTAAACGATATACTTCTAACATCGAATACCACATATCCGGACTATATTTTCAAATAGCTAACAAACCATGCATGGTTAGATAGATAGCAATAATTTTCTATGGTCCAATCTGGCCGTACTTATAAAAATAAATTTGATTAACAATACGCATAGTAATTTTGTGTCAGTGATGACATGATGTTGATATGTTACCATCCCAGATTAAAGTCAAGTTTTACATATGTAATTTGTTTCAAACAACTTGTCCTTTGGTGATATTGATGTGCAAAATATATATTCATCTTTAATTTTAGCCAAAACAATTCTGAATTAATTGATTTTGTGAGGCCATGCATGTATACAATTTTTATAATTTTTGACACCAAAATAAAAAGAAAGAAATGTTAGTATTTACAAAGTTTATCGGGTAATGGCAGCTTGAATCTCTTCAAGCGAACGACCACGAGTCTCGGGTACCATTTTCGTCACAAATAGGATGCCCACACCCGATATTATCGTATATATGAAAAACACACCTACAATTTTTAAATACCAACAAAATTATAAAAATTGATCAAATTCTAATAACTGGATTTATACAATAAGATATAGTTGTAAGAATGAAGAAGTGATCATTACCAGAAGAGCTCCACTGGAAGAGGAAGTTAAATGTGTAAGAGACGAACCAATTGCTAGACCAGCTAGTTAGGTTGCATAATGTCCCTGCTGTTCCCTTTATATTTATCGGTGTCATCTATATATAATCATCGATCCAACGAAACATAATGGCTAAGTTAGATTAGATATATACTGGTTATAAATTTGTACCTACATATTGAATTAACTTAAATGTGCAACTTATTATATTACGATGATCTTATATACATACTAGTGAAGACAAATGATTACCTCGGAGACCATGACCCATGGAATACCTCCTATCCCGATTGTGATCGAAGTTTGAAAAACCTACAACAAAAGTCAATAAAGTTATCTTAAGAAAAGTTATGAATTTATGTTCATGTATAAGAAAGAGGACGGGACGAAATTATTATGTAGTACCAACACTCCCATTAATGTTGAAATCGGGGTGTAATTTTCAAGTAAATCGTATCCCTGCAAATTAATTAGTTTTGATCATGCTTCAGTAATTAGTGTATATTGAAAAAATATATATAAAAGTAATAAATCCCACTTCAAGAATATAAAACTATTTATTCACTTATATATCGTTATAAAAAAAAAACCTGAAACAAAAACGATAGTCCTGTGATTAATGACCCCAAACACATCATGACCGTCGCAACCTGTAAATAAGTAATTCACATAAACAAAACGACGTTAATTAATTACTTCTGATTTCTCCATTATATATATACACTACATATATAGTGCTTTCAATAGCAATAAGGATTTAAGATAAGCTATATAATAACCGTTAAAAGAGATCGTCTCCCATATTTGTCTACGATTATAATTCCTAGAACGCTCGTCACGGACTGCACCACGGTCGAAACCATTACTCCTACGTTGTTAGGAAACCCTGCGCAATCAATTTATAAATTGGTATATTAATCGTTATTGATCATAATATGACTTTTTTAATGTTACACAAAATAATCATTTTCTCATTAAGAGATTAAATTTAAAGTGTACCCGATCGTTTGAAAATCGAGCTTAGGTAAAATGTATAGCCACTGAGACCTCCGAGTTGTTGTAGTACTAGCAATCCAATTCCCACCTACAAAAGATTACAGTAATCAGTAAAGATTTTTTCTTCAAACTAAAAGACACTAAAATTGATCAATATAAGATTCTTTACACTAATGACACGAGAATATCGTGGATTGAAGAGCTCGAAAAACCCATCTTCTTTGAATTTTTGAATATTTTCCATATATATCTGTGAAAGGAACAATCAACACATTCTTAAACTTCTTATACTTATCGAATTTAAAAATTAATGTATATTTCTTAAACATTTAAATTTTTACTTCGATTTCAGCAGCCTCTTTGGTGATATCGGTGTTTTTCCCCCGTAGGCGTTGGAGTGCAGCTTCCGATTCCTTTACCCGACCATTTCTAGACTATAATTTACAAATATACAAAACTGTCAAAAATTGTTTAATTTACTTGTAACTATATTTCATGTTTTATGTGTCTTATATATATGTGATAAGTTAAGTAATAGCTACAATTGCAACAAGAATTCATTTACCAGCCACCTAGGAGACTCTGGTATGAAGAATAAACCGATGAATTCTAAAACACAAGGAACTGTACCTGCACAACTCCAAACCACACAGCGTAATTAATTTATCAACTTGATCTAAATTATTGTTTTCTTTTTATCACACTTAGGCTAGAGTTTAAGATATTACTTATGAGAGCTAATTTTTGCCATGAAATGACTGATCCAATAAGGAATGTGACCGCGACGCTAGCACACATCACAAGCTATCAGCAAAACCAAAACAAATAAACTTTTACGATCTCAAAAAATTGAATTAACTAATAAACAGTTGTTCTTTGACGGTGGATTACCGCGTTAATCGCTGAGAATGCGCCTCGGATCTTTTTGGGAGCGATTTCTACAATGTAGACTGGTACCTATGAATAAAATTTGGAGTTAAACAATGAACTTATTGGTCGTTGTTGCTTGCTTGTAGTGAAAGTCAATAAACCCTAGTAAACTTAATTATGAGGCCAATTATTAAAATAAACGTACCACGTAAGAAGCCACGCCAGCTGCGACCCCGAGGAGAAGTCTTCCGATATCAAGGGACCAAGTCGCCTTAAAAAATTACAACCAATTTATTAGAAACAACGCCCACAAACAATTAATATGTCTTAACTTCTGATTTGAAAGATCTTTATTTGTTTGTATACAAATAATAGTCGTATTATTTTGGTAAAATTTGAAACATTCAAACGATTAAACTAATGTCATACGTAAATAAACAAAAGACTATTTATATATATATATATATATATATTTTTGTAAACCAGACTATTTAGATATATATAAAACTGAATGGTAACTTAGAAGTTAGAACATAGAAACCTGAGAGAAGGCTATCATAAGCCAGCCGGCCATGCAAAACGAGTTTGAAACCCATAAAGCCTGCTCATATATAAAAGGATCATTCATCAAAACGCTGTTTTTTCCTTTTCTATTCTTGTAATCATTAATATATCTAAAGAAACTATAATGTAATTGTAAAGTAATGATGATAAAATATAGCTAGTTTTGAAAGAGCTTACGCCTCTTCGACCAAATATATCAGCAAGTTTTCCCGACATCGCTGCTCCCACAAGTCCACCAATTGTTAAGACAGCTCCAAAGAATGAGAACTACATCATCCATGTATATACGGAACAACATAATTACTTTTTCTTCCTTTAATTCATATGCAGAAAAATGATAAATTCTATCAATTACTTAAACTCCTACGTAATTACCAAAAAATATTTTATATATATACACTTTTAAGTAAAGAAAATCTAAACTCAAAATAAATACAAGAACGGATCAAGGCAGGCTATGAAGGTGCGCAAATAAAACAACCGGCTTGTATTCCTTTAGCTCAAAAGTAAAAAATTATTCTTTTAAAAATCCACTATTTGTATATTTCTTTACCATAGTACCTCGTATCTAACACTGTAAGACTCTTATTATTAGTTATATATATATATATATATATATATATATGTATATGACAATCCATCTGTTATAATTTTGCTTAGGGCGAGTAAGTGATTAAATAGAATAATAACAGCAAACAGGGGAAATAAAATCAACAACTAAGCACTGACCTCAGCCAAAGAAAGGTTCAGTCCTGCCATAATCCCGGTTTGAGCTGGTGATGTAAAGCCGGCCTGCCAGTAATATAAAATACTCATGTGGTCATTAATCATTTATATAAATGTTAATTACGCTATAACTTATATTTTGGTTTCAAACTTATGATAACTCATGGGAAAACTATGTATGTAGTTCCAATAATTTACAGAAAAAAAAATATAGAAAAAACACAGAAAAAAAGAGAGAGGAAGAAGTGATCAAGATGAAGGAAACTTACGGCAGTGCCATAGGAAAAGGTGCCGCAGAGAGCAGTGAAGGTTGTGAAGAGTAGAATAAAAGTGACAGGACCATCACCGTCGGCGTCATTTACACGTACCCCTTTATCTGATTCAATGTCGTCTCCTTGAATCCTAACTTTCTGAAGAAGTGGTTCTTTACCCATGGCTGATTTGTGTGAGAGACAGAGCAGAGAGAGAGCAATGAAGGAAAAAGAAAGATTAAGATGAGAGAGAGAGAGAGAGAGAGAGAGAGTGTGAGTTTCCTTGGGCTCATTCCATTATATGTGGAATTAATATTTCAGAAACCATAGAGTATGACGTGCAAGTCTCAACAATAAAGTTTTTTTTTTTTCCTAATATAGAGAAACATCTAATACTTTTTTTCTCATTAGAACCATTCTTATATATGGTACATTTTTCTATAGCCAATTTGTCAGGTTTTATAATGCGGATTGTATTTTTTTTTTATCAGTGTATATAATGGTTTGATTTTTGAATATAGATATATTTTACAACTAAACCATATATTAAAAAATAGCAACCAATAAGTGAAAAAGAAATGCAAATGCTTCTTTGTACCATTAAATGTTATATGCTACTAGTATATATATATATATTTTAGCATTCAAGTTTATTTTTACGGCTATTATTGCATAGTAGTAAAACTTGAGCTAGTATAATTATACTTTTACAACTATAATTTGCTCCCCACCTCTTAGATCATCAAACGTGTATTAAAAAAAATGAAATCAAGTGACGTTAATTAAGGCTGGTGTGGTTGCTGTCAACATCTAGTGGTTATTGACATGTTTGAGTATTGGCATTTTTTTTTTAGCCATTGCAAAAGTTCAAAACTTGAAAGGTAAAGTTTATTTAGCCTCTCGGATCTCCCACTGACAAAAAATAATAAAATGAACCAACGTATGAATAACGTGTTCTATTGTTTACTAGTTGTTTACAACTTTACATGACTAGTACAATATATAATTGATTTGTTATGGGTTCGTACATTATAGTAAATGCTGATTTGGTTATAGAATTTGGAATCTCAAACATTTTGCGTAGGAATTAGTGGGAAAGCGATATGCCTATATAACTATGTCTTGGAAATAAAAACAAAGAAAGACAATCTGGGAGACACGACGACGTACGACTAATAGTAATGGGCAAAAGTTTCGTTCTCATTTGGGGAATCATGCTAAACATGGACTCCATCTAGGCACATTACGTTTCTGTATATAAATAGAATCTCTATGATTTTCAGCTAAAGACATTAGCAATTTGATGTATATAAATTTTGATAAAGATGATACTTCGTCCCTTTTTCATAATATCTTTTCATGTATATTATATTCCTAAGCATAAAATAAAGTTATAATCACAACTCAAGTTCACAAGTCACAACCAAAACATTGTTTTTTCTTTTCTTTTTCTTTCAGTTAAGTATTTTATGGGTTCACAATTTTGTTATATGTGAGGTATGTATAATATATGATTGGTAAATCAGATGTTCATGCACATACATATACCATACGATCCCTGAACAGCATAAGTAAGATGACCGGATCAACATCATAGCTAGCTAGACAGATAAAATGTCGATATCATATATGTATGTAGCTATCAACGGAATCTAAATATATATATATGTACAACCGCTGTTTGAATGTTCAAATAGAATTTAATAGAAGATTACACAAATCATTGGTTTTAATAATTTTTTTTGTATATTTTGATCAAGTCGCATTTTCGATATGATCGTTGAATGAGAGACTCTTGATATGTCAGAAACATTCCACACAATTCATTTAATTATCTCACTAAATATTTTTTTATGTTATTAGTTTGTAGTATGGAGAAAAAAACAAAAAGTACAGAAGGTTTATAAGTTTTGTATTTTTTTTTTTGAATAGCTACAGTATATAGATTTCAAATTCTTGTTGAGTCCACTGGGTTTCAAAATTAAACTTGTCAAATTCAATTTTTATTAAAAAGTTAGGTGATTTTTTTTTTTAATATTTGTATAAGGTCTTTATGCTTTTAATTTGAAAATACTTAATTAAACTGTTAAACATTAATGTACAATATGACAAGCCAAATATTATTCAAAATGGATTTCAACAAACCAACTAATACGATTTTCAAATACAAAACCTATAAGCCATTCTAAAATTCATGAGTTTCACAATTTTTTTGTTCAAGAGTTTCAAATTCATTAAATTCAAGAAATGTAGAGTTTCACATATTTTGTTTTTGTTGCTATCTCCTTGTTACAAAAATCTCATGAAATTAATATTTTTGGTTTAATAAGAATTATGATAATGATATATAGAAGCCACAAAAAAAAAAAGAGAGAGAGGGTAATTAAACCATCCGTTCCTTGAATCCTGAGAGCACACAAAGCATATGAGTATTCCATTCCAAATACTTAGTTATACATTATCAGTTACCATTGCATCAAGCAACTTCTTATTCTTTCTACCCATCAACACTTTTTTTTTTATATAACAACTTGAACCCATTTATTAATTAGTTTTGTATTTTGTTCCATTCTAAAATTTCTCCATGCACTAACACAAACATGTTCGTAGAGATGTTTCAACTTCTATTCACGGTCGTGTCAATCGAAGCCGTCCTGATTTTAACACTCGGGTTCGGGACACCAGCGAGAAGAGTGGTGGTGAAATTGTTAGACCTATCGAAGCAAGGTCGAGCACCTTTGGTTGCGAAAACGGTCGCAGCCACTATGCTTGTGTTGTTTGGCTCTGTTATGTACAGCACGATTCAAATCAACACAAGGGTCTCCGAGTCTGGTGGTGCAGCTAACCCGACCGATCAAGTCATGTTTGCGAATCGCCTCCTCGAAGCTTTCCTCATGGGTAAAATATATTAACACAAAAAGACCATTTTTCTTGTGTGTTTGTTCTAATTAAGATTCTTGACTTTTGTTTCTTTTTGTATAATGTGTGAAAAAGGGACTATCTTGTTCTTGGCAATGGTTATAGACAGAATGCATTATTACACAAGAGAGCTTCAAATCACAAGAAGAAACTTGGAGATTGCTGTCAAGAAGAGCAAAACTGGTGCTTGATTAAAAACCACATTTGGCATCCAAAAATCTGTAAATAGATAACATGTAATTGATACATTATCTGACAAAGTTATATAAAATATGTAATTTCAAATTAAAAGTAATAAATAGAAAAAATGAGAAAATCTCACAAGTCCATGTATCAATCGGTTGGGGATTTGACCGGGTTTAATTCGGTCGGTTTGGTTCAATATCCGAAGGCACGAGTGGACTCGCCGTTCTTTATTACACGAGTCGACTCAAAAACCTCTCTTATCTTAAAACCCTGAGTGTGAGTGAGGGAGTGAGTATGAACAAATCTTCTTCGTAGTATCTCTCTGTGACACCAACAAAGATGGTTTCGCTCTCTAATCAAAGTAGATTTTGTTTCCACCCAAACAATCTCTTCGTTTCCGATACAAGGCGTCTGGGAATCTCAGGGGTCAATTTTCCCAGGAAAATCAAGGTGAACATCACTTGCTTCGCCGCCGAGAGACCACGCCAGCAGAAGCAGAAAAAGAAGAGTCAGGGCCAGGGCACTAGCGACGCCGAGGCTGGAGTTGACCCAGTTGGGTTTCTCTCTAAACTCGGAATTGCTGACAGAATCTTTGCTCAATTTCTCCGAGAAAGGTAGAATAAAGCCTCAATTTTGATCAAGTAGAGTTTTAACTTGTGCATTTGCTTTTGGGGAACAAAATAGAAAAATAGCTCAATTTTGATTACATTTGTGTATATAAGCGTGTTCGTTTGTTAAATCTGCAGGCATAAAGCTTTGAAAGACCTTAAAGATGAGATTCTTAAACGCCACTTTGATTTTAGAGATCTTGCTTCAGGGTATGTATCCTCTTTGTCCCAGCTTCTATCACCAGAAGACTTTAATACACTTCTTTATCAACTAGCAAGTGTCTGAAGCTTCATTGTTTATGCTGTGCAAGAATATAAATTTTCTACCAGACCAGTGACTGATGTGTATCCACAATGGTTTGGCTAATAAATTGCCTTCTTTTCCTTGTAGATTTGAGTTACTGGGGATGCATCGACATATGGAACATCGGGTTGACTTTATGGATTGGGGTCCAGGTTCTGTCCCATGCTCAAATCTTAGAATATCATTAGTCTGTTTCTTTACTTCCATTGCGTTCTTTCTTCATATAAAAAAGTTTTCAGTTTGAAAATGCTTCGTTAGAGGATTCAGAACTGATCAACAGAATGAATGATGTTGTTGAAACTTGCTATAATAATTTGAGCCTGTTGGGATGCTTTTTCCCCGCCAGTGATTTTCTTGAGGATACTAACTAACCCCAAATCCAGGTGCTCGTTATGGTGCTATAATCGGAGATTTCAACGGATGGTCCCCTACAGAAAATGCCGCCAGAGAGGGCCTATTTGGCCATGATGATTTTGGGTATTGGTTCATTATTCTTGAAGATAAGTTAAGAGAGGGTGAAGAACCAGACGAACTTTACTTCCAACAGTATAACTATGTCGATGACTATGATAAGGGTGATAGTGGTGTATCAGCCGAAGAAATCTTCCAGAAAGCTAATGATGAGTATTGGGAACCTGGTGAGGACCGGTTTATTAAAAACCGCTTTGAAGTTCCTGCCAAACTATACGAGCAGCTGTTTGGCCCGAACAGTCCACAAACATTAGAAGAGCTAGGGGATATACCCGACGCAGAAACAAGATATAAACAGTATAAAGAGGAGCATAAAAATGATCCACCAAGTAATCTACCTTCATGCGACATCATTGATAATGGTCAAGGAAAACCATATGATATTTTTAATGTAGTGACATCTCCAGAGTGGACAAAGAAGTTTTATGAGAAAAAACCTCCAATTCCATATTGGTTAGAGACACGCAAAGGAAGAAAGGCATGGGTAAAAAAATACGTTCCAGCTGTTCCACATGGAAGCAGGTATAGATTGTATTTCAATACTCCTGATGGACCACTTGAACGGGTCCCTGCTTGGGCTACATATGTGCAACCAGGTATGCTAGTATCTGGTATTTTTACGGTTAGGAGTAGTATAAGAAAGATAACAAGTTGCATAGCAGTAATAGACAAAAGGTAGCAAGCATTAAATTTTTTGTAATCTGATGAAACATGCTTAAAAGTATCTGCACAATCAAACAGAAATGGAAGGAGTCCTTATTATACTTTTACTCTCTGCTTTTCCTGTCCAGAGTTACTAGAAACTTTGTAAGCACTAGATTAACAGTCTTACCGAACAATATTCTTCAGAGAAGTTGTGAAGCCTTTCTAGGGTGCCTGATGTTTATATGCAGCAATTCTTTAAAAACACGTTTTTATGTGTTACGTTTATATATCCATGAAAATGTATTTTGTTTATGTTTATTTTTTCTTCAATATACCAAACATTAATTCACTTTTCTCTAAAATAGAGGATGAAGGAAAGCAAGCTTACGCAATTCATTGGGAACCTTCTCCTGAATCTGCATACAAGTGGAAGAACTCCAAGCCAGAGGTTCCAAAGTCCTTGCGCATATATGAATGTCATGTTGGGATCAGTGGGTCCGAGCCAAAAATTTCATCTTTCGAAGAATTTACTAAGAAGGTACATCCTTATGCATTCATTGTATTCTTACTTTCTTATTATGCACACATCTTAGTTTTCATGTGGTTTATCAACATCAGGTCCTTCCTCATGTGAAAAGAGCCGGATACAATGCAATCCAGTTGATTGGTATCCCTGAGCACAAGGATTATTTTACTGTTGGTTATAGGGTCAGAGCTAAGCTTCTCACACTTAAACCTTAATTTATCAATTCTGATTCTGTCCTTGTTATACGTAGTTATTCACCTCTATTATCTTATGATTGTATCATCTTTGGCTTTGTTGTTCACTGTGCATAAAAGGTTATGAAGGTAGTTGCCTAATGACTGGTAAAAATGGACCATACTGTTAGAATAGAGAGAAACGATTAAAAATATGGGAAAAGAAGATAACCAGAATTCCAAGTACATTAGCTTTTTTGAATAATTTTCTTACAAACTATTAAGGAGACTACTAGTTATATCTCTAATATCTTTGAACTGAATGAATGAAATTATGAAAAGTATATACTCGCCATAATTGTTATCGATTGCCATTTCAGGTTACTAATTTCTTTGCTGTCAGCAGCCGATATGGCACGCCAGATGATTTCAAACGCCTGATTGATGAAGCACATGGTAAGTATTTCTCATCTCTCTTCATTTCTTGATGTTGTAAAACCTTGGATTCAAACATGTAGTTAATGAAGCACACGGTAAACCTGAACTAATCTATATACAGGCCTAGGAATTCTTGTCTTTTTGGACATCGTGCATTCTTATGCAGCAGCTGATCAGATGGTTGGGCTTTCGCTCTTTGATGGTTCCAATGATTGCTATTTTCATTATGGTAATTTACTTTTTGAGTCATTTGGTATTTATAACTGGAAAGCATGGAACATAAACAACTAATGTTGTTCATAATCTTTTATAAGTCTACATATGACATATTGACATTATGCATGCCCGGCATAGATGAGTATGAGCGTTTCTAAAAACAAAATGTTCCATTTTTCATCATGCACATAGGTAAAAGAGGGCATCACAAACACTGGGGCACCCGTATGTTCAAATACGGTGATTTGGATGTTCTTCATTTTCTGATATCAAATTTGAACTGGTAAAGGCAACTTCATTGTTATGTGGTTTATTCACATTGTATTGGTTGTATTCATCCTATTGGTCGAGTAGGAAAGTATCTTGCACTGTTGGTTTAGGAATCTGATCCTGTTGCAATTGGCTTTTGTAGGTGGATTACAGAGTATCAAGTTGATGGTTACCAATTTCACTCGCTTGCCTCAATGATTTACACGCACAATGGTTTTGCTTCTTTTGACAATGAATTGGACGAGTAAGACATCTGTATTTCTTTAAGTGCTACGCTTCTGTGTAATTTGGATTTTGGTGACAGTGGGACAAATTGCTGATGTCTGTCCTGTGCAGCTATTGCAATCAGTACGTTGACCGAGATGCGTTGATGTACCTCATTTTGGCCAATGAGATTCTGCACGTTCTACATCCAAATATAATAACTATTGCTGAGGATGTAAGCTACACATCATTCTTTTTTGTTTTGGTCATCCTTTTCGGTAAAGCTATTGAATAACCTTTTTATCCTTATTGAATTTCTTTGTGTTAATCGATAGTATTGATGGTCCTAGCTACTGACACCACTTTCATCATTGAACATCACTAAGTCTCTGTAGTATGTTTCTGAACAAAAGAAATTATAAATGATCTCTAGTTTTTAGTCTTGCGAGTGTTGGTTAGTAGAATTACTATTGTACTACCAGTTAGTGAAAAAATTTCAGGCCTTCTTCATGAAACATGTATATATGTGCTTTCTCATGTACAAGACATGACAGTAACCATAATGTCGACTAGTTTGTGTAAGCCAATTTAAATTGATCATAAGCAGGAAAAAAGTCTGCGATGAATTTATCTCTTATGAATGTCAGATGTATCTATGGGTAGAACGTATAAGATTCTTCTAAATTTTCTAGATTTTTCTGTTGATAATCTGAATCTTTGGGATTCACTATCTACCCACTTATGGAACTTAATAAAGTTTCATTTTGCTTTTAGGCAACATATTACCCTGGGTTGTGTGAGCCAGTTTCTCAAGGTGGACTTGGATTTGATTATTATGTGAATCTTTCTGCGTCAGAAATGTGGGTTTCTCTCCTTGACAACGTACCGGATAATGAATGGAGCATGAGCAAGGTTATAGCTCTGAAATTTCCATTTTTATATATGACAGAACAATAGTTTTGTCTCGTTCTCTGATTTCTAGCCAGTTCTGCAGATTGTCAGTACATTGGTGGCTAACAAAGAGTATGCCGACAAGATGCTCAGTTATGCCGAAAGCCACAACCAAGTATATACTTTGTACCTTTAGACGTCTTAAGCTTTTTCATACCTATTACACAACTATACTTTTAGGTTGCATTGACATTGCTGTTTATTATACTTCCACCAGTCCATATCAGGAGGGCGTTCATTTGCCGAAATCTTGTTTGGCGGAGTCAATAATGGTTCTCCTGGAGGATTACAATTGCTAGACAGGGGAGTTTCACTACATAAGGTACCCTTTGTTACTCCTTTACACACTCCTTCCCCAACTTGGCATACCTTTATCATGATTAGAACACAGAGTGAGATTAAATGTTATTCTGAATTGTGAATTCAAAAGTTAAAAAGATGAAATCTGGAAGATTGTTGAATATCTGCCCTCTGTTTTAATTAAACTAGAGGCCTCTAAATCCTCCCTGCCCTTTGTTTCCTAACTTCTCTGGTTTTATTATATCTTTACTTTTGAACTACAGCTAAGTTCACTTCTGTACAAAAATATAAGATTTCCCTTTGTTGTACCCAACTTCCAGCTCTAGAGTATGCTTCTCAACTTTGAGTCGTTAATTTTTAATTCTCTGAGTAGCTAGCTGCTGCATTGATCCAATCAAATGTGTTTTTTTTTTAAATATATTTGACATTACAAGGTGGTGAATCAAACAGTGGAGTACATCCTTCTATTTGTACATTTGTAAATCCAGTCTTGTTGTCTAAAAGGTTTAGCTGAGGAGAAGAAGATTTTCTTATTTCTAAATCCTATGAGCTGCATCGAGCTCATTCATGCTTTTGTCTCACTTGTATTCTGAAAACTTCGTTTCTTGTCATTGCTTGAACCAGATGATTAGACTTATTACGTTTACAATTGGTGGCCGTGCTTACCTAAATTTCATGGGAAATGAATTTGGACATCCTGAGGTAACTCTCCTAACTCTCACTGTTCCAAAGACATCATCTTCAAGGTTCTGACATTTCATCCTTTTGTCAGAGGGTTGAGTTTCCAACGCAGAGCAATAACTTCTCATTTTCACTTGCTAACCGCCGCTGGGACCTGCTGGAAAGTGGAGTGCATCGTCACTTGTTTTCCTTTGACAAGGTATTAGTCTTAACACCTAAAAGTACAGCTTCCATCGCCATGACTTTGTTAGCATCTCTGAAAATTTTCTTCTGTAACTTTCATAGCAATTCAATAATGTGTATTGGCTATAAAGAAGGCGAATGAATATTAACAAGCTGTGAAAGTCTCAAAAACTTTAACTAAAACAGATTTACTGCCGATAATGCTCATCTTATATCAGAAGCATCTAGTTGTATATCCGGATTCCTTATTAAATAGTTACTGTACCCATCCTTATATTGCATATTCACATGTTAGAAGTAGAAAGTATTCCAAGCGTATTCCCTCTTGCATCAGAAGAAATGCTTCTAATACTGATCTCATTCTCTATTTGTAGGACCTAATGGACTTGGATAAAAGCAAGGGTATTCTTTCAAGAGGTCTGCCCAGCATCCACCATGTGAATGATGCAAATATGGTATTTGAATCCTTTCGCGTTTTCTTTCCATTTTTTTCTTTGGGTTTAGGGTATAAACCAGAAATTAAGTCGTCCAAGTACCCACTGAATTGGCTTCTCTAAGTTCCTGAAAGTCACTGGCGTGCTACTGTTTGCATATGCCTTTATATACAGATGTTTTTCCAGCTAAAGCAGAAAAGGAATAGAACCAATTGCCTTCATCTTTTGTAATGGGGTTTCTTTAAACACATCTATAGAATTATGAAGTCAGATAATAACAGTGTATGCCTTAGCAAAAGTGGGACTGCCAAAGTATGCATCAGAAATGAAAGGGTTTGGACAGTAAGCCTGCTTACAAGTCAACTAATTGTTCATCATCTACAGGTGATCTCGTTCTCGAGGGGTCCTTTCTTATTTATCTTTAACTTCCACCCATCAAATGCATATGAAAAGTATGATGTTGGCATAGAGGAAGCTGGTGAATATACTGTAAGTTTTTCCATTCTCTGTATAGATTGCACCCTTCATCTGTCATTTTGTAAATAAGAGTCCAGCTGAAACAATTGATTTTTTCATGAAAAATAGTTGCTATTGTTTTCTGCATTCGTCTACTCATGGATAAAACACTTTCATTACTAATATGCATTTCACCTGAGAATATTATCTGGATTCTGCAGATGATATTGAACTCTGATGAAGTAAAATATGGGGGTCAAGGGCTTCTAACTGAGGACCAGTATCTCCAACGGTCACTCAGCAAGAGGTTTGTAATTATCACATAGTTTGTTGTTGTAAGATCCTAGTTGTCAAAGAAATAAGGACATTGCCTGTTTATCATATTGTACCAAAACCACATTTGTGCAGGATTGATGGTCAACGAAATTGCTTAGAGGTGTTTTTGCCAAGCAGGACTGCCCAAGTCAGTTCTCTCCCTCTATATTTATGTTATTCACTGCCTGATTGATAGTATGTTAGACACTTGACCAGGTCATATATTGATTCAAACTCTAATTTCAGGTTTACAAGTTGACCCGGATTCTCCGTATATGATCCTTTCTATGTATGTTGCGTACAAACACCAAGTTTGAAGTTTGTATGAGAGGCTAGCTCTGAACCCAAGGTCAGTACCGTGGGGTAATGTTATATAGACATGACTCGTCCAAGAAATGATGGCAGTGGAGATGATATTCACAGAGAGATGAACAAACAGAATTTCATTAGAAGGCAACCCCAGGACGACTATTTCATCTTGTGGTGTAGATCAAGTAAACAAATCCATCGTCTCTGATCAGCTGCATCATGTAATGAGAAATTTAACAAACGAACATCTTTATCTTTATGCAAAGCTTTGACTGATGTGATGTAGTGACTTTCTAGGTAGAGAGACTCAAGTTTGTGTATTGTGTACTTTGGTAATTTGCCAATTTGGTATATATAAACTGGTTAATGCATTTCTCAACAAAATCATTGCTTTCCACAAGAGAAGAAGCAATCCAGCTGCTTAGACATATTGTTTACCTAGTCAAAAAATTCTAAGGCAAACAGGTAAAAAATGAGCTTAAGCAGAAGACTGTTGTGCTTGTGAAGCATCCAAAGAAACTTCTCTGAAAAGGTCATCATAGGAAACAGGGACTCTGATCCTCTCATGAACAGGTTTCCTTTCTACTTGCGGTTTGGATTCAGTCTTCTCAGCTACTGGCGTATCATACATCTCATTGACAAGAGCTTCATCAGCAGATGCATTAGCAGAGGCAAGTCCTTCGGAGGAGATACCCTGATCTCTTTTCGGCCTCGTGTTTGGGTGCCTAAATTGCTTCTGCAAAGTTTGAATAGTATATAATACACAGAGAGGTATAGGAAAGAAAACATGGTATAGCATTTTGTATTAAGATAATAGGCAGGAACAAACCTCAAACTCTTTAGTCTTTTTCATAATCTCTCTGTGAGCTGCGGGCTGTCTCGCTTTGATGATGTTCCACAATACACCACCACCTGTCCGTTTCCTACTGCCATCAGCAGTCACTTGACCCCCACAGGTCTCAACTGCTTCCACCTAAGACAGAAACATATTACTTGCCATCATTAGTTATATGTTAAAACCTTTGGCATGACTCTTGCAAAGCAGAATAAATATATTCCTAACCAACTTCAAGCCAACAGAGAGAGCATTAGAGCAATTCACAAAGCATGGTAAGATAGACAGTCATCTCTTTGACACTGTTGGTCTCGCACTCTCACTTATAGATGAATGACACTGTAGTAGTCATAAAAAAACCATCTATCCTCACATGGTGTAATCCACACTATCGACATCAATAAAAAAAGAGAAAACACTGATATGCACACGAGAAGATGAAAATATCAACCTATAACATATGAAGTTATCATCAGCTATATCTCAGCGCAATGCACAGTATTTGAAGCAACAAAGAACGCTCCAACTAGAAAACATCTTGAAGAACTGCAGGTGGAGACAATATAGCTAAACAAGCTTGCACTCATGCTGGTCGCACACAGATTAAACAGTCTTTGGACTGCAAAAACATAGAAAACATCTTGAAGTAGTGTATACAATTAATACCTCATTGACAAGATCACTTAAGGCAGCCATTCCAAGACACCCAACTGCTGTGTATACCATGTAAGACTTCTTTTCTTTCAGGCGTCTACAGGTATCCCTAACAAACCTGCAAAAACAAACCATTAAAACTATGAGCAAAGTTTCAAACTTAGCCAATATCAGGAAACTCCACCAAGATTTTCCATAACAACATAAACATATAGACAAAAGAATCAGTTACCAGTCTACACTCATGGGTTTGTCCCTCACAGGGCCCTTTCTCTTTTTCTTCTTCTTCTTTTTGTTCTTGTTTGGCTGATCCTGTCCACTCTTCTTACCCAAAACCCCTCCTTTATCTTTCTCTCCATCACCGTCACCATTTCGTCCCTCCCCAGAATCTAAACCATGCTCCACAAGAATCTCTCCTTCTTCGACATCAACCATGTCAACATCCTCCATGTTTTCAAATCCGTCTTCTTCATTAATAGCATCCAACAGACTCTCTTCCCCCTCCATGATCAAACCTACATTTCAACCCAATATCAGAACAACACTCACACCGGAAACCCAAATCCATTAAATCAACACTCCGAACCCATTTTATCTCTCTCCAACATCCAAAAAACATTCGAATCAGTCATCAAAATCGCAATACAAAAACCAAAATTGCGAGCAGTCACTAGAAAGCGCGAAATAAACAGAGTAGAAAGCTAACCTTAGAACTCCCTTCGGCCTTCGATCACCTGCTACACTCGAAATTCATCAACAAAGCACACACCTCATCATCGACCCAATGCTAAGGAAGACAAAACTCAGTTTTTAGGGTTTAAGCCAAATAAATATTTTGTACCCAAAAAAAAAAAAAAAAAAAAACACGATTTTAATTCTTTTCCTAATTTGTCCTGAAGACTATACTAAACTAGTCAATGAAAAAAAGAAAGTCAAAAGTAAATAGAATTGGGAAAATACAAAAAAGAATAATAAAAACATCATCAGTGTCGCTTTAGATTCTCTCCTCTCCCATGGATCACTTTTTCTCACCGGAGTACAATTTCCCGGCGATCACTCGCTGTAACTTATCCAACCCACGTCCTAATCTTCCACCAACGCCACCTCCACCCGATATCCACCGCTTCTACAATGCTCTCTCCCCATCACCACCAACTGTTCCGGTTTCGCCGGAGATGGAGTCTATGGAAGCTGTGGAGGAGATTCTAAACTACAAATTCAGGAACAAGAGTCTTCTCAAGGAAGCGCTTACGCACACCTCTTGTCCAGACCATCCTTCTTACGAGCGGCTTGAGTTCGTAGGCGATAGTGCTATTGGTCTAGCCATCTCCAATTACTTATACCTAACGTACCCTAGCCTTGAGCCACACGAGTTGTCTCTCTTGAGAGCAGCTAATGTTAGTACTGAGAAACTCGCTCGTGTCGCTCTTAATCATGGTCTTTATCGATTTCTTCGACGCAATGCTCCTTCCTTAGATGAAAAGGTAATCCCTATGAAGAGCCTTAGGTTGGAACAGAGTGATTCTTGTAGTGAAACGATTTAAACTATCGTAAGACTGAAGGAGCTCTTAGATTAGATTGTGTTTGATTGCGAGGACATGTTCTTGTAAAGTTGTAATATTCTCAGGAAGTTGTGTGTTTTTGGTGTGTCATTTGTTGATAGGTTAAAGAGTTCACAGAGGCGGTGGGGAAAGAAGATGATCTCTCAGTGGCACATGGTGGATTAGTCAAAGCCCCGAAAGTTCTTGCTGACGTATTGGAGTCTCTAGCTGGAGCTGTTTATATTGATGTCAATTTTGATCTAGAAAGACTCTGGGTGGTCTGTGTCTACTTCTTCTTTAGATCTCTACTTATGTGTCTTGTCTTTTGTTTCTGAAAGTTAAAACTTCTTACTGTGGCTTTGCAGATCTTTAGGGGTCTTTTGGAACCAATAGTTACACTGGATGATTTGGAGAAGCAACCTCAACCTGTGTCTATGCTTTTTAGAATATGTCATAAGCATAAGAAGCGAATCAACATCAGATATCGGAAAGATGGCAGTAGCAGCATTGCTGATATATATATTGATGATGAATTTTTGGCTTCTGGGAGAGCTGAGAATAAAGATATCGCAAGGCTGATCGCTGCTAAGGAAGCGTTACGCAAGCTGTCAGAAGTTATGCCCGTTGAAATGGTTATTGATGAGGATAGTATAGGCATTGAGCTTAAACATGCGAAAACGAAGTTGAATGAGATTTGCTTAAAGAAGAAGTGGCCTAAACCGATCTACAGGTATTATCTTACTCCTATATTTTCACACTCTCTTCCATTTGCACTAAGACTACAAAGACCATGATCCAAAGTTAAATTGATTTGATCTTTACTCTTTTCAGCGTTGAGGAAGAGAGAAGCTTGGTACAAGGAAAATTATTTGTTTGCTCAGCTAAGATTAAGATCCCAACAGAAGGAAATACATTATACATGAAGGGAGATGAACAATCCAAGATAAAGAAAGCAGAATGCTCCGCGGCTTACCACATGATTACAGCCTTGAGAAAATCACATTATCTCTAATGGTATTGTATCGTTTGTAAAATTATATAGTGATTTTACCTTGAACCAAAACACCCTGTGACCACTTCTGGTTCATTCAAATTGGATTTTCTTAATCTTCTTATAAGGTGACAGTTTATGACAAGAAGCTGTGTCTTATGTTTTAGGCAAATGACTACATATGTGTTTTGTTTTTGTTTGGTTTTCTTGCTGTTTTTTTAGTCCATGGGTGTCTTGTCTTTTATAAAGTGCAATACTTGTAAGTTGTAACTACTGCTATTGGGGGAAAAATATCCCAATCATTTTCTCTGAATAGCTATGGCTAGCTAACACTAGTCATCTGAATCTCTTATAGTGGGAGGTCTAAGTCTAACACCATTCATCACTTTCGATTTCATGTTTTTCTTCGAACCTACTGGCTTGGGCTCACTAGTCTATCTTAACCCCACTAAGGGGAAGTTTGGAGTCGAACTAAGCCATTTGCTCAAAGATGCTTATCCCTCTGTAATGTGTTAAAATATAGTGAAATAAATATTGCTCTGCTTTACGCGCTATTTGGTCTATTTGACATTGATATAACGTAGAGGATCTGAGGTAAATTGTTAACACAGGAAGAATCAAAATCTTAACATTAAAAATGAAACCTCTCTTTCTCTCATATCACAACAGCCTTAGCTCAAAGAACACAAAGGACAAAAAACAGAAGTGAAAAAAAAAAATCCAAAACACAAGCAATCCGAGTTTTGAGTATCTTCCTCTTTATGTGTTTTTTTTTGTCTGAACAAAAGATTAATTCCGCTCCTGACTTTCTGGATTAGATACAAACAAAATGACTTCCAGGAGCAATGTCCACTAGAACAGCCGCGGTTGTTGTTGTTGTGGATTTCCACTTCTCATCATCGCGCAGAACTCTTCATAGTTGATTCTACCATCCTGCAAGAGGAGCATCAAAACATTATGGTCAAAGTCTAGTTTCCTTGAAAGAAGAAGAAGATAAAGAGGAGACTTTTATTTCAACTTGCATTATCAGAGTCGACATCTGAGAGAACTTCTTTGATTGTTGCATCATCCCCCATTCCATATTCCTTCAATGCAGCTTCCAGTTCATCAATTGTAATGTATCTGTGTGCACATTTTGATCCCAAAAAAGCTCACCATCTTCCTTATAAATATATCGGTGAAGAACTGAAGATCAACAAAATCCGAGAAAAACAGAGCTACTTACCCGCTGCCATCTTTGTCAAAATGTTGGAATGCTTTGTAAAGATTCTCATTACTTTCAAGCCTGTGTCTATGCATTGTTGCAGTGATAAACTCAATGTAGTCGATTGATCCATTCCCATCAACGTCAGCCTAATCAAAAATCCGGGAATCTGAGTTCTCAAAGGTAAGAAATGGAATGTAAGAAAATAGTTTCGACCAACTTACTGCATCCATGAGCTGCTTCACTTCTGCCTCCGTGAGTTTAGATCCCAATTTGGCTAATCCTTCTTTCAGTTCTTCATAAGTGATTGTGCCACTGTTATCTGTGTCTATGTTAGCAAACATTGCCTTCAATCCTTGGATTTCTTCTGTGTTAATATTCTCCGCTATGACCTATAGAATCTCATAATGAGCATAACGAAAAAGGACACCAGATTGTACCACAGGAACACATTTCATATTTGTATATTTACCTTTAAAGCAAGTTTCTTTAGCTTATTCATTGCTCTAAATTGTTTCATCCTTGAGAGAACAGCACTGTCAATTGGCTTGTCCGATGCTTCCCCACCTTCTCTAAGCCATGGATGCTCTGCAAAAAATAGAAAAGCAAGTCTCTGGATCAAGAATGTCCGATATTGGAAACTTTCTGAACCTCTCATTGTGTTGTGGCTCTGTAAAATGTCTTTAAAAGGTTATGCGGGTTACTTACGAAGAACATCAGCAGCGGAAATCCGCCGTTTTGGATCCGCAGTCAACATTCTACGCACCAAATCCTTGGCACTGCTGGAGATTGACGGCCATGGTTGGCTCTCAAAGTCGATATGGCCTTCCAATATAGCATCAAATATACCTTTCTCGGTTTCTACATATCAACCATGTTTATCTGTCAGCAACACATAAACAAAAATGGCAGAGCAAGAAAGAGAAAGAAAATTAGCGCATTACCAGCCCAAAACGGGGGCACACCACTGAGTAGAATGTATAATATAATTCCAGCACTCCAGATATCAACTTCTTTTCCGTATCTACGACGTAAGACTTCAGGAGCAACATAGTATGCACTGCCAACAATATCTCTATACACTTTTCCTGTAAAGAAGAAGAAGAAGAAACAACCAAATGATGAACAGTAAGAAACATCAAAATTTACAAATAGTTATCTCAACAAGTGAAGTCACGGTTCATCAGATTGTGTTGTCTCTATATGCCCTAGTCTGAATATCAAGTAAAGTCTAATCTTTATGCAATTCACAGAACCAAGAGACGGAAGACACAAGTAATATAACAAAAACCATTTACTCATCTATGTCCTAGAGACAAATCAACTGCATCAATGTACTAAAACCCCCATATGATGATGATTCAACTCAACCAATAAACCAAAAGAAAAAACAGGAAAGAAAACTGTCATTTTACCCTCTTCAATGAAGACAGACAAGCCGAAATCAGTAGCTTTGATCAAAGCCTTCTCATCTTTGCTAGAAAGCAAGAAATTCTCAGGCTTCAAGTCTCTGTGCAACACACCCATGAAATGGCAAATCTTGACAACATTCACAATTTGTCTACAGACAGAAGCAGCTGCTCTCTCACTGTAATGTCCCTTAGCTATGATTCTATCAAACAATTCACCACCAGCACAAAGCTCCATCACCAGATTCACAGCTTTCTCATCCTCATAAGCTCCTTTAAACTCCACAATATTAGGCTGGCCACTCAAGTGCTGCATTATCTGAATCTCTCTCCTCATATCATCCTTGTCAGCTTTCGTGACCAGCTTCTTCTTCGAGATCGATTTGCAAGCGTACTTCTTCCCCGTCGAATTCTCAGTGCACAGATACGTTACCCCAAATTGCCCTCGACCTAGCTCTTTACCCAATGTGTAGAACAGCTTCACATCTTCGAAAGCGTTCTCTAGTATCGAATTGCTCTTTGTGGTCTTGGGACTTGGCGCTGGTGCTGGAGCCGCCGTCCTCCACGGTGGCGGTTGACTATTCCCGGAACCTGGTTTCTCCGGCTGCTGAGTGCTTCTCGCCTGTGGAGTATACGACGGTGGATCTTGGTTGGTCACTCCCACTTCAACTGATCTATTGGTATGCCCATTTTGCTGCGGCTTCATCAATCCATTGTTCTTGGCAAAACAATTGCCCATGACTCTAAAAAGCTAAAGTAGCTCAAACTCCGACGACCCAGAGAAGAAAGATCAGAACTTCAGCTAAAATAGCTCAAATTCCGACGACCCAGAGAATAAAGATCGCAACTTTTGTAAGAAGCCAAATTTTGAAGATGATCAAGAAGAAGAAGAGACAGCAGAGAAATTAAAAGGAAAATGAAAGTGCGGATTTTTTTTAAAAAATATTGGGGGAGAATATTTTAGTATAAAGACGTGGAAGCATCACCTCATCAGATAATATACCTTAATTGCATCAAGCGAAGTAATGTTCGCCAGATGGATTGGTGAGAAAACAAAACAAATGAATAATATACAAAATCAAAAGAGTTGAAAAATTGCAGAATGTAACATGAGAAGCATGAAATTATTAGTAGATGAAGAAGAAGAGAAGTGGTGGTGGCTTCCTATTATATAAGAGGACGGCTAGCTTTATCTGAGTAGATAGATGTTGAAAAGTACGACGACTCATATCAAAACCGAGTCAGACTCCTAATACTTCCATAGACCATAGACTTTTTTTGTAAGTTGGTTAATTAGTTTAATTTGTTCTTTTATCTTTGAATGGTTCCTGGTCAAATAAGAACGATGAGAAACATTTGTTCTATTTATCTTTTTGGCTTAAATCTTGTGTCTGAATAATATATGTAACATCTGGAGCTAAGCTAATCTGAGCAGCTTGAGTATAAAAAACAGAATTGATGTTTTGATATTGGCACTTTTGCTTACAGTAAGGACTTGAAGGTGTGTTTTGTTTTCTTTACTGTGTCCGTGTGTGTGACAATTTGACTTGTTTCTCGACGTAATACCTTAGTTACACACAAGTTATACGACATAATGCCTGCATTTTTTATAAGAGAAACCTAAAAATGTATTCTATTCTTTGTTTTTGAAATTATCAATATTCAGAAAGTTTCTTAGACGTTAATGAAATGACTCTTTTTTTCTTGTCTTATACAATTTTTTAGTGTTATTGGGTTTTACGTTATAATTAAATAACTATAATATATTGACGAATTGCTTGAAAAGATTAGTTGACCCATTGTCATTGACTGATTTCATAAATATTTGTGGTGGTAGGATGATTTAGGCTACGCATGGCCGCAAAGGGGTATATGTCATCGTTAGGAGAAAAAAATAGTTAAGGCTATCTTGAAATCATTTAGATTGTTTTCTTATAAGGACTGCTACCACTAATGACTAAACTACCAATTCATACCTAACCTAATAGCGAGTGTTCAATTCATACCCAACATTTGTCTATGTGCAAATACATACTTAACATTTTAACATATTTAAATTTCATACCTAAAATTATCAAATTGTATGAAGTCATACATATTGCTGACATGGATGCCACGTCTTTGATGATGTTGATGACGTGGTAGCCACATCCTCGATAATGTGGTTGCCACGTCATCATCTTTCAAAAAAAAATCTCTCATTCTCCATTAATATTATCCAACAAAATTGTGATTTTTATGTAAAGATTTAAAATCTTGTTTTCAAAATTTAGAACCATTATTTCAACCGAATCTAATTTTTAAAAGATTATAAATCCAAAACTCACAATTGGTCTTCAAAAAAATCCTCAAGCCACTTTTAGTAGAGAACATAAAACTTAAAATAACCTTATATAAATATTAGTTGAAAGACGGTTTTAAGTGGAAGACAAAAATAGAAATATTTAATTACATGTATTGCCATTGGAATAATTGTATTTTAAAAAACAAAATACAATTTCTCATTAATGGTAATATTGTATTTGTATCTTAACTTATATCTATGTTTTTAAAAATTAATATATAAGGTTGTATAATTTATGTTTTTACTCAAAGCGACTTGAAGACTTTTAGAAGAGGAATTACAAATTTTTAGTTTATAACCTTGAAAATAAGTTTTAAAATCTTTAGAAAAAATCAAAAGTGATACTTGTTATTGATAATATTAATATATAAGAAAAAAAAAAAATATTTTTATTTTTGTTTTAAAATATGATGACGTGGCAATGACGTCATCAAAGATGTGGCAACCACATCATCAATGTCATCAGTGACATGGCATCCATGTCAGCAGTCGGGAAAATGGAAGTATGATTTTCTACAATTTGCAAAGTTCGGGTATGGAATTTGAATTTTTTTAAATATTAGATATGTATTGATATATTGACAAATGTTAGGTATGAATTGAACATTCAAGTTTATGTTGGGTATGATATAACCAATTATCCCAAATGGGAACAAACTACTATATGAGTGGCAACTAACAACTCAACTCAACAAACAACTGTGGTCCGATCCTGTCTTTATGGACCCTCCTCTCCTCGATAGCCTTAACGTTTTATACTTTGTCTCTGCTAATGTTTGAAACCTGTACTGTTGTAGCAATTATCAATTAAACTATTTCAAATGCATAAGCACTACCTAAATATTCTGGTGTGGCCTGCGAGCACACGGGATAAGCAGGTGGCCCATGAGTCCATGACCTTCAGATGTGTGCTGCAATTTGGTTTTGGTTACAAGCATTTCAGACGTATAGAAACTGTATATGTATGTAAGCAGGATGGTCTTATACTCTTTAATTATCCAACTTTTAAAACATCAAAGATGCCAACCTTTATTGTCTTCTTGTCTTTTCCACAATCTTCTTGTCTTTTCCACAATTTTCCACAATCTTCTACTTACATTCTGTAAAACTGATAAGGACAAGAATTACAATGGGAAACTCAAACCTAAGCATACCTACTTGCCAATTTTAAAGCTAAACGCAGCCTAGCTACTCTGTTCTACATAAATCAAAACAGCAGAGCACCTCCTCCGCCAAATCCCTTAGAAGATCCGACAAGTCCTTTGGAAGTTTGGACATCGCGGATCAATCAAACCCCTTCTAAACTTTCCTTTTTCTCCGTAAAGTTTCCTACACATTTCTTCCTTCCGCCTCTAGCTTGAGATGCACGCATACATATAACGATTGATATCCCCAAAATATATATAACAATTGAAGGCTTGTCAAGACTCAAAACCTAGTTACGGTATATAGGACTTTTTGTATTTGATTGATTCTACAAAATTATTACTGTCTTATTTTTTTCTTCCACTGTTTTCAATTAATCCACAAAAATCTCAAAGCATATAAGGAAACTTGATTTTATTCGATACTGTAACCAATTTCACATTCTTATTTATTAATTTCAAATCAGTAGATTACTAGTCTACCACTAAAAGTTTTGGCTATGTCGCAATAGTAATTTTTTAAGCCTATCTTACACTCATTTAGATACATGTCTTCTCTTACTAGACAAGCATGTGTCTTAAACTTTTAGTGGCTTAACCTATATGAAACATAAATCTAGGAGAGCTACCCCGCAAATCCAGTAAAAATTAGTCTATCCAAACTCTTTCATAAATACTAAAACTTCTTTTTTGCCACATAGTCTCACACATTAAGAATCCAAACACTAGAAGTATGTAATAATTAGGACTGCTACTACTAATGTGACTAAACGACTGTAGTCTATAGTAATGGCAAATAGCGATAAACAACTCATTCAGATAATATATATATAGTGGAATTTAAATTGGATTCATATCAATCTTCAAGCTTATCCCATGCCTTCCCATTCATGTTTCAAAACTGCATTAATTTCTCCATTTAATTTTCTTATTTTTAAAAATTTATTTTATAAAACAATTAGATTCTGCTGTGGGCGTAAGTTCATGCATGCGCCAATAGAGTCGCTCAAATGCAATGTAGAATAGGGGGGTATGGGTAGTTCAGCTTCTTAAATGCAACTCCTCCTTTCTCTCTTATTTCTCTTATAAATTGCTGTTTTTCCCACTCTCCACACCACTCTCCATTTCAAGCTCTCACCCCATAAACACATATATATATACAAAATATATATCTAGTAAAAATATAAAATCGATAAGCTTTCCAATATTATTCTCCATGGCCATTGCTAAGATGATTCTTCTGAAACTCACATACGGTGTTTCTTTTCGGATTCTTGGTCTGATCTTCGTAATGTCAAGAACGATAAAGCGAGTTTTGTTGGGTTCATTCATCTTCATTCTTGCTTCCGGTAAATTTACAAATGATCTCGATTTGCTAATCATTTAAGGCTGTTCGAATAATATATACTTCATTGACAGTAGAAGGTAGTTTATATGAGTATGATAAAATAATTGAAAGAGAGTTAAACTAAGAGAAAATTCTTGAACCTTCGTCTTCTCAAGATCTCTAGACCGATATATATGTCAAGCAACTCTTTCTTCCCACAATAGTCAGATGTGGGGATTTTCTGTTCCATATATGTTGTTAGCTTTTTATTTTACCTGAAGGACTTGTTGTCTAGGTAGAGAAGACGACCTACTTGGATTATTATTTAATAAAGATTCGAGTTTAATAAAAATAAAACTGTACGAAAGTTATTCATATGCATGTATAAGATGGTGGGGTCTAAAATGTGTGTGTGATATGGCCACACCCACTATGACATTATGCCTACCTTAATTGAATTATATAACTTATGTCATTTATGGATTCTCTACCCTTAAATTCTCATTTTTCAACAATAAATACTTTCAATCAAATTCTTACAAAAAGATACTTTTTTGGTATGTATTATTTAACCTATCACATTGCTTTACTTTCATCGAAATTCTTATGTAGAGCCATCATATGTAGAGCAATAATATATGATCACTAAACGTCATTAATTTTGGATGTAGTTAGTGTTGTGGTAGCCTCCATTGTAGGAGCCATCGAAGGTCACACCACTGACATCGGATTCCTTCAAGGTGGTTTGCTAGGAGTCGTGGCTGGAGTTATCACCGCGGTCCAACTCTTTGGACCAGTGTTACATAGTGATCAACCTTTGGCTAAGGTGATTGTGACTCTTTACATTTAACCGTAGAATCTAAAAATAAACCACTAATCAACCATATGCTTTTCATGGAGTGGCCTTGTGATAAAAAAAAAAAAATGTAAGGATGATTGATGGTATATTATACTAATAAGTAATAAATCATCTAGATATTATAATATGAAGTTATGGTAACAACAGTTTGGTGACAAAAGTATGAAAAGAATGGCAGGTGGCTTTACTTAGGAGGGTAGTGAATGGGAAAGCCATCATGGGTTTGGTTAGACCGTTTGTTCTCAAAGCATATCAATGGCAAGTAAGTATTTCATAATTTATACTTTATATAAATTTAATTATGATAAAATTTATGAACAAGCAAAATTCTTTTAGTAGATAATAGCATTGGACACAAGTTACATGGAGAGTTCGGACTTGTACGATTTCAACCAAGAAAGAAAAGGGTTATCAAAGAGCTCTATTCAGAACATCCCAATGTTTTACAACCATTCAGATCATCAAACAAAATCGAGTTGTCCGATTTGCTTACAGGTGATCATGAAAGTGTAATCGAAACCATTTGATTACGAAAATGTGCTATAGCTCGATAATCATATATCTAATATTTATTATAATTTTTGGATGTAAATGAAGGATTGGGAAGAAGGGGAAGTAGGAAGAAAGCTAGAGAGATGTGGCCACACGTTCCATATGATTTGCATAGATGAGTGGTTGCTTAAGCAAGAGACTTGCCCCATTTGTAGAGACCATCTTTCATAATAACACACTTCTTCTACATATATATTCCATCTTCATTTTCTTTTTTTCTTATAACCAAACATGTAATTTTATTCCCCTAAGCTTTTCCCATGGGAGAACATTGTAAAAAAGAAAAGTGAATAAAATGACATGTTGTGTAGTCTTGTAGATAAAGTGATAAACTTCATAAAGCCATGGACCTCATGTGACTCAAATGTGTCCAAAACAGCAAAAACTCCAAATTAATGGCCTCAGTAATATATGTACCTAACTAAGGGTAAAGTCGGAAAACACAAAAAACGTTTCGAAGAGAAGAAGACCAAAGAAAGTAAAAACACGAGAATCATCTGCTTAAAAAAAAATCCAATCGCATCGAACTTTACTCAGTCGTCTTCTTCTACTTCTTCTTCTTCACCTACCCTTCTCCTCTCTCTCTGTCTCTCTACCCTCGTTGTGCTTTTGCTGCTGTACTTCGTGCCGGCGCCGGAGAGAGTGAGATGACTTGGGCAGTCTTAAGATCCATTAACTCACCAACACTCGACCTATCCACCGCACTTCGCTCCACTCGTACCCCATTGGTCGCTGCTGGTGTTGGCTGCGCTACACTCGCTGGTGTTTCTCTCTTCAGAATGTCTTCTAGATCTCCTCCTTTCGCTTCCCTCAGTGTCTCTGCTTCTTCTGGTAACGCCTTTATAACTCCTCCTGTCTGATTTTGATTCTTTTTTCCTAAATTTGGCTTTTTCCCAAAGTTGTGATTTTTATTTATCAGTGTCCGGGCTCAAAATGTTGAATTTGATTTTGGTTATCCTCAATGCATCTGTTTTGCTAGTATTGGGTCTTAGTTCTTTTCATGGATGATGAAATGTCTGAGGAATAGGGTTTTTAACTAAAGAAATGCGGTGTTGTGTTTGCGCAGCTAAAAAGGAAGTTGTGGCTACAGATAAAGCACCAGCTGCTTTAGGACCATACTCTCAGGCCATCAAAGCCAATAACCTTGTTTTCGTTTCTGGTGTTCTTGGCCTTATACCTGAGGTCAGTCTAAGTCTCTAAGATATGAAAATTGTCAAAATCACCATCTTTGTTATTCCTTCTCTGTGTTCTAAGATTTCAAGATTTCTCTTTTGTTTTTTTTTTTGTGTGTGTATAGACTGGAAAGTTTGTTTCAGACAGCGTTGAAGATCAGACTGAGCAGGTGAAATAGCTCTCAAACTTGTCAATATGGTCTTTCTAAAAGATTGGTTTTTGGTTACTTGTATCTCTGTTTTGGTTGGATTATTAATTTTATGTGAAGTTAAGGAGATTTAGGCTGTCTTTTGGTGAAAATGTAGGGAGAGATAACAATTATTCTGCCGTATTCAAGCTGAGTTTATTGGAAAATCTACTTTCAGGACACAGAAATAAGTCTTTAAAAGTTTTGAGTTTTACTTCTGGACTTCTTGATTTTGGTGTCAGTCTTCAAATTATATTCCATAGGAACAGTAGCAAGGTTGAGTTGCTCTGTTTGCCCTTCCTGATTATGTCTCTGCTTGCTTCCATATCGAAGGTACTCAAGAACATGGGGGAGATATTGAAAGCTAGTGGTGCTGATTATTCCTCGGTGGTGAAGACAACAATCATGTAAGGGATCTATTTTTTGTTCGACAAGATCATTTATCCATATGAATTCTGAACCTTATAAAAAACAAAAATGATCTCTTTTGATTTCTCTCACAGGCTGGCTGATTTGGGTGACTTCAAGAAAGTAAACGAGATCTACGCCAAATGTGAGTTCTTTGACAAGGCAACAAAGACTGCTTAGTTAGTGTTCCTATTTCGTTTGAGATGCATAAATTTACTTGAGGAGTAAAACATTTTGAATGCTTTTATCACTGTTGCAGACTTCCCAGCTCCTTCTCCAGCACGATCGACATATCAAGTGGCAGCTTTGCCTCTAAACGCCAAGATCGAGATCGAATGCATTGCAACACTCTAGAACACATCAATCTCAATAAAGGGTTTTATTGGTTTGGTTCTGAAGATGTCAGAAAGAATAAGAGAACCAATGGCGTAGAGTTATAATATCTTATCAACCCATTTTTCACATATTTTTCATATTCCTGCACTACAACAAACAAATGTTGCGAATTATCAACCATTAGGCTGTTTGCAAAACCTAAAACCCCCTAATCAATAATAAGTTATTTAGTGTTTGTTTTATTTTTTGGTTGAACATTCATGAGTTTTTCACTTGGTATTTATTGAGTAGTACAATAGTTGGTTAGAAACCTTTATGTTTATGCTTTGAGGAACAATGATTATTATTAATTAATAATTAGCGAGAATTCCATCTCGAAAAAGACAAGTGCAGCAGAGTTTTTGAGATAAAATTTTGCAAAGTAGAGGTCCTAGAGGATGTATTATTTTTTCTAATAAGGCTATAACAAAAAAAAAAAAAAAAGCATGCAAACCGATCGGCTTAATTCTTTCTTCTTGGTATAGTTTTTGGACCAATTTAGTAGCAACGATATTCCCTAGCCGATTGTTACAAATTTAAAAAGCTAGAAAAAAAACACACACACACTAACGTAGAGAACCCTAGCCGATTTCTCTCATATTGAAACAATGACGACGATATCTGATCTTCCAAATGATTTGGTAGGGGAGATACTATCTAGGGTTCCTATAACTTGTCTCGGAGCGGTGAGATCCACTTGCAAACGATGGAAAGCTTTATCGGAAGAAAGGATTCTATGTAAAACAGAAGCGAAGCATCAGTTTCTAGGGTTCATGATGAAGAAGTATAAGCTTTGTTCACTGAGGTTTGATCTCCATGGAACTTTCAACGAAGAAGAATTCGTGGATCCATCTGTAAAGGAGATAGATAATAAGCTACTTAATCAAATCAATATATCTAAAGTTTATCAATGCGATGGGTTATTGTTATGCGTGACCAAAGAGGACAACGCTAGGCTCGTGGTGTGGAACCCTTATTTGTGCCAAACCAGGTGGATCCAACCCCGCAGGGCTTACCACGGACAAGACTGCTATGCTATCGGATACGACAATAACCGTAAGCACAAGATCTTGAGGTTCTTGGATTGTTACGACCATTCTGTTAAGCATACGTTTGCTGAGTACGAAATCTATGATTTTAGCTCAAGTTCATGGAGGGTTCTTGATATCACTCCCACCTGCGAGATACAGGTTTACCAACGCGGTACTTGTTTGAAAGGAAACACTTACTTTTTTGGCCAGGAAAAAATAGTATACCAAGAGGATGGTGAGTATCCAGAGCCACCAGAAAATTTAATCTGTTTTGACTTTACCAAGGAGAGCTTTGGAGAGTTTCTTCCTCTGCCGTTTCTGCTCTATATGTTTTACGATGTTGGAGCTTTCTCTTGTATTGGAAACGAGAAACTCGCGGCGTTATCTCATCCCGAGGATATATCAAAGGTGGAGATTTGGGTTACAAGTATGATTGAGCCAAATGCCGTGTCATGGAATCCTTTCTTAGTAGTTGATATGTCCCTTCGCTATGGTTTTTATTTTCGCTTTAGCTATGGAGGTGGCAGTTTCTTCATTGACGAGGAGAAGAAAGTGGCTGTGGTTATTGATTATGACGCATCTGAAATGACACGCTACGAGGACGAAGCTTACATCATTGGAGAGAATGGGTACGTTAAAAAAGTGCGCCTTGGAGAAGCTGCGCCTCACGTACAAGGAGCTCTCGACTTGAGCGAGTTTGCTTATTGTTGCCCACATGTGTGCTGTAGCTCTTATGTTCCAACTTTAGCACATATCAACTAAATATATGCATGATTTCTAAAGAAAAGGAAAGAGAAGAAGAGAATGGGAAAAGAAGAAAGACTCTCTCTATTGATTGACCAATAGTTTATTTTCTTTCTTGCATCTCTTTTCGTTCGTTTTGTTTTGTTTTTCTTTTGCAAATGTCCTGTGAACAAGACAAATCATTTATCATCTTTTTGTTCTGTTTTGGTTACACAGATTTTTTAATTAATTTGCTGATCAGAGAAATATAATCATGTATTCATTCGGTCATTCCTATCTTTTCATCTATATAATATTTACTCATTTAGCAGAAAAAAAAAAAAAAACTGAGTATCCAGGTTGTGGCATTGACAACAAATTCATAACACTAGATGAGATGCAAAAGTCCTTTAGACCGAGATTATAATAACGCAACAAGTCATCTATTTTTACGTACGTACGTTCATGATTCCAATCGCAACGACTTTTTCTCTCATACCAATACGTTGGATGCGGAGGGAAAAGAGAAACCACGTGAGGGAGTTTAACTAGATCTGCTACGTAGTGGAATTATATTAAATCATCTTCTTTGACATTTCTATTTTGCGGCGTCTTCTTCTTTTGACTTGCGAATATTGTACTAGTACTTGATCCATGGTTTCTCTAGTGAAAATGAATTACCGGGATAATACCATTTTTTAGAATACTTTTCTTTATCACATACCTATGTCTATACGAATGATATATGGATCTATCAGTTACTGAGATAACCATTTTATATAGAGAATTTGATTCGCAAGTTTAAAAGCGTTTTAACTAAACTAGTTAGAGAAGTACGTATTGCTTCACTGCTACAAGATTCGAATTTGGGTTCGATATATAATGATTATACAGTATATGGAAGATTATTTCTCAATGTATTCTCCATAATGCTATGAAAAGTTGGCTATGGATCTAATGAGATTATAGTCCAAGAATCGGTAAATTGTGAAGTAAGAAATTTGATCTAGTAGTAGCTCGAATCCATTATTCCAGCAAACATTCAAATGAGTAGACGCTAAAATTTAGACAGACTCAAAAAGTCAATTATGATGATAAGTAAACGCATGATCAAACCAAATATGTAGCTATAATTAATGTACCAACTTGTATAACTAGGCGAAAAAAATATCATTATCATGCCAAAATCTCACTAATTTGATTCCTTCCCTAAATCATCTAATTAACCATCTCCTCTTCTATATATACATATAGACATGTACCATTATCATCAACAAGTCTCGCACTATCTCTCTAAACTTCATTCACACACATCTTTGACATGATGATGAGTTACTACAAAGAAACCTTATGTATTGTTTCTTTCTTCTCTTGTCTTTTCATCACCTCTTCTATTGCAGGACCAGTCCCAAACCAGCTGGAGAATGGTTCTCAGAAACTTATCCCCACTCAGATTTCATCACGTGATAGTAAGGTCTCGTTATCGACCACGGTGAAGGGTATGAGAGAACGTCCTCCGTCGTCTTACTCTCTCAAGATGGAGTCTTTCAACACACTCATGAAATCTATTTACACCGACAGTTATCAATCTCGTCCTTTTAGGGTCGGTAAATACAACTGGTACGTACCATTTTTTTTTTTTTGGTTAAAAATATACGTACTAGATTTTTTGTTCTCTTATTTTATTAACTAGTAAAATATCGATCTGAACCTTAATTAGTCTCATAGTTATCTATTTAGATCTAGCATTAAACATATATTTGTGAGTGGTCCACGAAACGTAGAACCTTGGTGTTAACATCTTTGTGCATGCCGCTCTATTGTGTGTATAGTAGTACTGTTGCCTGTTGGTATTGAATCGTTTTGATGATAATTTATAAATAAAAACTGAAACAGGACGCTTGTCGTGTATCCAAAGGGGAATAAGAACGATAACGGTGCAGGGTACATTTCGTTATACGTCGTCTTAGACAACTCAACTCTCACCTCTCCACGTGAAGAGGTGAGTGTAGATCTCAGATTTTACGTCTTCAACAAGAAACAGAACAAGTACTTTACGATCCAAGGTTAATTAATATTTGTAACTTTTATGTAATATTTTCTATTAACTATGTCACTTTCTCTCTAATTTCTACTAACAGATATCTATATATGTGTGGTGTTACCGTGTAGATACTGATGTATGGCGATTCAGCGCAATCAAAACCATGTGGGGGTTCTCTAAGGTTCTTCCTCTGACTACGTTTAACAACACAAAGAATGGATACCTTTATGATGTCGACCATTGCGAGTTTGGCGTTGACGTCATCATTCCAACATTCAATGAGAAGTCGGAACTTTTCTCAGTCACCAAGAGTTTCCCAAACCCGAGATTTACCTGGTTTATACAGGGACTCTCGACACTGCCTAACGATCACCTATCAGAGGAGTTCACTATCGGAGGAAAAAGCTGGTGAGTTCCGTTTCACAATGTTAGTTATATAGTAAGTAAAACAAAGTCTAATTAGTAGTGTGAAGTGTGGTTTGGTTGTAATTGTATAACAAGTTTTTTTTTTCAAATGCTAATTATCAGGAATTTACGAATCTTTAAAAATGGTTTTGGGGCTTTCGAAGGCAAAAATTTGTCGCTTTACCTAAACCTTGGCCCCCAAGAGGTACTTAAAACAAAACCTTATGACAAGGTTTACGTACGAGCCAAGCTTCGCGTTCCTAACCAATCCGCATCGCAATCCAATACTGTTTTGGAAAGGCCACGTAAGTTTATGCTATATATATATATATATATATATATATATATCTTCATTTTTGTTTTTGTATTTGTATCCATTTTAATTTCAAATTCAACATGCAATGACTAAGATATGTGTTTTTATTTTCTTCTGGCAGTTGATAATTGGTTCAGTCCGCAGACAATAGGGTGGGGATATGCTGACTTCATGCCACTTTCTGATCTAAGAGATTCAACAAAGGGCTTTGTTGTGAATGATATGTTAGTTGTTCAAGTCGCAATGGAGATAATTTCTTCAACCAAGTACCTTCCTAGTTAGATTCGTAGGGAAGCATAAATCGTGGCAAGGGATATATATATGCGTCTATGTGTTGTGCTTTAAATCGAACGTTTTATTTTAATTTTATGTTTCTTTATGGTTTGTGTATGAGTGTATGTGTGTATCATGCAATCTTTCCAATGGTTAACCTTACTTCTTTCTCCCACTTGGTTTAAAATAAATGAATATACCATTTGAATAAATCTACTGAATAAGTAACAAGATAAAAAATAACGTTTTAGAAAATAATATTATAAACTTGCAAATTTTAATCGAAAAAATTATCAAATGAGCCAAATTTAAAGTTTAAAAAAGCAAAAATGGAACCCACAAAATTTGGTAGTCAAATGTTCTTTTCTTTTGTTTGGGGCTTACTTCAAGCATGTTCACTTGTGATTTCTTATCCTCAAGCAACGTTTTTGTAGGTAAGATAGACTTGGAAACTTCAATATCCCATATATCCCCATGACCATACAGGTTCTTATTTAGTAACTTGTTTGTAACATGCTAAACTAAAAAAAAAAAATGCACTGTTTGAATTGATTGTACATTTGATTCAAAATAATATCTGGTAGTGGAATTCTTATATGATCTTCTTAAGTGTTTAAATCAATCTTACCAGGTCTTGCCGTAAACGATTTGACTTATATATAATTATGAATATTTAATTTTGGATCCCTTTCATTTTACTTGACGTGCATTGACTAATTAATTAGTGTTATTCCTTTACTCCCAACTGATCCTTTACTCCCAACTGATCAAACCTTCAATTCTTATAACTTACAAGTGCAATCTAAAAATTCACATAGATTCAATGATAATAAGTACCGTAATTTTTAATACCAAATTGGTGCTTCATATATTAATTCACCAACTGGTACACTAGGCAAAAGAAATACATTATCATGCAAAATTTTAACCATGGTTGTTTAGCCTCCCTAAGCAACTAGTTAACCAATTAATCTATCCCTCTATATATACTTCAGTCTTCATTATCATGTACAAGTCCCACAGTATCTCTAAAACTTCATTCACAGAACTACTTCATTATCATCCTTACGTGTAAATGCATATGAGTGCAATGTGATGCAACCTTGTTTCTAATGTTCTATGTTTTAGGTTTTTTTCACTGTAAACATATATGTATGTCTTCTCTCCCAACTCTGTTTCCATTGAACAAATGTTTTATACTATGAATAATATTTCTATAAATAAATAGAAAAATATCCAAAGATAAACTATGAAATAGACAAAAAAAAAAAAGTTATTATATCCAAAACATTTTTGTTTATCATATACATAGTTTACTTTTTTGTTGACATTACTACTCAGAGGTCAGAGCTAGCACTACTAGGACCAATATTTAGCCTCACATATGAAGAATGATCAAAACCTAGCAAGCAGGAGTGACGTGGTAAGATGTGTGTATTTATCATATCGTTGAATTACAAATAATAAAGTCAAAGTAGAAAAATGCATCCTACAGTTTCGAAGTATATACACAATGTATTAAACAAGATATTATTGACCTGAAGTTGGACTCTAAAGAAGAACAAACTTCATTAAAGCAAAACACAATTGGGTCTCTGTTCCTGGCAACCAACAAGAGGTTGGGAACTGGCAAGACACTATATCACTGCAATTGGCTCGATCGGATAGATCGTGGGAAAAAGACAATAGCAGGCAGGCGAGCTCAAACTACGGTTTTGCTGCTCAGCCACGAAGACTAGTTTGACTTAGGGTATATAGGACAGGTAGTTTCGGAGTACGTAGAGTGGCCTAGATCTGATGCTCAAGGACATGTTTCAGCTGAACCTTTTGGCTTTCAATTTGTGCTTCTATTAGCTTTGTTTTAAGGTTATTCTTATATGCACCTCTTGGCCACTCTATGCACCCTTTCTTCCCTCGGTTTACATTAGCATTAGCTGAGTCTGGTGGTGAGCTCCATTGCCCTACCAAGTCCAACGTGCTGAATCCTCCTTTGCCCGAGCATGTCTCTGGGGAAACTATCCCCACAGTTGACTTTCTCCCGTTTGAAACCCTTCCATTCATGCCTTCTAATGAACTCCAGAGCTTTGCCATTGAGGATAACTTTTTGGATTGTCTTCTTGGAAAAGAGCGCACTTCTTTTATTACTCTTAATGGAGTCTTTTGAAACTCTGTTCCATTCATCGATACATTGTTGTCACGGTGATGATTGTTGCTAATACCAGGGTTGCTTTCATCTGGAGAGTAACTGGATCCATGTTCTTCAGGATGGCTCACAGTTTCCCAGCCACTGTCATCTTCTTCAAATACACCATTCTCATCACTGAAACTATTTGAATGTCTCCCTTTAATCAAATTGACATCTGGACTTCCCGTGTGAACTTTTGAAGAGTGGCTAACCGGACTAAAGTCATCATATTGCTTGATTTCTCTATCCTGGACTTCACTTAAGTTCATTTCTTCAAATAACATGATGATATCGTCTGGCTTTGCGGGTTCATATGTAAATTCCTTGATCTCTTGGATACTATTAACTGATGCTCTTAACAATTCTGCGTCTCTCACCTCTTTCACACCTGTAATAGCATTTCTTGCTTTGAGGAAGGCTTCCAAATCTTCTACGAGCTTGTTCATTTGTGAATACTTGTCCTCGAGTGTTACTTTGGCGTCAATAAGCTTCATCTGGACACGTTCCTCACGCCAAACCTCAGCCATCTGCAGCATTCTTCTTTCATCATCTACTTCCTCTCTGAGATTCATGGATTCACTCTTCAATGCTTCAATCTCAGCTCTATCTTCTTCTATTTCCTTTGCGAGTTCTTCACAAACTTCTTCAGTTATTTCTCTTGCCTTCCTTTCCTGTTGGTAATCATGCATGTACCGCTTTACGGCTAACTTTGAATCTGCAAGCTCATTGACTAGTTTTTGATTGAGGATTTCTATTCTATGACTATTTTTCCTTTCCCGGTTCATGTCAGCTTTCATTTCGTCAATGATTGCTCGGACCTTTTCATGCTCCCTGCTTCGCCAAGCCGCCCTTTCCTCGCTAACTTTCCGTAGGAACTGTTCAAGCTTCTTTTTCTGGGATCTCTTCTCACTCTCAAGATTCTCAATGCAAGCACGAGCTTCCTCGAGTTTCAACTCAACAGAAGAAGCCAATGAAATAGCATCCACTTTTTGATTAATCTGCTCCACGTTGCTATAGATTTGGTGTACTCCATCCCTTGTATTCAAGCTAATGGGATCCCATTTTGTTGCCCCCTCCATCGCGCCGTGGGGAAATGGAATTGAAGGCTCATGCTAACAGTGAAAGAAATAGAAAATTTCAGATCAAGAAACCCAAAAAGCTAGCTCAACATAAACAATGATCTTCGAGGACTCAGACAAGAAAAGCCAACCAAAGAAATCAGAGAGTCAATGTCTTAAATATGGTCAAATTAACACCTATCCTGAAGCTAAGCAGCATCATCATTCTCATACCTAACAGGTAAAACTGACCAAGGTCAGATATACAAACTCAAGTAACAACTCTAAACGCTCAGAACCTTCATCTCAATCACAACATTTATTAGATATATAACCGGCTCAGGCATGTACTTTTGAAGCATTTCCATATCTAATTGAAATAACATATAATTATCATCTTCACCTAAAAGTTTAAGATTGTCAACACACCTTACACAAGAATCTACTTTTTGTTGCAGCAACAGAACTCTGACCGTCTCTTAACTTGTTGTTGCTTTGAAAGCCAGGATGTTTGTCCTCATGGTGGTAATAAAACAGAGGACCCAAGTGACCAGCACTTTCCTGAAGAAAATGAACAGAGTTTTATTTTCCATATGATCCTCTTCTCAGATCATAACTTAACACCAACAATTTCAGACCTAGATATATGATCAAACAGTGACGAATTTAACTGGGAAAAAATGACTAATATGAAGATTCTGGAAGAAACAATTATTTTTGGATGACGACCAAAACAATTCGTTAAAAACCACTCCAAATGCTTCATACTTTGATTCAAAGCTAAAGCAAAATCAGCAATCACATAATCTGTTTGATTGCTTTGATTATTCCTCTAAAAACATGCAATTCACTTCATTATCACAATGAGGAACCTTACAAATGCATTTCTAACAATTCGGAAGAAAATGAAAAAAAAAATCCCAAAAAGTTAGAGGTGTACCTGAAACCTTATGACATCCTTGCTCCTCTCATCTCCGCCGCTGGTAACCGCATCCGGGACTTGCAATCGCCACACTCCAGCCGCGAGTTTCCTAACAGCATCAGGTTCAGGCCGTAAACTTCTCCTTCGTTCTCGACAATGCGTAGTCGGCCACTGACTATTACAATCATCTTCATCATCTCCAACAGCGCTGCATCGCTCACTGTTTTGATCCCCCACCATGGGTTTTGACAGAGGAGTCTCCGGCCTGCTCCGCCTCCTGACAACGACGCCGGATCTTCGGTGACCAGCCAAGATCGGTTTCCGTGCTCTTCGAAAGGTAGCCTTGAGATTGAGGCCTGTGGCGGGTAATGTAGCCGTCGAATTTGATTTACCGGTGAACTTCATCTACACAATCGACGTAACAACAACCACCATTTACAACTTATTCCAATGTGAAGAATCGAAAACAAAGAAAAAGAAGAAAAAAACGATAAAGCTCAGAAGAGACAGACTATACGATGCGTGAGAGAGAGAGATGGGTTTGAGAGTAGAGAGACTAGAGAGAGAGAGAGCTCGTGATGATGCAACTTGATTCGGAAAACTGTAAAACGCCAAAGATCAATGTTGGCGATAAGTATAGTAGTAGTAACTGTGTGTATTGAACAGTCTCACATGTCCATATCATTTTTTTTTTGCTTTTGTTTTTGTGTGTTTCAGATTCTTTTGAGCAGTAAAGCCCAACAACAACCATGAAAACAAAGCCCATTTAAGTTATTTAAGATGTTTTAAGTTTAAGGGTTCAAAACCTAATTATGAGCTTCTCTTCCTTTGTTCAGTCGATCATTTTGATACTGTAATCTGTTATATGCTAGATTTTTTTTTTTTAATAGTTTGTATATAAATAACTTAATGGGATATGTGTATTGATATATAATTGTTGAGACTAAAGGATGAATGTCGTAAGGTATTGATGGGTTTCCCTCATGGATTCTGCATTACATAATCAAGTAAATAGACTACATGTCCTGGAAGTTTTAAAGTTATTTTATATATAACTCTCTGTGGATTCCTCTAATCTATATATAAACATCGTATTGTGTTGTTTATTGTAATATAATGTTGGAACTTGTATTAAGTTGCTACTTATTGTAATATTATATACCTACGCCTATTTAGTTACGCTGGAAGTATTGTTCTTAATGTATTTTCTTAAATTCTAAACACACAATTCAACAACAACATAAAGTCTTCGGGTGGTACTTAGTCACATAATCAAATAGAAATCATATTTAAAACAAAAAGATCTCAGTTTAATTCGTTTTGTCTGAATAATAATGATTGAACAATAGTTCAAAATGCATGGTGGAACTGTTGTACATCACATAGGAGCCGAAAAAATATCTAATTCTATATTATGTTTTTGTAACGTGTAACACATACAGAAATTGAAACTAGACACATTGTATTGACTGATATGATCGACCCACAGTATTGATTCGTTAATTCCAATAACTGGTATATATTGTGTAATATTTTACAGATAAATAGTATAAAAGCATATATCATTAGATGATTAGTTTTTGTCGCCTCTACAGTGGTATGAACACCAAGATTCTAACATAATAACTTACCTCTGCGAATTGTTTCAAAAGAACAAATAATGATAATAAGAGGTTGAGAGAGATTGATCGATCAACCAATGCAATACAGATCAGTTTCATTCATTTGATAAATAAAAAAAGATCGTGCCTATGGGCCAAAGTGATCGATACTCAATAAAAATTGCTACTAGTAGTGGAGATAATTTGATGGAACACCAACCTCGGGGGTTTTGACTTAGTTATATATGAATAGCAATATATAATGGTATATTAGTTGTTGATCCGTTACATTTGAAAATATATAAAATGTATTCGGTAAGGTAGTAAAATTTGGGTAATTGATGTTAAGATTTTGGATGATGACATAGTAGAACAAGAAACCATGCCAAAAAAACGTTTCATGGCTAATACTATTGATTAAAATGTAGAACATGAGTTATGTTGTGAATGAAGTGATCATATAAAGAAGAAGACAACATGTAAACCGGATATGCTCAAATCTTTCATAAACTAATTAAAAAACTCCAAAAAGAAAAAGACCCAAGAAACAGAAGAAGGTGAAGGTATGGGAAAGGTGGGGAGACGTGAGTGTGTTCAACAATGATATATGGTCTAATCGAGTAATACTATTTTTAAAATTAGGGGGGAGTGGGGGCATCTTTGTTCTCAGAGATTCTGTTCCCTTTGGTTGTGTTCACACTTTGAAGATACCTCTTTAATTGCCGTGTTCACACTTCACTTTTGATCGCTCGCTCGGCTGCTTCCTCCTCCTAGCTCGGCTCCTTCCATCCCATACATTGCAATTGCAAAGTTCGATTCGAACAAAACAACTTTTTGATCTTTTTCATGCTTTACATGCTTTTTTATAATAAATGTCGTGTTTATAACCTTTCTGTTTTCGTTAGACGTCACGTTAGGTTGCATTCTAATATTATAGTTCTTCTTTCTTTCTCATGGCATTATTGCGTTTTCACCGGCATACAATACTAAGAAAAAACGAAATATCCAAGCCGAGCTGACGAGCTAATAAGGACACGTGGAGCGCCAAAACGAAAAAAAGGACAAAAGCTGGTGACGGTGAGTTCAACAAACACATGTCCACGTAGGACTAAAGTACTCTCAAATCTGATGTGGCGAATTGTATATGTTCTTATCTCTCTCGGCCTCTCTCCCCTTTAAATGATTTTAATATCTCACCAGCTTCTACCTACGCATATATATAAACAAGGCTTTACGTCTTAAAAGAAAGAAACACAAAAAAGAATGGGGAATTGTTTAAGGCATGAATCAGAAATGCACTGGGCTGGTGAAGACTGGGATGAGTTCATCGAAGACAGCTCTAAAAGTACCTCGAGAGTCGAGGCTCATGACAAAGTGATTGTTACACGAGACTGTAAATCATCCTCTGATCATGAGATGATCAAGATCAGGCTCACCAAGAATCAACTTCAAGATTTACTGAATAAAGTCAACGTCCATGACTTAACCTTTCATCAACAGCCCTTCTCTTCGTGTCCTAGCCTGATCGATCGTGGTGGTTACGAAGAAGGCAATCAACAAGGGTTATGGAGACCAGTTCTGCAGAGCATACCAGAAGCTATTTAACTAAGATGTTTCAGATGTTGTATATTCTTAGGGCTTTCTTCACTTTCTTGATGTGAGGGTTCTGTGTTGTTAGGGTTTAGGACTTTTTTGATGTCAAGTTTGGTTGTTGTTTGTTTGTTAGATTGTAAATATAAACATAATCCAGAATCAGAAGCTTGTTAACACCAGGAATACTTTCTACTTGATTAGCTCAACTTCCCATAAAAATTGAAAACATTTCAACTAAAGCCACTTAAACCAGCATGAAATCGAGAAAGAAAGAGACTTTTATGCGAGAAGAAGTAGAATACGAAGAGGAATCAAGATCCAGCAAATGATGTTGCATGAGTGAATCAACCGAGACAGAGTGATCAAGAAACAGAGTATGTTATTGGTTTAGAAACAGAACAATGAATGAGTTATATAACAGAGACAGAGTCTTTATTCAACACGAGCACGAGTCAAAGTCATTTTTTGAAGTAAGAGAAGATTTGATTGTTTGCGAGTAAGTTAATCCAATCAGTTCTCTTACTCACAAATGGTCAAGCCTTCCTCCTCCGTCGTTGATCCTTCTTTTTCGTCGGCGCTCTGTTTCCTAGTTGGGCTTCGCCGGAGGAGGAGAAGAAGAATTATTATGGGCCTTCTAAGCCCAAATCGTTTCGTTCTTTTTTCCCTCCGCTAATTATTCCAAAACGTCTTTGATTTCATCGTTTCTAGTTTCCTTTCTAAAACCCTACAGTTCCTCCTCCGGCCGCCGTTGCCTTTCCCCGGCCGTTCGTTCCCGTTGTCATTTCTCCCATCGTAGCAGCTTAGTCAGGCCAATTTCATCTTCTGTTTTTGGTGTGAGCTCAGCGGTGTCGGTCACTCCACCGGCGTTACATTTCTCGACCAGCCAGACTTCTCCACCATTTGACTGATCTACTCTTCAATTGCTCTTTTTAGGTATGTTCAGGCTTTGATTGGAATTGAAATTTGTTTTTGGTTTCGTGTTTAGTTTAACCAGGGAATACTAGACATCACATTCCTTCTCAAAATTCTTATATTGTAATTGAGATTAAGGCTAATTTCGTTAGAAGAACCAATGTTTTGATTCGCCCAACCAAAAACAATTGAATTTCCTGTAGTGTGTTAGTTCCTGGAGTTTTCGATTCTTGTGAATTACTAACTGCATCTTTGTATGTGTTTCCAGCAGGTTTTGAAAGTTGTAACTCACTCAGTACTTCCCATCAACGACTTAGCAGAATGGCTATCCTATCATCACTTAGTTCAGCCACACTTTGCGGTGCCTCAGTTTTTCCTAAAGTATTAGCCTGCAGCTCAGAGTTCTCAACCAACCTCTCTAGTCCTTTTGAAAGCTCAAAGATTTGTTTGACTTCTTCGTTTCCTGCCTCTAGGCATCCCAAGAAAATTTCTACTTGGAACCTGACCCGGAATGTTGCTCCAATCCAAGGAATTAGGTGTCATGCTATGCAAGTGGAGACTAGGGAATGTTTTACGGCTGGGAAGAAATTCCAACTTAGTGATGTGATTGAAGGGCAACAGTTTGATAGGGAGATGCTAAGCGCTATATTCGATGTTGCACGCGAAATGGAAAAGATTGAAAAAAGCTCTACTCAAAGTGAACTTCTCAAGGGTTATCTAATGGCTACCCTCTTTTATGAGCCTTCTACCCGTACCAGGCTCTCTTTTGAATCTGCTATGAAACGCCTTGGAGGGGAGGTCTTAACCACTGAGAATGCCAGAGAGTTTTCATCTGCAGCTAAAGGGGAAACACTTGAAGGTATCCACTATGTCAGCAAATATCTTGTTTTTGTTGCTGTGGCATTTTTATTGTGTTAGATAATTTATGGAAACTTTGTGGAGCATTTTTCAGATACTATAAGAACAGTGGAGGGTTATTCCGATATAATCGTGATGCGGCATTTTGAAAGCGGTGCTGCTAGAAAAGCTGCAGCTACTGCCAACATACCTGTCATTAATGCAGGTGATGGTCCTGGAGAGCATCCTACTCAGGTGTGTTATGTTCTTAGCCTTTAGTGTTTCAGTTGTCTTAAACAAACATTGCATTACATCCTAATTTCTTTCTCCTGGTACTGTTGCTATTGTGAAGGCTCTATTGGACGTCTATACCATTCAAAGTGAAATTGGAAAACTAGATGGCATCAGTGTAGCCCTAGTTGGAGATCTTGCCAATGGAAGGACAGTCCGATCACTTGCGTACTTGCTTGCCAAGTTTAAAGACGTGAAGATCTACTTTGTTTCCCCTGAAATTGTTAAGATGAAGGTTAGTTTTGCCAAACTTGTCACCCTCCTGGAGAGCATCTGAAGAAGATGATTTAATGTACTTGGCAACATTGTTGTGTTTGTTGCTTATCATCTTCAAAATGTCTTCCTTTTTATTTAATGGTAGGATGATATAAAAGACTATTTGACATCAAACGGGGTCAAATGGGAAGAAAGTTCGAACTTAATGGAAGTAGCATCTAAGTGTGATGTAGTTTATCAAACCCGCATTCAGAGAGAGAGGTTTGGAGAAAGGCTTGACCTTTACGAAGCAGCTCGTGGGAAGTATATCGTAGACAAGGATCTCTTAGGAGTGATGCAGGAAAAAGCTATTATCATGCACCCCTTACCTAGATTGGATGAAGTAAGTTAATAAAAGCCCCCATAGTTTTCATCTATGTATCATGACACAATCCTCACTCTTTGTATTTCGTCATGTATATAGATCACTGCAGATGTTGACGCTGATCCAAGAGCTGCCTACTTCAGACAAGCAAAGAACGGATTGTTCATTAGAATGGCTCTTTTGAAGCTACTGCTTACCGGTTGGTGATGGATGGTTGTTGAGGTAGAAATCCGTTAATAATCTCAATATCAAGCCTGTGACAGAGGAGACAGTGGCATCAGCTCGCAATAATAAATTAGGAAACACAGTGATCTTTGTGTGTGTTCTTGATGTTTACTGAAAAGAATAGTAAAAGCTGTTGGTTTGTTGTTGGTCAAAAGACTGATTTGAAGAGGAAGAGTTGTTGAACTTTATGAATCATTTGATTTTGAGCTAAATTTCACATTTGCGGTCAAACAACACAAACGCAAAACACAGATGGCCTACCACTTCTCCAAAGGGCCAAAGCATACAAAGAAGAGAGAGACATTCACTTTCACTGTAATATATATTTCCTGATCATCTCGAAAATGCCCTTGCGTCCTTCCAAATTGGCTTTCAGATTGAGAGATTTTTACACTTTCGAGATTAGGTGATTAATTGATTAAATTATGATATAATAAAACACATGGGAATTTGATTACCCGTCTTTTCTCTAAATCCTAGCAACAAATCATTTCGAAGCTATTCTCAGATTCAAGAGACACCAGTAAGCTTCGAGCCCAGGTATTCATTCTCTCTTTCCCCTGATACCCTAATTTCTACTTGTAATTGGATCGGTTAAGTAGAAGCTTCACGCAATTCACATGTTCTTTCTCTTTTCTAACTGCAGCTCGGGGAAAAAAGATTGGAACTTGCAACATAAAGTTTAGTTTTTTAATTCAATTTTGGAAGATGATTGGGAATCCAGTAATTCAAGTTCCATCATCACTAATGCCATCATCTTCCATGATTGTTTGCCCTCGAGCTTCACCCAATGGGCTTCCTTATCTCCCACCGAAACCTAGAACTAGGCATTTAGTGGTCAGAGCTGCATCCAATTCCGACGCTGCTCATGGTCAACCATCGTCTGATGAAGGGAAGAATCCGCTCACGGTTGTTTTGGATGTGCCCAGGAATATATGGAGACAGACTTTAAAGCCTTTGAGTGATTTTGGGTTTGGTAAGAGAAGTGTTTGGGAAGGTGGGGTTGGTTTGTTCATCGTCTCTGGAGCTACGCTTCTTGCTCTTAGCTGGGCTTGGTTGCGAGGGTTTCAAATGCGGTCTAAATTTAGAAAATATCAGACTGTGTTTGAGCTTAGTCATGCCTCTGGCATTTGTACGGGAACACCGGTTAGGATCCGTGGGGTCACTGTTGGTACTGTGATCCGTGTTAATCCTTCCTTGAAGAACATTGAAGCTGTTGCTGAGGTTTGATTTTGGTGCTTTGATCTTGTTTTGAAAGTTCTTTTCTTTTCTATTGTTTCTTGAATTAGGCTCTTGTCATCCTCTTTTGTAGATTGAAGATGATAAGATTATTATACCAAAGAATTCACTGGTTGAGGTGAATCAGTCTGGTCTTTTAATGGAAACTATGATCGACATCATGCCTAGGGATCCGATACCAGAACCTTCTGTAGGACCTCTGCATCCTGAATGTGGTATAGAAGGTCTGATCGTTTGTGATAGGCAGAAGATCAAAGGAAAGCAAGGAGTAAGTTTAGATGAATTAGTTGGAATCTTTACTCGTATTGGACGCGAAGTAGAGGAAATTGGTGTAGCCAATACATATGCGCTTGCTGAGAGAGCGGCTTCGGTTATTGAGGAAGCAAGACCATTGCTCAAAAAGGTGATATGAGTAATTTTGGTGGCCTTTGTTAGATCTTGTATACAGTATTCAAAAAGAGTTGATAGGTGAATTTCAAGATTGGAAGAAGAAAAAAAAATGTATTCTCATGCTTAAGCGTTGGGTTTTGATGTAGTGATGTCACAGATTCAAGCCATGGCTGAAGATGCTCAACCTTTGCTCTCTGAGTTTCGTGATAGCGGCTTGCTCAAGGAAGTTGAGTGTCTTACTCGAAGCCTTACCCAAGCTTCTGACGATTTGAGGTAATAGCTCTTAGTGTAACAATCTTGGTATATCAATTATGTAGTAATGAATATATTGAATTCTATCTTGCAAATGCTAAAACTGTTTCTGCCTCATGTTGGAAACAGACCATATGATCGGTATAAACACACTAACTTCCAGTTTAGTTCTGTGGCTTCAATACTCTATTTGTGGATTAGTTTCTGAACAAGAGTTGATTGTTAAAACATTCAGATATCTATGCATAAATCTGTCTTATCTTACGGATTCCATGTTAGATCAACTGCTCATCACTGAGAGATGAGCTCTGTCTTTAAGAGAACCGCTGTCGACAGGGAAAAATTTAACAATGTTTTGTTATGTTGACATTGCAGAAAGGTTAATGCGTCGATTATGACACCAGAGAATACAGAACTCATTCAGAAGTCAATCTACACTCTGGTTTACACTTTGAAAAACGTCGAGGTAAACTGTGTTTGTTGTTATTCATTATAGTGATACTAAAGCTTCAACGAGTTGTTAAGAATAGACTTTTTTTTGGTTTCTTGATTGTTGATTGCAGAGCATAAGCTCAGATATTCTGGGGTTCACAGGCGATGAAGCGACAAGAAAAAACCTAAAACTACTCATCAAATCCCTCAGCAGGCTATTATAATGAGCCTGGAAGTCAAGATTTGAACCTGGAAGATGATGATAAGGTGAGAGCAAGAAGTTATTAAATATTCAGAAAATGTGTTGTTCTTTCCTTCTTTAGAGGTAATTTTTGTTTTTGTTATTGAATTTGGGGTTCTTTTTTTGAATGGAGAGACAAGATTCAGTTAATTATTAACGAAGTCGAAATGTGTGTGTTGTTCTCTCATCCCCGCCATTAATGCGTTTCCTCAACAGCATTTACTTTTAACACGGGAGAGACGGACGACGATGACGATAAGCGCGTCTCGTTTTCGTGTGTAGGGTCTCCAAGGAAGGAGAAGGCCTCACCTCACCTCACCTCACCTCCCTTAATTATTATTATTTCGACATGGAAGTATAAATTATTATTAATTTAAATGATTTTTAAAAATATATATATATTGGAGGGTGCTTATGGTCATATTACAAGTTGGACTATTTGGTCTTTTAGGTGATTGTTTAAAATCTATATAAAAATAATAATAAAAAAAGAAGTAAGATTTTTATTATAATAGATTGTGGTCAGGGTCAGGACAGAGAGTGCAAGTGCTCACCCTCTTTTACTTTCTTCGCATTTCGAGACATCTCTTGTGAACTCTTTTTAAATATATATATATGTATTTTTCTTTTATTTTTCCACAATATAACGAATAAAAAGTTTAAAGCAAAGGAAATAAAAAAAAGAGAATCCAAGTTAAGAAAATGCTCCATGATAAATAAGTAAAAAAAAAACGAATTGGTCGGTCTTGTGGTGGGACGGGGCGTGAAGGTAGTAAGTAGTAGCAGAGGAAAAAAAATTCGAAAACAAAAAAAAAAAAAGATAGAAAAAGCTATTCCAACCATAAAATTATTATTATTATTATTACAAATAAAATTTTAAAAAATTCTTTGAGTAAAATACATTTTTTTTTGAAAATAGAGCTTTTTTTTTTTGTAATTAAATAAGTTTCCAATCTCTACCCCTTCGTTCTTTCTTCTTCTTCCTCATCTCTTTCCTCATATTTTTTCAACATTTCCTCCTTTCTTCTTCTTCTTCACACAAACACACACAGATCTCTTCACCATCACATTACTTCTGGTTTTTTTACATCTTTCTTCAACCTTCTCCATGAGGAAAGGGAGAGGCTCTTCCGTCGTTGGTCCCGCCCTTCCAGTAACCGCCGGTGGATCTGTGAAGGAGCCGAGGTATAGAGGCGTCAGGAAGAGACCTTGGGGTAGATTCGCCGCGGAGATCCGTGATCCATTAAAGAAATCCCGTGTTTGGCTCGGTACTTTCGATTCCGCCGAGGAAGCTGCACGCGCTTACGACACCGCCGCTCGTAACCTCCGTGGTCCTAAGGCCAAGACCAATTTCCCGATCGATTGCTCTCCTTCTTCTCCTCTCAACTACCACCACAACCAGAATCAGAATCAGAATCAGAATCTATGCTCTGCTGCCGCCGCCCCGGCGAATCAGAATCAGAACCAGATCGATCCGTTTATGGACCATCGGTTATACGGCGGAGGTAATTTCCAGAACCAGCAGCAGCAGATTATCAGCCGCCCGGCGAGTAGCAGCATGAGCAGCACCGTCAAATCGTGTAGCGGACCCAGACCGATGGAGGCCGCGTCTTCGTCGGTGGCGAAGCCGTTACATGCCACTAAGAGATATCCCAGGACTCCACCGGTGGCTCCGGAGGATTGTCACAGCGATTGCGATTCGTCTTCCTCTGTTATTGACGACGGGGACGATATCGCGTCTTCCTCTTCCCGCCGGAAACCGCCGTTTCAGTTTGATCTTAATTTCCCGCCGTTGGATGGCGTTGACTTATTCGCTGGCGCCACGGATGATCTTCACTGTACCGATCTACGTCTTTGATTTATCGGTAAAACATAAACAAAAACCAACAACAAGATCCGTTGATTTACTTACACACACGAACCATCAAAATAATTATGCTCCTTTTTTTTTCTTTCTTTTTCATTTTCCTTTGATCTCATATTGAAAGAAAAACACAAGGAAAAAAAAAGATTGAAAAAAAAAAAAATGGATTGAGCGTGTGATGATTTTTATCATCAACGAAGATGATGACGATTATTGCAAAAAAGAAAGAGAGAGAGAGATTGTGTTAGATCTGTAACCAGATCTGAGTTTCATTTTATCTGTTTCTTATTAAAGATCGATGAACCCCTTTGTTACATATAACAACATTCTTGAAGCTGATGATGATTCTGAATGATTTCAAAATCTATTAGTCTTTAGATTTCTACTTCTTCGTAGAGAGAGAGAGAGTATCTCTGGTGTGGGTAGGAAGGTGCATTTACACAATAGTATGTGACAGGACCACACAGGGAACAAATATTCGTTTGTCTTTTGTCTCTTGGCTTGATCTTGGTATAATCCAGGGTTTCTTCTATTCACATTGTTGTTAAAAGCTTGAAGGTAGAAAGACCGTGAAGCTCATTTGCTGTCTAATTGGGTGATTCGAAGAGAGAAGTTGGAATACTCATTGTTATTGCTAAGCTAAGCTCTGAAGTTTTCATTCATCTGTTTAGATGCAGCAGGAAGAAAAGAAAGGCTTCCCCTTTCGTGTAGCCAATCCATGTTTGGATGTTGACCAACAGAGAGATTAAGGGCATGGGTCAATGGGGGTGAGTGAATTGGGTGGTCGATAAAGCTCAAGGCCAAATCTTTAGGTTAAAGTTTGGTGGCTGAGATGATTGTTTTGATCTTTGAGAGCTGTGGGTTGGGTGGAAGAATTCGTTGTGTGTTTGACCATTTTGATTTTGAAAATTTTCTGGTAGAGAGAGAGAGGTGTCCCAAATTTTGGTATCTACTTTGCTTCTCTGCCACGGATTCAGACAGTGAATCTTTGTGTCTGAAGCAAAACCGAGCTTTTTTTTTACCGTTTTGAGTTAGGTTTCGTCTTAAGTTAAAGCTTTTTGCAAGATGGAGTGGAAGTCAAAAGCAATGTCTTGTTCTTTACTGTAAAGATTTAGGACATGACTGGAACTCAAGTAGCTTTACCTTTTCCGTTAGAATTCCAGTTTGAGATTTATCTTCTAATTTTATGGAATTGAGGATTAAATCCACCAAACGATTCTCACATTGTTTCTTTTTATTTGGGTTCATAAAATGTCTGTTTCAGACTATAGTATATCTATCAATATGTATGTGTAATTATTTTTTCTACTGTTTCAAAACACTAAACAGACAAAAATTATATTTTAAGAATTTATGGTTGAAATTTCTAAGACCATATTTTCTAGTGGACCAAACCTGCAAAATAATTGTGCTCTCTGCGTATGATATAATGAGACAGATTTACTCTAACCTTTAGTCATTAATTATTGGATATATTCCCTCCATTAACCCAAAATGCGTTATTAATTCTTGTCTAAAATCTATTTTAATACCAAGACGATAAAAAAAAAAAAAATTTCTTGTCTAAAATAAAATCTCAGGATTTTCCACCAAAAAAAAACAAAAATCCCAGGATTTAAGATAATGCTAAGATTAAGGAGAAAATGAAGAATCAAAAATTTGTTAATACAAAAAATGGATTCATGAACTAGAACTGGATGTGGCTTAAGATATTATTATTTTAGAATGAGGAGAAAAATAAATATCTAGAATTAACAAGGCAAATGGGTCTAAATTATTATTATTAAGGCAAATGGGTTAACTAGCCAAATGGATAAACAACATTAGGGAGTATTCTAAAATGTCTAACAACTGGCTATCACTAGTGTAAACAGAGAGTGCATTGTGACATTTATAATCCGAGAAAAATAATAATAAGTTCACTAATTAGTTAGTCTAGTCTTGTTCTACTCTTTTCCCAAACATACAAAAGTGAGTTATAATACTCGGTTTCACAAAACTATCATTACGATCAAACCCCTCACTTTGATTTTTGTTTCTCTTTGTTGATGAAAGATTGAAAGTTAAAAAACTTGAATCTTGGATTTTTGGACTTGCCGAGTGAGTGTATTCTAATGTCTACTATACCTTATTTTTAGAGATTATTTGAAGTTTAATCAGTCATTCAGGTATCGAATAATTGAGGTTTTTCAAATGGTTTTTGGTTTTCGTTTTTCTGAGACTTAGGCCATTAATGATTTTGAGCCCTAAAATAGAAATCTAAATTTGAAACGTTTTTAACAATTTCGTAACAAAATCCAAAACCACTGAAAAATCTCCCATAACCTTTTTATTTCCTTGACATCAAATCTCTTAAAATTAAATTGCCTCGTCAAAGCAAGTAATCTAATTTAGACTTACAATGCAATAAATATAAAATTGAATTTGAATAAAAGTTAGGAAAAAGAAAGAAAAGGAAAGAATGTATTGGGAGGTTTGACCAAATCAGGAAAGCTGTGCTTCGATAGGTCTGAGAACTCTCTTTATTTAGTGGGAGGCTGTTAAAGAATGATCATCAATCTTGAAAATTTCATTCAAGTAATTAATTTGAGGAGAATAAACAAATACAGAACTTAAGAACAAACTGGATGAATACACGTTGCTATGAAAGCCTAATAATACTAAAAACGTGTAAAGACGTGATTTAAACTCTCTTTGATAGAGGACAAAAAAACAAGCAAAAGCAATTGCAAACCTTTTACCAAAAATAATAATATTGCAAACCTATACTGAACTATTAATCCTAGAATACGAGGAAGCATCAATATTATCATTATCAGCTACAATATATATATATAAACAAATATTGAAAATTCAAATTGATCGTGACATGATATTTCAGTCTTATGAGTTCTATTGTTCATGACAAATACTTTGTGTGACATTTTCGTTTCTACTACTAATAACTAAATGCATATTTTTCACGTATTGTTTTATAAATAGAATTTCAAAATCTTCAATAGTAAAAAAAAAACTACAAGATACAACAGAAAATATTATTTGTACACCAATGACTTCAACAAACAAACAAAAAAACGAAAAATCTAAACAAATCAATATATGAAAGAGAGATGCAACGACAATGTTTATCGTGTAGTAGTAGTAAAGATGGAATATAGAAATCATCAAATTCGTGAAGCGAATACATTATTTAAGACGAATGCAGCATAGCCATAGAGAGCCCAATCTTTTTTTTTTTGTCGACAAGAGCCCAATCATAAGGTTACAAGTATTACACAAATAAAAACACACACACCCCATGATTTATTCGAATAATTGACATCTATCTTTATTTTTTCATATATAGATTATAAACTATTCCTTTAAATTTATATATATATATATATATATTTTATTTATATATACTCATTGATCAATCCTTCCAATAAACTCAAGACATGCCGCCGGGGGATCTAGAATTCTTTAAGTAATCCTCCAACTAAACAAAAAAAAAATTAAGACGGACAGATTAAAAGAGTTTACTTTAGGTTTTTTTTTTGGTAGGAAGAGTTTACTTTAGCTGATGAGTTGATCTAATTATCTTTGTATATGTGTGTGTGTCTTTTTCGTATTTACAAATAATAATAATAATAATAATAGATGGTGATTAAAATGTAGCTTAATACGTGGCGCCGTAAGTAGGGTGATAAGCGTAATCTACGGCCTCAATTTTCACAACATAACATGTCCTATGTGGGACCCCACTCTACAGCCTGTGTTGTGTTCACTTCCAATTGTTTTTTTTTATTCTTTTTCTCAATTGCCACGTAAACTTGTTTCCGCCGAAATCTTATTATTAAAAAAAAAACGTTATCACAACACAATTTTGTCACGAATTATTACAATAATAAAACGAATATTTAACTTGAATATATTGACGACAATAAAATAATTAACTTGAATATATATTCCTACATCTAAATTATATGATCCATTGTACACAATTTCTAGAAATAGAAAAAAAAATGAAAAAAATATTGTGAACCTTATTTGAGCAGAAATTATATGATTCATTGTCACTGTATGCAAATTTTGTTAACCTATGTAAACAGATCATACATTTATTTTACATGCCATATTTAAAATGAAATTAAGGTTTTACTTTTTTTACAGATAGAAATAAAAATTTTGAAATGATGAAAATACTTTTGTCAGTAAGTTAGATAGAAACCCCGTGATTGTGAAATCATAATTATCCCATGAATACAAAATCTACTTGCTTTCCTTCTTCTTCTTCTTTTTTTTGTTCGTTCGTGAACCTGAACCAATATCGTTTCTTCTAATTACAAATGCAAGTGCACAATTTCGTCTCTATTTATTAATCCTAAACTGCACTTGTTCATATATGAGCAAACAATAACACTAATTTACATAATAAAACCACTACTAAAATCTTGGATTAATTTTGGCGGTAAAGAAGTAGTTAAATATATATATATTTTGGTCACACAGTTTATGTAAATAAAATTACAATTAGTAAAATGGGTTTATATAATAATAATAAAAAAGGTTGTCAAAGGCGACGTTAATAACATGGATCCTATTCCTTACTTATAAATAACCATATAGACAATTTTAGGCTATTCCCTCCTGAGAGAGAGATCCCTTTGCCCTCTATCTTTCAACCGCGTCATCATCATCAATTTATATTTGGCAAAAAACCCAAAAAAAGAAAAAGAAACAGAGCCTCTCCTCGAAAATTTATCATTTTCCGAGAGCGATCGTCCCATGGCGGACATCGACATCGGAACGGCAGCAACAACAGGAGTACACGACGGAGGAGGAGGAGGAGGAGTACGAGAACGGCTGATCAACCGAGAAACAAAGTTCAAACGAAGCGTATCTCACGCACAAGACGAGCTCCAGAGCTTCCGTAAATACCTCCGATGGATGTGCGTCGATCAGTCCAGCCCTTGGACCGCTCTTCTCTCCTGGTCTATGTTCGTTGTTTTCACCGTCGTGGTTCCCGCCACCTCTCACTTCATGCTCGCCTGTGCTGACTGCGACAGCCATCACTCCAGGCCTTACGATTCCGCTGTTCAGCTTTCTCTTAGCTCTTTCGCTGCTCTTTCCTTTCTCTGTCTCTCCAGATTCGTTAGCAAGTATGGTCTCCGCCGCTTTCTTTTCTTCGACAAGCTTTGGGATGAGAGCGAGACCGTCCGCCGTGGCTACACCAATCAGCTCAATGTTTGTTTTCCTTTCCCTTTTGATTTGCTTTGTCTGAATTTCTGAGTTTTGTCCTCTTCTTGTCTCGTTTCTCGTTTCCAATTTGAATTTGGGGTTCTAGATTTTTTTGGGAATTCTGGGATTACGATTGAAATGATTTTGGTTTCTTCCTTCCGACACGTCGTTGATCTGTAAAGGTCGGTTCTGTCGTTTTCTGTTGAAATTTTTTGGAACATTCCAAATCTTGTCGCACTATTGAGTAGATGATCAAATTAACAATCTGAAACAAATTAGCAAACCCTAGAAGTTTAAAGGTTTATAATCCCATTGCATCTCAATCCAGAACATAAATCTCTCCCATGGTGTTATGAATAGTGAAATACTTTGAATCTTTTAGAAACATCTTCTTTACTTGCTCCACAAGCATTTACAATGTTTTGCTTTTGTTTTATGAATTACTATATAACCATGTTTATATAACTGTGTTCTGAAAATCACAACTTTCTTTTTTGTTATGCAGAGATCGCTTAAGATTCTGTCCTACTTCGTTACTCCTTGTTTCTTAGCGATGAGTTCGTACAAGATATGGTGGTATGCTTCAGGGGCTTCTCAGATTCCTTTCCTCGGTAATGTTATCTTGAGTGATACAGTTGCTTGCCTGATGGAACTCTGCTCGTGGCTGTATCGAACCACAGTGATCTTCCTGGTTTGTGTCCTCTTCCGTCTCATCTGCCATCTCCAGATCCTAAGGCTACAAGACTTTGCTCAGGTTTTCCAGATGGATTCGGATGTTGGTTCCATTTTGTCTGAACATCTCCGCATCAGACGTCACTTGAGAATTATCAGCCACAGATACCGAACCTTTATACTGTTGTCCTTGATTCTTGTTACTGGCAGTCAGTTTTACTCCCTGCTTATTACCACTAAGGCCTATGCTGATCTGAATATCTACAGAGCTGGAGAACTTGCAGTAAGTTCTGTTCAACTTGCTATAGTGGATCTTGATGAAAAACTTTTGCTTCTTTAACCATTTTGCTTAATCTTTTATTTTGTGCTTATCTCAGCTATGCTCAATGACGCTGGTCACAGCGCTGCTCATTCTACTACGAAGTGCTTCAAAGATCACACACAAGGCTCAGGCGGTGACTTGTCTTGCTGCTAAGTGGCATGTCTGCGCGACAATAGAATCCTTTGAGACAGTGGATGGAGAGACTCCAAGGTTAGTTGATAGAGCAAGCGGACCAGGATACTATCCAACAGATGGTGATACTGGAGGATCAGACAGTGAAGATTATGGAGACGAAGAAGATGATTTCGATAACAACAATCTCATCCCTGCTTATGCGTATAGCACAATATCGTTCCAAAAACGGCAAGCTCTAGGTACATATAGGCCTCTGCATCCATAACCAAGTCTCGTATATTCACATCTTTAGTTTTATATATACTCATCTTCACAAAAAATTTGTTTCATTTTGTAGTGAATTACTTTGAGAACAATAAGGCAGGAATCACGGTGTTTGGGTTTACACTTGATAGAAGTACTCTTCATACAATCTTCGGAATTGAAATGTCGCTTGTTCTCTGGTTACTTGGTAAAACCATTGGAATTTCTTGAACCATTCTTTGGATCATAGAAGTTTTCAAAGTTTTGGCTCCCTTGTTGGTTGATGCTGCTATGTGTAACAGAGGCTCTATGTAAAATAACATTTTCTCTTTCTTTTTTTTGATCACTGTAAATCATCTTATTTGTTCTTTAACACGTTGATTTTGTAATAGATTTCATGTGTTCAACGAGTGATCTTACAGTAAATTAGATTGGCCATAATTAAAGAAGTTCATATTGTTCTTGTAGTTACCCACTCTTGTGTCTCTCTGTTTTGTGCTTTTGAAATTGTTATATTTTATTTTAAACTTTGTGATACGACTTTCTAAATCAGATAAAATATGTTTTCATGATGACACATATAACAAGTTACAAATGATTAAAAATGAAAGCTACGTGTTGTTGTGATATTGATGTAATTATTTCAGTTTCTATGTTATTGGATAAGTGAGATTTTATTTGAGTAAATATTGACAAATCTTCTTAACATATTAAAGTGTTATAAGATTATATATTTCAGTTTCTATAAATTCATATATTGATGTAGAATCTCAAATACAAAAATTAAAATGGTAACTTGTAGTAATGAAAACATTAAATCTAATCAAATAATTGTAGATAAAAAAAGAGATTAGGTTAAAGTTAAATTACATTATTTTTAAATTAGCAGATTTCATTTAATTTAAATCATCTTAATTTTCATCAAATCTAAAGTATTTACTATGTTGAAAAAAAAAAGAAAAAAAGAAAAAGAGCAGTATTGACCATGACTTATCCAAGGCTCCTTTTATAGCTCGAGCAGAGCTATCCAAAATTCTGGAGCAATAATAATTGAGACAACCAACACTGCAAAATAAAATCTATCACATAGATTTTTAATAGTGTGGGTTATTACGATAGATCAACAGTTTTGGGGCATATGTGAAAGATATTGAAAATACAGGGCAGGTTCTTGCATTGGTAGTTCTCTTGCCTCCCTTCCCTTGCCGTCGAGACGAAGAACCCGCTTTCTCTGTAAACCGTAATCTCACGTTTACAAAACCAACTTTTTATTTTATTTGTATTTGCTTACGGCTTTACCGTAATGTCCCAAGTTCAATTTCTGGAAATCTGGATTCACACCTGACAAGTTTGTTAATCTGCCGCACATCATTAGATATTTGCAATCGGCGGAGATGGAGATCGAATCCGTCGCAGCTGGTTCTTGTTCCAAGGAGAATCAAATGATCTACAAGGAATGGTTTGAGTTCGCCGATTCAGGTCTCTTTTTTGTTTACTTAATCCTGTTTCTGCGTCAGTCTACAATCTTATGATTCAAAATTTGCGCTAAGAGCTTCTCTGTTTGGTGTGATGAGCAGACGGCGATGGACGCATTACTGGTAACGATGCGATCAAGTTCTTCTCTATGTCGAACTTGCCTCGTCCGGAGTTGAAACAGGTTTGGCTTTCAGTCTAAATTGATTGCGTTGGTTTTAGTTACTTGACTTGTGTATTATTTATTCTCTGGATTTATCTGACGATTGAACAAGTTCACTTTAGGATAGAAAAGATGCTATGATTATGGTTTAGTTAAATTCCATACATACGTGATTGCTTGGATGGTTTTTTGAAGGGGAAAGCTTTATAGCTTTTATGGAAAGTAATGTCCTTTGTGACCATGTTCTACACAGAGTGATGTAGTCGTTGATTATATTGGGGTTTCTGATACCTTATGTTAATTTGGGTTCTGCCTGCCAAAGCATTTAAGCCTTTTTGTTGATTCATTTCATTTGTCTGGAAGGGTGCTAACTGTGAAGCTTATGGTTTGTTGATAGATATGGGCAATTGCAGATTCAAAGCGGCAAGGGTATCTTGGTTTCAAAGACTTTATTGTTGCTATGCAGGTTGTTGACATTCAGTTTATATCTCACTTTTACATGTCTATGTCTCTTGTTGTGAATCTAATTTATTGTTGTTTTTCAACATTATAGCTTGTTTCTTTGGCTCAAACTGGACATGAAATATCACATGAAGTTCTTAACAGTGACGGTATGGTCACTGAAGCGTGAATCCATCGTTTTTGTTTTGTTTGGAAAACTCATGCTTAACTACTGTCTTCGTGTCAATATGCTCATTGTTTAGTTACATGTACATTGTTCTTGTTTCTGAAACATTTTTGGCTAACTGCAGTTGATTTCAAAGATATTAAATCTCCTACCATGGAAGGTCTGGGTGTATTAATGGCGGTTAGTATTGGGACTATAGTTTTCCATTTATATCTTTGGAGTTCAAATAAAGATTACTTACAGCTGTTCATTTAATACAGAAGAAGAAGCATTCATCAAAGTCGAGTGATCTTAATATCAATGGTACAAATAATTTCTTCCTACTCTAGAGCCAGCAGTTTACTTTTGTATCTCATTTGATTCAGTTATTCAGGTAGCCCTGCCGCAGACACATCACTTACAGCTCACTGGTTCTCTTCAAAGTCTTCAAAAAAGGTTTGTTTTACCCCGGGCAGTCTATTTAACCACCAACCATTTATTGCCATATTTAGTAAACATTCCTTTTGATCGCTCTTACCTATATCTTTCAAAAAGATCACTGGTAGAGTTTCTGTTATCTTTTTCTCAGCAGCTAAGATATAGTTAATTGACATCTATCGTTTCTGAAAACTGATGTTCTTGTTCTCAGATTTCTTTGTCCTCCGTAACATCTATAGTGGATGGCCTGAAAAGGTTGTACATTCAGAAGCTAAAACCACTTGAAGTAGCATATCGGTTTAACGATTTTGTATCCCCATTGTTGGTGAGTTGGGCATTTCTTATTGATATTCATATACATATAGCGACAATTCTGGATAAGTGTTATTGAAGTTTGGTTATGCTATCGAGTTCTAAGCTTTGACCATTGAACTAATTATTTGTGTTCTTTTTAGACTAACAGTGATTTCGATGCGAAACCTATGGTAATGCTTCTGGGTCAATACTCCACAGGGAAAACAACATTCATTAAGCATTTGCTTAAAGCTAGTTATCCAGGCAAGTTATCCATCTTATCCTCTCTTCTCTCCTTCTGGGACCTAACTGGTTTCAGTGTCTAAAATGGAGATGCATCACTGATTACCCATAAAACAGCTTCATATAACCTCAATTATCATATATTTCAGGAGCTCATATCGGACCAGAACCGACTACAGACAGATTTGTTGTTGTCATGGTATGTTAATTGTAATTATCCAAGACTTTCGTTTGTGGGATGATGTATTACTCCTTTGAAACATTGATCCATCATCTTCTTCTAAAATATTTGAAGTTTCGATTATGTGGTTGACAATGGTTGCTAGATTATTTCATTTCCACCTCTCATAAAGGGTTACCCCTACCTGTTTAATGTGTTTCCAGTCTGGACCTGATGAAAGAAGCATTCCGGGGAACACAGTAGCGGTTCAAGCAGATATGCCATTTAGTGGTCTTACAACTTTTGGGACGGCCTTTTTGTCAAAGTTTGAATGCTCTCAGATGCCTCACCCTGTATGTTTAACCTTATACTTCTGACAGAATGTTCATTGCTTTTGCTTGTATTGATTTGCTGATAATTTTTTATCCATTCATCTTTGTTTAAGCTGCTGGAGCATGTAACATTTGTCGATACCCCTGGAGTTTTATCAGGGGAAAAGCAAAGGACACAGCGAGCATATGAATTCACTGGTGTTACGTCATGGTTTGCCTCTAAGTGTGATCTCATCCTCCTCCTATTTGACCCACACAAGCTGGATGTAAGTGATGAGTTCAAGCGTGTAATTTCATCTTTACGTGGTCATGATGACAAGATCCGCGTAGTTCTGAATAAGGCTGACCAAGTGGACACTCAGCAGGTTCACACCTCGATCTATTATCGAGTCTTATTTCCCTTTTTCCACTCACTTCTTTGATTGTTTTCCATGTTCTAATATATGGACACGTCTGTCTCTGTATCTTGTATAGCTAATGAGGGTATATGGAGCTCTCATGTGGTCACTTGGGAAAGTTCTCAATACTCCTGAGGTTTGCCGTGTCTATATTGGGTAAGCGTACCTCTTTCTTCAACGTGTTGGCAGTGTTTTACTTAGATAAAAACTGTTTGAAACTAGAATTTATGTTTTGATGTCCTTGTTTGTTTGCTTTGAACAGTTCGTTCAGTGATAAACCTATAAATGAAGCTGCAACTGGTCCAATTGGGAGAGAATTGTTTGAAAAGGAGCAAGATGACCTTCTCGCTGATTTAAAAGACATTCCAAAGAAAGCTTGCGATCGTCGAGTGAGTGTGCACCTTTCTTCTTTCACTCCCTTCCCTCTGATTGGATCTAACTGTAATTGTTTTCTGTATAATAGATAAATGAGTTTGTGAAACGGGCAAGAGCAGCAAAGATACATGCGTATATCATCAGCCATTTGAAGAAGGAGATGCCAGCCATAATAGGGAAAGCCAAAGCTCAACAAAAACTGATAGATAACTTAGAAGATGTCTTTGGAAAGGTTGGTTTGATTCTGTGGATCTTTTCGAGCCGTTTGTGAATTTGAGAATCTTTCATACTAACCCGTGTTTCGAATTTGTGTGTGACATGAAAACAGGTACAAAGAGAGCATCACTTACCAAAAGGAGATTTCCCAAATGTGGAGCATTTCAGGGAGGTGCTAAGTGGTTACAACATCGACAAGTTTGAGAAGCTAAAGCCAAAAATGTTGCAGACTGTTGATGATATGTTGGGGTATGACATTCCAGAGCTCTTGAAAAATTTCAGAAACCCTTATGACTAATTCTTTCATCCCTTCTTAGCTCTGTGGTTACTGTTATAGTCCTAAAATTTACATTCAACTCCTTAAACAGCCCCTGTGAGCATTAATGCACATTTGTATTTTTAAAAGATCTGTAGAGACAGACAATAAAGACACATAACGAGTGCTGACTTGATAATTGGCTTATATATCCAAAAACCAAATGTATTGACTTTTCTAAAATCAATAGTTTTAGTTTTAGAAAGTATCACTTTTCTTATTTATTTGGTTTATGATGTGTTCTTGTAATAATATATTTCCAAGTTATAGGAGACAATAGAGCACACTTTCTATAACTGGACGATAGAGAATAAGTGATTTAGTATGATGATGTTGCAGGATCAAAATCAGTTTAAACATGAATAAAAAAAAATTCATTTTATTTCATAAGTCAAATATTAACCTGAATCATGAATTAATGATAGTATTACAGTTCTTATTTTTTAAAGGCTGCAAAAACTTGAAATTGATCATAAATTGGTTTTGCACCGTATTGAACCTCATTAGGAACCCAAAGATGAGAGAAGACAATAGTTGCTTGTAAAATAATCCCACGTAATGCTAAAGAATTCTAGGCAGCGTTTGCCTCCTTTATCGAATCTTACTTAACAAACTCGGGATTTGAAGGATGTTCCTGATGTCTAATATCTAAACCAGTTAACTCTTTGCCTTCCCGTGAATCTCCCAAGACATTCTGTCAAGATTCTTGTACATTGGGTGTTTCCTTCTGGATTTTTGAATGATAGTTAGATGACACCGGAGGCGGCTGAGATGCTGTTTTCTCCGACAGGTAAGCTGAATGCTCTTGTGGCATGGAGTGTTCGGCAGTGATCTTTGAATCTTGATCTGATGAAACTACCTTTAAAGATTCTGTAGCGTGGTTCTGGCAAGTTTCAGAAGCAAATTTCTCCCGAGCATCCTTCAGAGAGTCTGAATGAGATGTAGATTCTGATGGATTCTCACACTCAGCAACATTTCCCATAGGAGGTTGTGGTTCATCAACAACAATTTCTATAGGAGCTGCATCATCAGTTGCTTTTGCATCCTCAGAATGAGTCAATGTATGAACTTGAGTGGTAAGGTCAGCTTTCGATATAGAGTCAGCAGTTCCAGAGGCGGTTGAGCTGCTGTCACCATTTTGGGTAACGGATGGGGCTCTTGCGATAAAGCTAGTAGTTATTGGTGTAGTCGGCCTAACACTTGAGGTTGCATTCACAGGAACTTGATTATTAACGCGCAACGGAGAAGTGCAGCTCAGAGTGCCAACTGGTGTCAAAGGTTTTGACATGAGGCCATTGTTTATCACTGAACTTGTACGTGAACTTGCTGTAAGATTTGGAGTCTCGGTAAGTGATATCAGTGCTGGAGAACTGGCTCCAGAGGTAACATTTTCCGTATACCTTTGTGATCCAATGTTAGTAGTCTTTGCTGCGCTTGGAGTTGTATTTGCATTTACACTAGTAGCCTCAACATGAGATGTAGTTGATGCTCCAGAAACAAAGCCAGAGAAGTTTTGCACTCTGGGAGTCGTAGTTACAATTTGTTTTTGTTGATTAACCTTCATATCCATCGATCCAATTTTCTTCGCTGAGGATGATTGAACTCCGGCTGTACTAGAAGGCACTTTTGCTGCAGTTGTAGTTACGGCACGAGTTGTACGACCATACGTAGGAGGAAATGGCTTCCCATTGAATGCTTGCACGCATCTTGAGCAATGCCATTCAGATTTTGGAACCCCTTTAATATTGTTTGCTTGCAGACATTTCAAGTGGTATGCTTTTTCACAGGCATCACAAATCAGTAGAGTGTCCATTTCTTTGATGGTAATATCACACATCTGGCATGCCATTGCCCTGCTCATATACTCTCTTGAAGGTGGATTCCACAAAGGATATTGTTTAACCAGTGGTTGTAGAAATTTTTGGACTATCTTGGCAATTTCACTATGGTTGTTTCCAAAGGAAGAAGTCTGACCATAATTCATCCCCTGCATCGGCTGATTTGTTTTTGGGAATGTACCGTGCGGAGTTTGAGACATGAACGGCCTAAAGCTTGGATCTGCTAACCTGGCAGAATTTTGTATAGGAACCTTCTTATCTGGAGCAGAGCTGAAAGATATGGTGGATTGAGATTTGGCAGACCAGGGTGCTGCATAATAATTTGCGGTAGAAACTGCTGAAACACAAACAAATAGAATATAAAATGAACTCATAACCTAAAAAGAAAAAGCTATTAAAGAACTGGAAGCATAACAAGTAAATTTGGCAACTAAAGATAGAAACCTAGCCAAAAAGAGAGGCTAACATGACCAGTCATATTTATTATTTCTTATGACCAGTGTGAGCTTTACAAAGTTTACACAAGAAAATGGCAGCATTCACAAAAAGTTTAATTATTTCTAAGTAGTAACTCAGCTATAGGCCCACAATTCTAGTGATTGGTCAATAATTTGTAGGTACTTGGCTGTCATAGACCATTGACCACCTTCACCAAGTTTAAAAGTCCTAATGTATAAAGAAGTAGCAAACCAACTAGAATACCCTAGCCGAAAGATAAGATTTCTATTTTCCAAATCAAAGGTTCAAAGTATCTAATCACTATAACTGCATCTACACAAAATTAAAGGGGATATGAGGACTTACAAGTCCCTTGAGAGGCACCGTTAAGTATCATCTGAGGTCTCTCAGTTTTGAAATGGCTTCCACTTGTGTTAACTGTATTAACTTCTCTATTAGGCCACTGATGTGCCACAGAAGCTTTATTCGCTGCAGAAACAAAGGGTAAAGAAACTGTCACAATGCCTGAAGACAGAAATTTGATGGTTTGTAAAAACGCTGACAGTATGAGTAGCCGTACCAAGACCTGGAGATGCAACACTACCATTTGCCTGTGACAATGCAGATACAGTAGATACAGTAGAGGTAGGATACCTTTTTACTTCTTCCATCTGGAAAAAAAGTTGAATGAAAAACATGACGAAAGCGCACAGAGTAATTTGCATTTTTCAACAAAAGTATAGCCAATTGAATTGAAGAGAACATGACACAAGAAGCAACCAAAGTTTTTGTTCCGCCATGAAATTAGAATTCACAAAAAAGGACAAGATGAAGAAACAAAAGGCATAACCTTTCTTTTTCCAAGAGAAAGCTTCTCGAAGATAGTCAGCTTAGGAGCTCGGAACCCTACTCTCTGGTCATAAAGTTGACCATTCAAACCCAAATCATCAACCACAGCTGTAACATCATCCTTACGGAGGATATCGATAGGGGTAAACTCCTGACACAATCCAGCTAATTTCGACTTAGCTTCAACCATCAGCTGGAGTTCCAAATCCGTGGGAGTTTCTCCACCTCGCATCCTCCCTAAAGCCGACAAAACCAAAACAATCTCGGCCACTCTGTTCATATCTTGGCCAAAACATTGCCTTTTGGCAGGCGGAGACACCAGTTGCTCCTCTTCGTTTCCGTCAATCATCGGAGTCGCTGATTCTAGATCCATCGGAAAGAGTACTAGCCGCCGAGACAGCTATATCCACGGCGGGAAAGGAAGAAGAGAAACCCTAGAAGAAGAAGGGAAGGAGGGAGATCTCCATTGTTTAAATTTTTGAAAAAAAGAAAGAATTAAAAAACAGAGAAGCCTTTATTTATACGACGAGCCAACAACACACCCACGAAGCTGAAGACGGAGGAGAGATGTTTAGATAGAGAGAGAGAGAGGGAGATTGATGAGAGAGACGATGAGATCTTTTGACTTTAGAGAGATATTGTAATAGAAAAACAATATTTTCCTTTTTCCTTTTTTCTTAATCTTATGATGTTAGGCCCACATTTAAGAGGCCTGAATGATCCAAAAAAAGCCCCAAATAAATTCTTCATGGGTTTTTTTTTTCCCAAAAGAAAAAATTTAGCAATTACTGTATATGAAACATTGGTCTAAGACAATTTATCTGAACATAAAACAGCCAATAATCAAAACCAAAACACACATTTTAGAAGTATGACTTTGTCAAGTCAATAAAATAAAGAAAATGTGGACTAGATTGAGGACTTTTGTATCAAGTCCATAAATAATAACGAGGGTGAACAATTAAAATTAAAAAAAAAAACAATATGAGTGGTCGTGTTTTTAGTACAACATCACTGATGAAGTGATAACTACTACTTTGACTCTAGGATAAGTGCATTTTTTTCTTACAAAGCATCCATGATTACTTTTTCAATAGTTTAAATGCATGTTTTTTTTTTTAAATTACAAATCATGATAGTAAGATCATAATCTGAATAGTTATCATCATTTCTCAAGTATTTTTCTTGGGATCTTTCATGAGTTGTTGTACCGTAAGAAAAGAGTTGAATGAAAGTTTTCTCAAAATGTCATTATCAGGAACTTTTCACGGAAGGACTATTCAACAACAAGATCGTTATAATAATCTTGCTTTTCAACTGATCAGTTTGAATCTCCAGTCTTGTTCATTTTTGTTATTATTAAGATGGATTGGTGGAAGAAGAAGATGTCACGAGCCGTTGTTAAAAAAGAGAGGTTGGCAAGAGGCCAAAGGAGAGGGGAGATGTTTCTGAAAGAGCTCATCCAATGCTGCGATGGCAAATCCAATCCTATCAAGTTCTTCTCTGCTGATCAAATCCTCAAAGCCACTGCAAGAGATTTCTGCAAGTGTAATACCCTTGAGAGAAGCCAAAACGTCTGCGAGTGTAGTCGTGTCTCTGAGTTGCTCTCTCAAGGGAAATGGTATTCAGGTATGCTCGATAACCATCGCATGATCCTTGTTAAGAAGATGTTAGGCAGAAGCCCTGACCCTCCTAGAGATATTTGCTCAGGACCCCCTAAAGACATTGCCATATCATCAATGCTCAGCGGTCACAAAAATTTCATGAAACTGGTTGGATGTTGTTTGGAGTTTGAATATCCAGTCCTGGTTTATTATGGTGCAGAGAAGCAATACTCCCCTATAGATTTAAAAGTGGTAGTGTCGTTGAGAAAGAGAATGAAGATAGCAGAGGAGGTTGCATCTGCTTTAGCTTACCTTCACAGTGCGTTCCCAAGGCCCTTTGTGTATAGGAATATGGGATTTCGGAATATCTTGTTGGATGAAGATGGTGTTGCTAAACTGATTGATCTGTCTTATTGTGTCTCTATTCCAAAAGGAAAAACGTTTCTAAAGCTTACTTGGGTAGGAAGAGATTACGATTACATGGACGATGATCATTTATTCAATCGGGTAGTGTCCGAGAAAACTGATGCCTTCGGCTTTGGAATTTTCATGCAAAAGCTTGTGGCAGGAGAAGAAAGTTTTGACGAGCTTTGTGGTTTGAAGAACTGGAGAGGGATAAACAAAGTGCCAAAAAGGTTGTCAGCCAAATCCATGGGAGAGGGAAGCGTGGATGAGATCGTCGATCCAAAGATGTTGGAGAAAGTTTCAGAAGTAGAGCGTTACCGAATGGAGTTTTTCCTTAACCTCTCAGAAAGATGCATCGGTCTTAGAGGGGAAGTTCCAGAAATGGTTCAAGTCGCCAAAGAACTAAAGAGATTCCGTGAAAGCCAAATCGACTCTGCTCAAGACATATCTTCCTAATGTCCTTGTCCCAAACCAGACTCAAACGCAAACACATCTACATATTGTCCCTCTAAACACTTGAGAGTCATATCCCCATGGTTCAATTCACAGTTTTGCCCGTCACTATTTTTTTTTTTAGGCTTGGGTGTATCTTTGGTTCATTATGTTTTTTTTTTGTTTTGATTTTTGGAGAGTTTTATTAATATTCATACGACTTACATACACTATAAGAAGTTATACAATAGACTAGTGGTTTGTGCTTGTGCTAGTGCCTATATTGGTATGGACTAAAATGGCACTTTTAACATAAGCAATCTCTATGTTTTTTATCGTGAATTCGCTTGGAATTGGCAAGGGGAATCCTCTCTTGAGGCGTGTGTTTACGTACGGCAAAAACAAGGCTTCAAGAATCCTAGACGTAGCAGCCTAACAAGAGCACATATTCAGTTTGATGGTAATCAAGTTAAGGGAAACTCAAGATAAAATAACTAACTAACCTGGACATCGTTTGACTCAAGCTCTCCAAATTTATTCCACTTCATTGTTGCATTGAAATCTATTAATCCGAGGCTACCAGTTAGATTGTTCTCTGCGATTTCCACAGAACACGCAACATTCAAAACCTGCAAACAAAGAATCAGATTCCAGCTTTAGTGATGAAAGATTTGCCTCTAAAGTTAGATTGTTTTGTGGATTAATATTAGCATACCGTTGATATGCGTGCCACAGACAGGACTTCTCTAGAGTCTTGAACATCGATTCCTATCTCTAGCTGAATCGTCGAATCAATTCCATTCTCGCTGATTCTAACAGCAGGATGAGATGTTACTGACATATTAAGCATCATTTTATCATCTGGATAATGTTTGTACAGCTCTGGAAGGATGAGTTTCCAGTCAGATGTGCTTAGAATCGACCCGTTCTTTGTTTCACCAATAACCAAATGCATCACCTTACCCTAGACCACAACAAATCCAAAAAGGCTTACAATTTTTTTCTTCCACCATACTCATCAATCAATCCATAGACCAATCAAGATTTGAGAACTTACATTGAAGTAGACAAGTGTTGCAGAGTTGAAAACTTCTTCTTCTATAGAAATTGTGACCATTCTGTTAACCCCGCCAAAGAAGGAAGAAGAACGAGACCCTGATACTTTAATATCATTACCCTTTGGCATGAATAAACCATTGATTCCAACTTCAACCGAAGAATTTCCTAAGACAGGGTTGCCTGTAAAACTGAGATTGACGGCCGCAGAGTCATCAATCTTCCTCTCTTTTGGAAGTGATTGCAAAAAAGAATCAAGCTTCCCCATCTTCTCCAAAACTTTCTTAGAGACGGTGCTTTCAACAGTAGATATAATCGCCTTTTGAAATGCATCAACCACCCTGCAAAAGAAAAAAAATTATTTTCTAACCAATCTTGAAGAAAGAAGAAAGTAAAACTGAAAGTGAGATTCAACAATACCCTTGATACAGCCAAGAAGTACCACCGTTGATATGAATATCGATGTTGTCCACTCTACAATCACTTTCCCGTGTGGCAATCTTTAGACTTCCATTATCATCAAGCAGAGTGACAGCGGTTTTCACATCTATTCCTTTAACCTTCATCATCACAAGCATTCACCTATTAAGCTTTTTTCTTCTTCTGATGAAACAATGTCTGAAGAGGACAAAATGAGATGAACACAAAGAACAAGGAACCCAAATTTGGTGTTTGATCATTTGAGAACATATAAACAAACAAACCCAGTTCAAAAGCACAAAACTTTTACCAGAAGTTTACCTTAACAAAAGCATCTCCATGATCAGAAATCTGAAAGAAGGAAGCTCTATAAGTATAGGACCATCCCATGCTCAAATCTGCTGTCGTACCTGAAACACTCAAAACGATTCCATCTTTTCCCGTTTCGACCTTCGAAGACTGGACATCAACTGCATCAATCTGAATATTCGAGAGACCCATTCGAACTTTCCCGATCAAAGGGATTCTAACCTTCTTCTCGATCCCTGGTAGCTGAAGCGGAATCGTCGTAGAGATCACTTTCTTAATGAGAAAATCTTTCGCAAACTCAAGACCGGTTTTTGAGACGAGTATAGAGATGTGTCCTCCATCGCTGGATTGCGTCAAGGTTGATGTTGATACCAAAACACAGAGAACGAGAATCGTCAAAACTTTCGTGAGAGCCATTTCGAAGAAGAAAGTGGATAACTGAACTTAGCAAGTAACGAAGAAGTTAAAATAGTCAACAAAGGATTTGACTTTTGCTTTAGAAACTAATAACCACGAATGTTACATGGCCAAAGCATCTACATTTTAGACGTCTTTCTTTCTTACAAGATGCAGACTTGGAATGTCTTATGTAAATATATGTTGGAGACTTATCTGAGTTTGTTGGGATATCTTAATTACATATACATACAGAGTTGTGGAAACTGGAACAAAGCTGGTTGTAAGCTTAATAGCCAAACCAAATATAAGGCACTGTTTGAAACTTCTTCTTGGCAATTCCTATAAGGTCGCAGTACTCTGAATGATCAAGCAAGTCGCGGAAATCCACAAACAGTCTCTCAAACACCTTCCACTGCATCTTGATCGGTCTTAAGTAAGGATATGGAAGAAAGCCCTGCGTTTATTAGAGATGTTAGTATTCCACAAAAATGGATTTATGTGAACTAGTTTAAGGTACACATTGTTTCCCCTTACATCATATTCTTGTGCGATTGACTTCAGCACGATAAATGTATGTTTCGTGTCCTCTAAATTGTCGAGAAGAGCAAGCCAGATCTTTGTCACAAGCTCATCAGCTTCTTCTTTGGATTTGCCACAAACAATCAATTGATCTGCTACCAAGATGTCATTGACAATGAACATTTGAGATTTATTAAGCAGAGTGGACTGTATACCAAACAAGCTAATATTACCAATGAGGGTTCCATGCAAGATGCCTGAAGCAGGCGTAGTGGAAAGTTGAAGCTGATCTTTCAAGAACAAGTAAATATGTCCAAGCATCTCATCTATGTCTGTATCCACACCTAAAATGTTCCTGCTGATGTACAAAGCCACATATCTCCTGCAGCTAAAAGACTATTAAGTTTCTTTGAATCTAACTATAGATACTCAATAGAAAACATTCAGCTAGCTTTTTCATAGGTATGAAGTAACCGTTTGCTTAATCCTTGCCGGATTGGTCCAGTCCATCTCTTAGTTTTGCTAGCAAGAGGATACGTCCGGTTCAGAGCAGCCTGCCATAAGCATTCTCCTCGGAACAAATTCGCCCACTGTTTTCTAACACAAGATATTTGATCCCAATTTGTAATTGGAACTCTGATGAATATCTCTATCAAGAGATCCTCTGAAAGCTTCCCGAATGGACTTTCATCTTTCATTGTCGGCTCAACGTTATCTTCGTTGCGGTTCATACTATCCTGCAGCATATGTTTACATATAGCATCATCAGTCTCACCAAAAAATTTCCATCAAAAAGCAAACAGAACATTTTTGATATGCGCCCAAGTATGTCTATAAGAGTAACAAACAAAACACTACCTGAGAAGCATATATAAACAAGCCTATAGCTTATAGAAGAAAACATTTTAATCTTAGATGCTCAATCCCAGAAACTTCATTCACATAAAGTTAAACGATACCAGAGCACATAGATGGTTCACAATCTGGAAACAACAAACTGAAAAACTCACTTGCATGCATAAAAAAAGCAAAAGACGAAGCCAAAGAAACCAACTTGACATACTAATTATTGAGAATAAAAAGAAAAAAAAAAACTTTTGTTCAGTTCTAAGCAAATGCTTTGATTCAAAAATTGATCAAAAGACTCTTAATTATATAGGCTTAAACTCAACAACACAACAGTCCCTATGTCATAAAAGGATCAAACCAATCTGTTTAATTTGAACTCAAACGAACCTAAAAATGATCTCTTGTAGAACTAGAAGTCAAACTTGTCTTTGAAGAAAATGAAAAGGCTAAAGATGAATTGATAACTGAGGTACAAGCTGAGTAAAGAAGAAACAAGAGTATCGGTTTCATCAGCTGAAGCAGAAATCAAGAAGAAATAAAATCAAAACAAAGATCGAATAAACTTACAAGAGGAAGCACAGAACAAGTAGTCCTAGAGAAGAAACTAAAGTGAGAGAAAAGAAGAGACAACCATGCCACATGATCCCATGACCACATGCTCTCTATAATTCGGTTTAATCCATTCCCACGCAAACCGAGTCGTAACCAAAAACCAAACCATTGTAATGAAAGAGAAGCCCATTTAAGGAGAGAAGCCCAATAATAAGAGACAAGACCCGTAAATAATAAAAATGGAGGAGGGCAAAGAGGTAAACTGGGAAAGAGCAAATGGAAGGAGAACAGATTGCGCGGCTTTTCTGACAATATTCTCTGTACGATGCATTTGCTCCCACTGGCGACTTTTGCTTCTCTTCGTTCATTCATTCATTCGTAGATCTCTCTCTCTCCCTCTCCTTCTCTCAAGTCTTCTACTTCACCAATCTTTTTATATTTTTTTCCTAATCAGCAAATACAAAAGAAGACGTTTATATCAGAAAAGTAAAGTTAAAAAAAAAACTCAAAAAGAAAAAGAAAATTTCGACCCAAGAGAGGATAAAAAAAAAGTCAATTGACTCAGAAACCTCAATGTGAGGGTTTTGACTGGAAGTAAAAAATTTTGTAAGGGGGAAAAAGGTTTATCTAATCAGAAAAAAGGAAGAAAATTTCTGGTTTTTTTTTGGAATTTGAAATCACAAAGCTTTTAATTATTGAATATAATGAGATCTGTTTAGAGATATCATCAATACACATTTATATTGTGCTCTCTCTGTCCTTTTACATCGTGAATAGAGAGAGTAAAAGACATTATAGCATTCTCTCTCTCTCTTCTTTGCAAGTGGTGGTGGTTACAATTTACAAACATTTCTCATTCTTTAATCTCCTGTCTTTGTCTTTCGTTTTCAATTCTCACCTTTCGATTTTGTTTCTTGCTTTTTGGGTTTCTCTTTCCTTACTTAAATTTTGAATCTTTTTTATTTTTTGTTCTCAACACTTTTTGCTCAGTGTAGAGTGTTTCAGTGGAGTGTTGATTTTAGCAGAGGAATTAATGCCTAGTGTTTTAGTTCTTAGCTAGAGAGTTGAAAATCGAATCTGAAGTTTCAGACAAATGCTGTTTTCTTGCTGCTACTGATCTTGTGTGGAAATTTTTGATGGTTCTAGTCTGTTTCCTTTATGCATTGTTCATCTTCTGATTCTCTCTAGGGTTTGGTCATGGTTCTCTGAGATCTTAGTAAGATTCATGCATTTTCCCCATTCTCTGGTTTGGTTGGTTCTCCAATTGAGTCCGTTTTGGCGTTAGAGAAGCGCATTTTTCATGCAAAGAAATCTCAAGTTAGATCTAAAGATTTAACAAGAGACGCTCGCTCACACTCTCCAAGTGTGTTTGATATAGGAGATGGATTTCTTGAAAGTTCGAAAATTTCGAAAGTCACGGAAGCCAAACCTTGAAAAAGAGAAAGAGGACAAGGTACTGGCTCAGCAAGAGCAGGCAAGGAGTGAGAACACTGATGCTGGTGTGACAGATTCGGCTAAAGCAGATGAGATCGAAGATGACGACGATGATTTCATTACCAATGAGGTTAAGAGAAGGCTCAAGGAGTTAAGGAGGAACAGTTTCATGGTGTTAATACCTGAAGAGGAAGAAGAAGAAGAGGAATCGTATCTAGACGAAGATGATGACGGAGAAGACAAGTGTTCAAATGAGTGGAGAGACGTGGTCGCTGAAGGACTTCAATGGTGGGGAGGTTTTGATGCTGTCTATGAAAAGTATTGTGAGCGTATGCTCTTCTTTGATCGTCTAAGCTCTCGGCAGCTCAAGGAAAATGGTAAAAGCTTCTTGCTTTGATCTGCTTTTTTATTGAGTTTGTCCATGGCATTTTTATGTTGCATTCCTGTGATATCTCTTTGGTTAATCTAAAATTGGACTGATTTATTAAAACCTGAATCATCTTGTGAACATAAGCAAGGCTTGTGGAATAACTTTGTTAAGTTAATAGCTTTTGCTATCCATGGATTTGTTGGTTACTCTTGACTCTCCTCACTCCTCAGGCATTGGAATTGCTCCAAGTCCTTCAACTCCATCGCCAAGATCTGCGTCTAAGAAGCTGTCTTCGCCTTTTCGATGTCTCTCTCTCAAAAAGTTGGATGTGCCCGAAGAAGATACCGAGCATTTGCAGCAGACAGAGATTGACCCTTGTCAAGATCTAGAGACTGCCTATGTTGCTCAACTCTGCCTCACTTGGGAGGCACTTCACTGTCAGTATACGCAGCTGAGCCACTTAATCTCATGCCAACCCGAAACCCCGACTTACTACAACCATACTGCTCAACAGTTTCAGCAATTCCTGGTCTTGTTGCAAAGGTATATAGAGAATGAACCATTTGAGCAGGGATCAAGATCTGAGCTTTATGCGCGTGCCAGAAATGCAATGCCTAAGCTACTTCAAGTTCCTAAAATTCAAGGTGACTTCCTCAGCTCTCACATTCTGCGACTTAATACCTTATGTGAAGTAGTAACACTTTAAGTTGGTTATGTCCAAAACATCTCAGGGTCAGATAAAAAGGAGATGGAGAAAGATACAGGCTTCATGGTCCTCGATGATGATCTCATCAAAATCATCGAGAGCTCCATCCTTACTTTCAACGTTTTCTTGAAGATGGATAAGAAGAAACCAAATGGGGGTATTAACTTGTTTGGTAACCATATGAATTCCACAACCCCATTACAACTGGTTCAGTCATCCATTGATAAGGTACGATTTCTCTCTACATAACGTTGATTTGTAGAAGCATCATGTAAAGCTTCTTTGGTGATTCATAAGAGAAAAACTTTTGCAGAAGAGGGTGAAGGCAAAGGAGCTTGCGAAGAAGACTAAAGGTTTGAGAAAGAAATCATGGCCTCTAACATGGGAAGGTGTTCAACTCTTGTTTGCAGCCATTGACATCAAACTCGCAACACGGGTTTTGAGGATGGGGAAAATCAGTAAAGAGCAACTTCTGTGGTGTGAAGAAAAGATGAAAAAACTCAACTTTTCAGCTGGGAAGCTTCAAAGACACCCATCTCCAATTCTTTTCCCTTGTTGATAATAAATTATGAAACATACAACGATTTCAAACTGTTCCCTTTTTATCCGATCACTAAGATCCGGTTTTGGGGGGGATTTCTTTTTTTGTTTTTTGGCAGACAAAATGAAAGAAAAAATTGTGTGTTTGTTCCATTAGCATCACTACTAATAAGGGTCCAATACAAGAACACACTAGCTTTAGTCATAGATTCACTATGAAGGGACCATTTTCATTGTTGTCGTTTGGATTTAGCACATATGAAAGAATCCAATGTTGTCTTGTTGATGGGAAGCTAAATCCATGATGAGGATGATGGTGATGGAAAAGTCTTATTCTTCAAATCACTTTCATTGTTTTTGGACAAAGTCTTTGATGTGTCACTAAAGGACTTTTCTTTCTTTCTTTCCCACACTTATATACAACACAAAATCCCAAGAACTATAAATGAACCATTATATAATGTAAATTATGAATAGTGTTTTGGTGTTTAAAAACAAAACAAGTGGATTTTCTTATATAAAATCTAGGTTGATCTTCAAATTTTGTGCAGGTGTGCGTAAGCGCATCCAAAAAGAAGAAGAAACAAAAACAAAAACAAGAAAAAAACTAAAGTGTGTGTGTTTTGGTGGTGGTGGTGGTAGACTGGCAGTAACTAGTAACCAGGCAACAGAGACATAGCCACGTGAACGTATCTCTTTCAACTAGAAGTATCAACACGTGGCAAACCTAGTCACCCAATTTGGAGCGAAAACACAAAATGACCAAAAGGGGCTTGCTTTGCAACCACCTTTAAAGAACACAGCCATGTGTATTTTAGTCATTTGTACAGAGACGACGACCTCTTCGTTTGCGAATCCGTCGTGATTTCTGAATATATTGTAATGGTTGTTAAATATGCGTAATCGAAAAAACTCTTTAAAATCAAAATTTTGGGTATTAAATTAAAGACTAAAAACATCCCAATAATTGCCGAGAAAAAAATATGTTTAGATTAGTCTTGACTTGGTGACTCGACGAAGCCCCTTGGAGCAAACTTTTCAAAGGGTTTAGTTTTAATCTCTCTCTATCTCTCTTTTTCTCTGGGTCTCTTCTCTCTTTGTCTTTTGGACATTTTTATTGCGAGCTCTTTGAGAAAACACTTTCATGGAAGCTTGAATATCAACATCAGGTACTTAACTCTTCCTCCTCTCACCTTTTCCTCTCTGTATCTACTTTTTTCTCTTCTACAAGTCATGCAAGGAACGGGCTAGTTTATGAATATTAAAAAGAAGATAAAGTTAAAGTCTTTTGCTTAATTTTGATCCCTGATTATAGCTTCTGGATATGGTTTTATGTTTGTAACGAGGTTGATGAGTGAGTTCAACGGTTTCGTGTGCTTTTCTATAAAGATGGAGTCTTTTGATGATCTTGTTGTTGTTTCTGCTGATTGCGTGGGTTGACTGATTTTTTTAGCTCAGGAAATGGGAAAATCATCTCTGAAATTTGGATCCTTGATGGGTAGATTTCATCCATATGTGGGTGATTACTTGTTTCTGTGATTAATGAAATTTGGGACCATATCGTAAAGTTCTTAGCTTTTGTTCTCTTATGGACTATGGTTTTGTATAGTTAATTTGAGGTTTTGGCTTAAGTCTTTGTTTTATGGTTTCTTTGTGTCAGGTGTCGTGATATTACCTTGTAAGATATATGGTAACTTGATTATATAGAGAAGAGAAGTATGACGACGCAGAGCGCTATGAGAATGGTTGAGGGTGATCATATAAAAAATTGGCAGGCTTCTAGGGATAGTGGGATCTTTGGTTCACTTGATATGGCAGTTGAAGATTTAGGATTCCTTATGAAAAGAAATAGGTTGGATAGTGGGGATAATACCGGCAAAATCCCTAGTAGGAGCGGAAGTGCGCCGCCTAGCATGGAAGGTTCCTTTGCAGCTCTTAGGAATCTCTTGAAACAACAGGAAGGTAGTAGCTCTGAAGTTTTAAGTAGGGCTATTGAGAATTCTGACTCAGAAGAAGAGATACGTAGCGATCCTGCATATGTAGCTTACTATTTGTCCAACATCAACTTGAATCCGAGACTCCCTCCTCCTTTGATCTCACGGGAGAATCAGCACTTGTTGCGTCATTTGAGTGGGGTTGGTGATAATACTCAGATTCCAACAACCTCCTGGGATAATATGGGGTTAAGGTCCTTGCATTCTTCTAGAACTGCTCTTTCGACTCATAGAGAGGAGCCTGAGGATGAGACATCATCGGGTGAACAACAAGCTTATGCTTCCATGGCTGGTCGTCGTAAGAGCTTAGCTGATATGATTCAGGTACATGGTTCCTTATTCTGTCATTTGCTAGTAAAAATATTTGCATGGTTCCTTTTCCTTATTGTATCACTGCTAGTAAAATATTAGAGTTTTGATATTTTCTCTGTGCTTAAGTCCATTTTAAATGAAAGAAGATTTCCCTCTTACACTTATTTCTGTGTTCAAGCGGCCTCATTCGGCAGGGAATCGTCCAATTGCACAGGACATCCACGCCATTTCCTCCGATACATCTGCAGAAAACACAAGAAGATTAGCGGAGTCCGATATAAGTTCTGTTAATCTGCTGAGGGAGACAGATTCTCTCTCCATGGATGCTATTACTAGTGAAGATCCCTTTTCTGCTGATTTGGGCTCACAGAGTTCTGCTAATGCACAAAAAGAGAGATTAAATGGGAGGCGAGCTAGCCATGAGGACAGCAATCCATCTGTGTTTGGTGCTTCTCCTCCATCCTCCGCTGCTTCTAGAATAAGGAGGAATCAAGACGATCAACAATCTCAGGGAAGGAGATTGCCTTTGCAATACACACCTTCGTCATATCAGGTCCAAGCTAGTTCCCCACAACAAATGACCTATCCAAGGATGGGCGGCACACAGGACATGATGCAGAGCTTACCAAAGATTGCAACTGGCGAGGTACATTCAACTTTCCAATCTCCTCACGGTTTGGCACCGCCTCCTATGTATACATCTACAGCAGCATATATGACATCTCTGAGCCCATTTTACCATCAAAACTTTCAGTCTTCGGGTATGTACCTCCCGCAATATAATTATAGCGGTTACCCTCCTGGTTCTGGTGTTGTCCCTCAATATATGAGTGGATACCCATCTCATGAAGCGACAGTTCCTATGCCATATGATATCTCATCGGCTTCTTCGGGCTACAACAATGCTCGGCTTCTACCTGGAGTATCATCGACTGGACAAAACATTCCGTCTCCCGTGGACCCTTTTCAATTGCAATATTTTCAACAGGCTCAAGTGGATGCGTATGCTCCTTCTTTTCAAAGCAGCACTGATTCTTTTGGACAGAAAGACCAACAAGCTGCTGGCTATATGGTAAATCATGAATCTCTCAACAGTCCTTTGAGTCCGAGTTACGGGTTACAGAGTCCACGGCACATGGGAAACTATTTTGCAGTGCCGCCTGGTGTAAGAGTCATGCCGCAGTATCCAGGATCACCTCTTGCTAGTCCAGTGATGCCGTCCTCGCCAGTTGGTGGAATGATGAGCCACTTTGGAAGACGTAATGAAACAAGGTATCATCAGCAAGGGCCAAGTAGAAACACTGGTATCTATCCTGGTGGATGGCAAGGGAACAGAGGAGGAGCCAACAGCATCGTTGATGATATCAAACGACATTCTTTTCTTGATGAACTCAAGTCTCCAAACGCTCGAAAACTCGAGCTCTCTGATATTACAGGGCGTGTTGTTGAATTCAGGCAGTGTTTCTGCTCCGATATCTATCATTTTCTTTAATTCTGAATTGAGTATTTTGAAAGCATCAAAAGATGTCATCGTAATCTTATTTTATAACTCATTTCTGTACTTCAGCGTCGATCAGCATGGCAGTCGTTTTATTCAACAGAAGTTGGAGCACTGCTCCGACGACGAAAAGGCATCTGTCTTCAATGAGGTTCTGCCACAAGCTTCAAAATTGATGACTGACGTTTTTGGAAACTACGTTATCCAAAAAGTGAGCAACTTTCTCTTCTTCTTTTTCCAAGTTGAGAAGATATTTTGTCCACAAGTTTGTTGTTAAATTGTAATTTTTGGATCAGTTCATAGAACATGGAACTCCGGCCCAGAGAGAAGAACTCGTGAAGCAACTTGCTGGTCAGATGGTTTCTCTAAGCTTGCAAATGTATGGATGTCGTGTGATACAAAAGGTAGATTTATTAATATTAATGTCCGTATATCAATGTCAGTATATTAAAGGAAATGGTAGTAAGTTTCCTTGTGCGTGTTTGTGCGTTATGATATTTTAATAGGCCCTTGAAGTGATAGATGTTGACCAAAAGACAGAACTAATTCGTGAGCTCGATGGGAATGTGATGAAGTGTGTTAGAGATCAAAACGGAAATCATGTTATCCAGAAGTGTATTGAGAGTATGCCTGCGGGTAGGATTGGATTTGTAATTGCTTCTTTCAAAGGTCAAGTCGCCACTCTTTCTACTCATCCTTATGGATGCCGAGTTATCCAGGTAAATAAAAAAGGGCTCTAGTGTCTCCTCCTGTGTTTTGAACTTGAAATATTCATTATTTTTCTGTTTGCTTCATTATAGAGAATCTTGGAGCATTGCTCAGATGATGAGGAGACTCATTGTATAATCGATGAAATACTGGAATCTGCGTTTGCTCTTGCTCATGATCAGTATGGGAATTATGTCACTCAGGTTTGGTTAATTTCGGATCCACGGTTCCAATGTCTCTCCTAGCATTTTCTTGAATATGTTTGGTCCTTAATCTTGTGCTTTGGTTTATGATTTACTTATAGCATGTCCTGGAGAGAGGTAAGCCCGATGAAAGGAGACAAATCATAGAGAAGTTGACTGGGAATGTTGTTCAGATGAGTCAGCACAAATATGCATCCAACGTTGTGGAGAAGTGTCTGGAACATGCTGATAGTAACGAGAGAGAGTTACTGATTGAAGAGATAATGGGAAAATCCGAAGAAGACAATCACTTGCTGGTAAGAACACAGTCCTAAAGAAAGCTCTCTGAAACCACCACACCTTGGACTTATATAATACTCTTTTGTCTTCTGCAGGCGATGATGAAGGATCAGTTTGCAAATTACGTGGTCCAGAAAGTCTTAGAGATCAGTAAAGATCAGCAAAGGGAGATTTTGGTGCAGAGAATGAAAATTCATCTACAGAGTTTGCGGAAATACACATACGGGAAACACATAGTAGCCCGATTCGAGCAACTGTTTGGTGAAGGTATTTTCCTCTAAAACCAAAACTTCAGCAGTCAATATGAGTATGTGCTATAGGGTTCTTAACTCTCTGGTATGGTTGTTTCAGAGAGTGAAGTCTCAGAAGAAGGAACAGAAGGTTAGAGAGGAGATCTTCTTTTGGGTTGCCCATTTGGACAATAGACAAATATATATATTTGGAAGTGTTTATGTATATATATGCTTGTATCTATGAATCGATGTGTGATGGTATAACAATATGTATATGATGTGAACATGATTTGTTGTTAAAATTGATTTGCTCTCTTCTTTATCCTTTTCTTTTGACCGAGAAAAAACACGAGAGAATTAGCCTCAACAAAATTAAGAAGAACTCAGCTTCTTGCTTCTCATGGGAATTAAAACACTCCCAAGTGCCAACAAAACAACTCACGGAGTAAAAGCCAAGTCACCACATTTCCTAAATCATAACTCTGAAATGTGATGAGAGGCTTGGTTTTAAGTAACAATGGTAATTTAGGTTTCAATTTCGTCATTATATGAGTGGTTTAGTGTTGGCAGCGAGCAAGATGTCTTTCCAGGCTTCATAGAAGACCCAAGTGATGCCTGAAGAAGGCATGACTTTCAAACAACTTGCTCCCCATCCTCTGTAGAGTCCTCTCACTCCTTCGTTCTTCACTACATCGGCTATTGCTGCGGCCATGTTCGGTGGGCATTCCCCCTTCAGAGCTCCAACCATCAACCGCTTCCGCGCCACTTCCAACGGGAAGCTTATAGTGCTCGCCGTTAGACCTGACCCCATTCAAAACTCAATGAGTCTTAAACATGATTTGTGTCAGGAAAGACTGTAAAAAGAAGTTGTTATTTAGTTAGTTACCGGCTAAAGCTCCAAGAACAAGCATCTCTGGACGGTTCAAAGCCTTTTTGTTTTTGGATTTGCAGTACGTAGTCTTCATTTTGTCATACATGAAGTAATAGCATGTGCTATATGGAAGCATCCCGACCAGTGTTGGTCCTAAGCCAGCATAAAATCCACGGATTCCATCGTCTCTAAAAATCCTCGGAATTGCAAGTGTTAAGCTTGGATAAAGATCAGGGCTCACAGTCAATCTATCCTGGTAAAGATCAGAGAAGAAATCAGTCTCTTTCGACTGTAAAGACCAAAAAAAAAGTCTCTTAATTCTGCGATGTACAAGAGAATCTGATTGACTAATAATTACCTTGAGGACTTCGAGAGGATGGCAAACCAGTGTACTCGCAATACCTGCAGATGCACCAGCTACAGCAACAGGAGAGATCCACGATATGGACGGACTCCAACTAAAGTCACCGATTTCAATCTTAGCTTCCTCAATCTTCTTCAACTTCACTTGTGCTGATGTCATTGCACGTTTTACCCACTCAAACGTCCCCAACTCAATTGCTTGAGTTGGAATGATTCGTATCATATTGATTTCGTTGCCAGCCCAAAGACCTTGCCACCCTTGCTTCTGTACGACTTCAACAAAACTACCTGGAATGCTTCTCGATCCGACACCAACAATCATTCTTGTCCTGCCAGATTTCACACAGCAAAATGCAGTCAGGTTTATATTTTTGACATCAAAGTGGATTGATATCATTAAGGAGATTACAAGGGATGACTATACAGACCTTATAGTCTCAAGTGGAGCAAGAACAGCTTTTGTCATAGCTCCCGCTAAAGCCCCACTAAGAAACTCACGGGCTTCCCTAGACTTGAAGAAATCCTGAATCAACAAACATCAAAAACACATACACACAATGGTTCCATAAAATCATCCAAATCATGTAAAAAAAGATTTGCAACATCCCCCTTATTAGCATAACTAAACCACATAAAACCATTTACCACAACACAATATAAATCGTCCAAACTTACAGAAAATTCAAATATTCTCATAAACAAAGCAGAGACACTGGACCAGAAAGAACAAAAAAGGAACTCACTTTAACAGGAATAGTGAAGTCAGGAAACTGAGGTTGGAGACGAAGTTGAGAATCCAATGAAGCTGAAGAAACAGAGTCCTTCTCCATAACCACAAGCCCTTCTTTTGGAACAACCATTGCCATTTCCGTTCTTTCACTCTGTCTCCGTTTGTTCTATCAAAGATTTTATCAGAGACAGAACAGGAGATTCAAAAAAGGGCAACAGAGAATATTCAATCAAACATAATCAGAAGAAGAAGAAAAAAAACAAACTTTCATTAGATTGTGTGAACAGAGAGGCCTAGAAGTGTATACTATATTAATTTATGGGAAGATTTAAGCTTTTTTAGGGTTTATGTGCTTCTCCCAATATTTTTAATTTTTAATTTTTTATTTTTGTATATTTATTTTACACCCCCCACTTGTCGAATCAAAACGCTCATTTTTGGTCCCTCAAAAATATATCTCTGTTTTGGGTTGACGATTCAATCCGGTTCACCAAATTCATAACTATCTCATGATAACCGAGTTTAACCGGAAAAACCAGTCGGTCCGGGGTTTAGCCACCGAGCCCTATCCGATCATTTCACCTTCTCTCACTCTCCCAACCGCTTTCTCACTCTCAAGCTCGACGACGATGTCTTGCTTGGTCTCCTCAACTTGCTCACTCGTCCCCTGTGACTCGAATTCGACTCGGTCGGGTCGCTCCAGTAAGCTGGGCTCTTCCGTTTCGTGGCAGTCTTCTTTTCCCAAACTATCCATCGAAATCGGCCCGGTTATCTCATCTCCCATTGTCAAAAAGGTAAAGCCTTTTGTAATTGCGTTGTCTGTGCACAATCTCTGTGATAGTTTCGTAATCGCTCTTGGTGGTGTAGTTTTATGCTTCTCCGATTTGTAACTTAGTCTATGTTCTTGTATGTTGAACTCATTTTTCCATTTTGGCAATTGTTATTTGTGGATTTGAAGTAGAAGGGTTCTAGTGAATGTTGATGAACCTGAACTAGAGGCCCTTAATGTGAATAAGAATCTAGGGTTCAAAGCTTTATTCTTTATCTGTTGGGTATTTAAAAGATTCAATTTTTTCTTCTTCTTCTAGTTGTACCTAATGATTCAGACTACCCTCATTGTCTTAGCTTTGCAATTATGATTTTAGTCAAGAACAGTCCTTTTTGCTTTTGAAATTTTTCATCAAATTTTTCTTATAAAATTTTGTTTGATGGATTCTTGTAGGATTCTTTTGTGCAAGCTGCTTGGACTCGAAGATCACGAGGTGAAGCAGCAAAAAGACCCAACAGGAAGTCATGGAAGCAGAGAACAGACATGTACATGAGGCCTTTCCTCCTCAATGTGTTCTTCTCCAGGAAGTTTATACACGCCAAAGTGATGCATAGGCCAACAAGTAAAGTCATTTCGGTTGCTACCACAAATGCAAGAGATATAAGGACTAATATACCGTCTCTTGTCGATAACGAGGCGTGCAGACTCATCGGTAAGCTCATAGCTGAGCGTTCAATGGAAGCAGATGTCTATGCAGTGTCTTATGAGCCAAAAAAGGGGGAAAGAATCGAAGGGAAGCTAGGGATTGTTATCGATACAATTAAGGAACATGGCATTATTTTTGTTCCTTAACTCTCTCTTATAATAAATGACTTAGCATTTGCATTACCAAGAAAGTTCTGTGTTTTATTTTTAATTCCTATGCAGCAGAGGAGAGAAACCTGATCTCTTTGGTAGAGAATGGTTCATGGACACAGGTTTGCTCACTAGTGTTCGATGGAAACGCCAATGAGGAGAAATAAGATGAAGAAGAGAAAAAATATTAAAATGATTATATAATTTATAGTCTGTACAGTGTAACACTTATTTCTTCTTGTTACACGACATGTACCTAATTAAAATCTCTTCAAAAACACTTTCGTCACAAGGAATATGAATCCCTCCTTCATGTTCATACCCAAACTCGTCCGCTACTTCATCCATCAGAGTCCTAAATTCAGGATATTGAAGATACTTGGTTGGTATTACAAACCTTTGCATCTCTTCGCCCACGTAGACCGCAAGATGTCCTCTCGGGACATCGTTTTGATCTCTGGCTCGCCTGCTACCGTCTGATAACTCCCCTGAGATAAGACGATCCTTTATGTTGGTTTCGTACCGTTTGTTTCGTCTGTTCTCCTGGTTTGCTAGACGTATGATGAAACTTAGCGAAATCATTTTGTCGAATCGTAAAGAAAGATAGCAAAAAATCAAACGGAATGGTGTCTTGAGAAATAATCTAAAGGAATCATTCAAATATATATCAATGTCAAAGGACTTTGTATTTGATAGACTATAGATAACGATGAAGATCTTATGATGAATGTTGTTATCTTCATAGAAAGTAAAAATAAAAAACAAGCTAGGTTAACGAAACCCTAGTTGTTCTTGTTTCTTATTTTTCTTAAGTCGATCTAATTAATCTGTCTGCTTTTTATTATGTCTTTCTGTTTTCTTGGTCAACAGTGGAAGAAGACTATTATTAGGCAAGTCACCAAAGTACAGCCGTCCGTACCGTACAGTTGTTACGAGGTTACTGTCCCGTGAATCCAATTCACAAGTTAAGACCAAGACTTTCGCGTTACCATCGATTAAAAACTTATCCATGTAAAAATAGGCATCAACCATTTGCTACATTCGATTTTTATTGAATAGACTTTGATATTTTTTAAAGTCGGATCACATCATTTTGCAAATTACTTAATCGAACAAGCTTGTTCAATGGCTGAAACAGTTTGCTTCACATCCACTCCTATATTGCAGATATTGGCAAGCGCTCCTGTATACTTCAGTCCGTAATCCACCGTTGCTCCGCAGTGGTTCTTGAAGCTTTTCACCTGCGATTTGCATTCAATATATACTGGTTTAATAATAATGCAATGGTTGTTGCGTAGAACACAAGTAATAAGATTTGGGATGTGGTTGAGTTACCAGAGTCTTGAAGCAGTCCCAGTCGTCTACAAGAGGCTGTCCTGTTGTTCTTGTGGAACTTAAGAGATCTAAGACATTGGTTTGCTTAAGAGAGAGTCGCAAAATCTCTGCAATGCTCTGATCGATCTGTTTCCTATGATTCATTGCATCAAACAATTTCTTCTGAGCTTCTTTTCTGACAGGTGATCCCATTGGAGCTTTTTGAATCTGTGAAAGGAGTGAACTTTAAAACCCGAAAACTATTTCTTTGAAATGATCGAAAACAGGAAGAAAAATAGATAAACCTTTCTCTGGAGATATAACAGAGGGATATCGCGCGGATTGACCAAGCTATAATTAGAGGAGATCGGTGAGGAAGTGGATTCAGTGAAAGTGAGGTTTTCGTTTGCAGGATTTGTTCCAATGTAAGAGACAAGATAATCCTTAAGCATCTCCTCTGTTCCGAAATGGCATACATGAGAAGTATGTTCTACATCAGATCCTGTTCTTCTCCTTACAACTTGATATTGCTGCTTCAATGTCTCTTTGCTCATGTCATGAAGGTCACTATCCACAAAAGCATGCACAAAACAGAGAAAAAAATGACCAAGAAAAGTTATTCTCAAACTCAAAGACTTCAAGAACAAATCAAATTACTCGATTATATTGTTCCATAAAGATTGAGTCTTTTTGTTTGTTGCAGTACCTGTCCTCAAGCCAAGAGATGCTAAATACATCGCCGAGACAAGTCTCATACTCAGAAGCAGAAGGAGGATATGACTCAGGACAGTAAGTTCCAAAGCTGTTCTCATTCGAACTAGCAGCAGTCACTGCGTATATATTGAGATTGTCTTTTAGTATCCCTTCAAACATACTCCCAGATTCACATGCTTCAACATAGATCACCTAACATCCAAACAAAACACCTCAAAAACAGAACACATATACATATAAGATGAGATATAGTTACGAATGGTTTGAGTTATTTATATACCATCTTGTTGTAGCTTTTTAGCTTATGCATCTTCTCCAAGACTTTATTGAAATCTGTGGCAAGGACTTCTTCACCAGTAGGCATCGCTGAGAATAATAAACATCAACAAATTCCTGATTAGTATCCATCACGAGAGAAACGTCTTAATCATAGACATGGATCAGTTGATTAAAACTCCAAAAAAAACCTAGTAATCCAGGAGCTCCATGATCAGCATAGTAGATGAAGACATTATCATGAGGACCACTTTTCAAAACTTTGCCACTTCCTCCTGTGACGCCACTTTCATTTCCAAGTAGTACATTATAGAAGTTCCGAACATTAACAGCTTCTTTAATGTAGTCCTACCAACCAAAACCAACAAAAACTAAGTATATATATGGAACCATTTGTAACATATACATTGCAAAAAATTAATTAAAAGATGTAAAGATAATTAAGAACCTTAGGAACTCCATCATAAACATCTTCTCCATCAGGTTTATTAATGATAACTCCGGGCCTAGGATTCTCAGAGGAAAACGCGATATCATCATACATAAACACAATTATGTTTTCGTCATTTAGACCGCCTTTTCGGAGTAACTGATACGCATGACATATATCAGCCTGTGAAACAAAACATGGGTCGGTTTAGTTCATACAAATCTATTCTTAGATCATATATAATTCTGATGTTATAAATGTCGAAAAGAAAATTTAAAGAAACCTGATGCCTGTAGTTAGAGTAATCATTTGATCCAGCAACTAAAACAGCCCACTGTTTGCCTTTTGCACCCTTGTTGCTAGAGTCAATTTCATCATCGTTCAGCAATTGGGTTTTGCGAGATTCAGCTGAGAGCATAAGCAAAACATTGATAAAAACAAGAATATGAAAGTGACCAAGACGAGACATTAAGTATTTTCTAAACAAAAGAACAAACGAGTTAGAATCTGATTGTGAGAAAAGTATAGAAGTGTTTGGATGATGATTGAGATGAAGCCATATGGGTCGTTGTATATATAGCCAAGACCCATATACCAGAAAGACTGGTTTGCGTTTCAGAGTTGGAGTGTAGACGCAAAAAAGTAACGCATGACGTTGTGATCAACACATAAGCCAGCTTGCATGATGAACTAACTTCCTTGACATGTTTAAATTGTTTTGTTTGCTAGCTCCTTATCTTTTCCTTATTTTTTCCTCATTATTTTAATTTTTCTTATAGCCAATCTGTGCTAATTGCAATTAATACATACTGTATATAGTGATTAATTAATACATAAGATCTATAAATATGTTAATACTCATATTTCACACTTTTGAATGTAGCAAATTGATTATAAAGGGTTTTTTTTTCTTTTTTTTCACACTTTTGAAGATTTTACATAAATTTATAAAATCTTCAATAAATTTATGTAAAATCTACAATACATTTATGTAAATCTACAATAATTACACCATTATTATTTGATATATAACTATTGTAGATTTTGGTGTGAAGATAGAGAATCCACACATAAAAGATAATAATGATTTAAAAATAAAAAAGTTTGTGAAAAAAGGTAATCAGCAATAAAAATCCAAAATAATATACAAGTGAACTTTTTCACATTTGGACGAGATACATGAGCCAAGACAGAATTTTAGTTTTTTTCTTCCTTTATGTAAGTTTCTTCTTCAAATTTCTAATTTTCTATTAAGTTTTTCTTGGAATTTAATTTCAGGCTCCACATTTTATGATGCTACATAAGGAAGAATTTTCAAGTTAGCAACTTATATTTTCTTGTTTGATTCTTATACCTAATCTTCTTGTGACCAACCTCTGCTTAATTGATTAACGCGTATCAATTCATGATTTGTGTAAACAACGAAAATCAAAAAAAAAGTTGAGCATTGGGAAAAAATCATTCTAGTAAAAATCAGAAAGTAAGAAGATGCGTTTGAATTGAGAACTTGAACTAATTAGAGAAATAACTCACTTTTTTTAGTTGAGTGAATGAACAAACCAAATTTTGAGTCATGAATCATGATCGTGAAACTTTAACGTCAGGTTCTACTGAAATCGAGGGCAGTTTTCCATATCACCACTGAAATCAATCAGCAGAGAGAAACTATAATCACAAATTTCTAAATATAGTAAGTTATTAGAATAAAGAGTGGGGAATTTAAGTGGTCCAGACTTCGTCTACCATACTTAAAAAACGAGTTTGCGTCTTGCAGAGGTATTACAACAGCCCGACTCAACTTTTCTCCTCTATTGTTTTCTTCTTTTACGACTTACGAGTTATATAATGTGTACATACAACTTTCATTATTACATATATAGCTTTAAACAAACTAAAAAGACATTAGTGGCCATGTTTACAAAAACTAAGAAGAAGACAAGAATGGCCTCACTCCATGTCTTTCGGCAAATAGTGTCACTCTTCATTTGGGTCTGCGAAACAATAAATAAAAATGTAAAATGTGAGTTTGATGGACCAAACACATGATGATTGAAACTAATTATTTTTGCGGGAAGTTTAGGATTCTCTGATGCACCTGAGTTCTTCTCTGTGTCCGATAAAGTGCTTGAATGTGCATTAGAGCTATCCGAGCATATGCTCAGTTCATCCTGCAACAGATGCATTTCAAAGATTTTCAATTTAAGATAAGAATCGGATGGGTATGAAATGTTGAAATTGCTAAGATCATTTTCAATACTCACGACAGTTGGCAAGGAGACTTGGCTATGATTTGGTGTTAGACCTCTACTTAAGTTGAACATCATCCAATCCATATTCGCATCTGCACGAGCTCTCAGTTTATTGAGCTCTGGTAAAACCTCTTTTCCGAGGTCTGGCCGGTCTTTCCTTCTCAGCTGTGCGCATTTAAGTGCAACCTTTGCCAACGACAGAGCTTCTTCCACAGGCCAATTAGGCACTACTGGGTCTAGCATGTCCTTAAATGTGCCTTGCTCCATCGCTTGCTCAACGGTATAAGCCAAACCCGTTGGTCTTTTCGCAGTGAGCAGTTCGAGAAGCAAGATACCAAAGGAGTAGACATCAGATTTCACACCGAGCATTCCAGTTTGTTGGTACTCCGGGTCAATGTAACAGAAAGTCCCAGCAGTTGAAGTGACGAGGCACTGCGTGACGTTTTCAGCAACTGCAGGCACTAGTTTAGCTAATCCAACATCCCCGATTTTGCTTACGTAGTTCTGGTCAATCAAAATGTTTCCGGGTTTCAGATCACGGTGCACTATAGGCTCTGGTTTCGTCTGGTGTAGGAAGAGCAGACCCGTCGCAACTTCGGCTGCTATACGGAACCTGAGCTCCCACGAGAGTGGTGGCGTGTTTTCATATTTATAGAGCCTGTCAGCTAAACTGCCTTTGGCCATATACTCATAAACAAGCACTCCAAACTCTGGACATGCTCCAATAAGTAGCACCATATGTGGATGTCTTATGCAGCTAAGAACTTCCACCTACAAGAATTCTCAATACTGTTAATCAACATCTAATCCATAGTCGGATTTCTATTTAGATTTCAAAATTACATAATTTTAGGCTAGCTTACCTCTCTTTGAAATTGAGATCTTCCTTGAGCTGCATCTGGTCTCAAAACTTTTATAGCAACAGGGGTATGATCAAGATAACCCTTATAAACAGGGCCATACCCACCTTCGCCTATCTTATTAGCCTCGTCAAATGAGTTAGTGGCTTCTTCAATCTTACTAATAACATACCTCCGATATCTTAAATTGGAATCCGAGAGAGAACCTGCAGCTTCAATGGCTCTTCTTTGTGTTTCGAGATCTGCTATCTTGCTTGCTGTTTCGGAGGCCTCCATGGCAGCTTTGTTTGCTCTCTCTTTTTCCACTATTGACTTGGTAGATTTCTCCGATAACTGTCCTTCTTGCACCCATCCTTCCTCTTCCATTTTCTGTCGTTGGAGCTCCTTTGCCTTTGATCCAAATTTAAAATTGCCTTCAGTCAACACAGTTCAAGAACATATACACAGGGACCAGTTTCGTTTAATATCATTTTACCTCTTGCTTTGCTGCTAGTGCTTCTCTGCAAGCTGATCCATACATGTCGATTGTTTGTTTCAGTTCCTGCTTCAATCTCCTCATCTCAGCTTCCACTTCTTCCTGTACATTTCAGCAACAAAAAAATATAGTAACCATTCACAAAAACATATATTGATGTCTATAACCTAATCAAACGCATCTTACCAAGTTTTGTGGTGAACAAGAACAAGATGACCGACCGCTATCTTGCGAGACGAATGAGAAATCATGTTGGATATTGGTGTCATTAAACCTGATTCCTAGACGCATAGAGTGTCCAGAGCTTGTTGACATTCTTGGAGTTAAACCAGAATCAGGAAAGTCGTAGAAAAAGGAAGGGCTTCCAGTAGTGCTTGTACTCGGCCTGCCTGAGCTCACAAAAGATATGTCAGACCTTCCGGTACTTGTACTTGGCCTGCCTGAGCCTGTGGTACTTGGCCGGCCTGAGCTTGCGGTACTTCGCCGGCCTGAGCTTGTGGTACTTGGCCTGCCTGAGCAAACAAATGATATGTCGTTCTCCGAGTCTGACAAATCATAGAATGAGTTTGCGTAGTTTGGTGTTCTCGCCAAAGGTGATCTGTCGATGAAATTACCGCAAAAGAAAGAATGATCAGTTTATTTCTTAACAACAGATCAGTTTCTTGGCAAAGAAAAAGATTCTCGTGAAACATTACTTTCCATAGTCTTCAATGGAGCTGGCAGTCGAAGACCTTGCTGGAGTCCTATCTGTTTGTAGCAACAAAGGAACAATTTCAAGATGGGTGTGGGTCCACATGGTTAAGCCTCAAAATACTAACAAATAATAACTGTACCTCTAAAGCTCATGGTGTTCCTGAACTTTTCGTAGTTACATATTTCAGAGTGGTTTTCAATTTGACCGATAAGAGGAGACCGATATGGAGCAGCTCGTGTTGCATAGCGGACGGATGATATCTTCCCTTTCGAAATGACGTAAACTGTACAGAAATCAGGTGCTGCCTTTGTTACGTTGCTCGGTGTATCAGAAATCTTAAATTTTCTGCATACGTACGGATTGGAAAATAAACACATAATGAGACAATAGAAGACAATTGATAGGGAAGAAGAGATTTTATATTATCACCTCATGAATCCATGCCTTGACGGGGCACCAAGAACCAAATTTTCAATGACGCCAGATGAAACATATTCCGCAAGGGACTTGACTATGTTGTCATCCTCAAGTGTGACGTCAAGGCATTGTATCTAGGGGCAACGGTTAGTAAAGAAGACATAAATTAAGGCCAACTACCAGAAGCTTTGGTATATCAATTCATGGGTTCGCAATACAATCAAAGCAAGCGAGGAACAGAGATGTTATCGTGAGGTTTTACCTCTTTTCGACTGCAGTAGCAATGGAATGTCACAAAAAGACTCTCGGCTTGCTTATGTTTCTCTGTATTATCACCTGCCAAAACCCATAGCACCACAAAAATTTAAATTTGTACCTCAGAACAACAATAACAACACCAAAATGAGTTTTTGTAATAAGCATTCCATCAACACAAAGCTCAGACCTGAATCAGATGATGATCTAAGGATAACATGGAGGAGGATAATGGTTTGTCCTTTGGAGACAAGATTATCAGCTGCCCATTTGAGAGCATGTTGGCTTCCTTTATTATTATCCACTGCCACAGCTACTAACCCAGAATTCGAACTTTTCTTCTTTGAGTTTCCCTTCTGAGCCTTCATCGGTTACAAAGCTTAAGAACCCTAGTTTTTGCAGATCTCCGTATCTAACGATATCAATCTCTCGATTCACTACAATCTTAGCCTCTGAATTCTTGGAGGATCTCATTCTCAGTACTAAAGAAATCTGCGGCATTCCTAAATTAGGGATTCAAAAATTCCTCTTCCCCCAAAATAGAAAATTTCGATTCAGTGGTGAACTGAACAACACAACAATGGATACTTTTGACCAACCATTCGTCATCTCTGTCTCCGTATCTCTCTCCGACAGCTTCGGGTAGTCGCGGATTCTCCGCAATAGTAACTTGTATATCACCAAAATCCAATTTTTAGCCCTAAAATCTCAAATTCCGAGAAAAAAAGTTTGAAACTTTGTAATCCCCTCACAGTAAAATTCAATCTCAAGTGATGCTATTACGAATGGGTTCATCCCCTTTTGCATGAATTCGATTGGAAATGGGATAATCAGGAAAAAGAGTAAACTTTCAAAACTCTGCAAAATGGATTTACAAATTAAACAACTTTATAAAGCTGAAAAAAGTTACATTACAATTAACAAAAAAGAAAAAGGGAAAATTTCGTCCTTTTCTTTTGATTACAAATTGTTGAACTTTTCCATCAACTCATCATCGATTCATGGCGAAACCAAAGTCATCGTCGTCTATAAACCGAGAAGCAAAGACATTATGCGTCAAATCATTATCAAACTCTCTATCCTTTAACCTCTCTATCTTCTCCACTGCATCTCTCATCTCCATCCTCCTTTCTTCGTCTTCTTCGCAACAACTCAACCCTATTTTCAAAAGGTTTAGCATTTCTGCTTTGCAGTTCTTCTTCCCTGTCATTTCCTTGTCGAACACGTCACCCATTTTCTTCTCCTTAACCATGTTACTCACCCAAGTCACGAGGCTCATGTTAGCATCGTACCCTTGGCTTAGGTAATTCTCAGGAAACCTACCCGTTAAAAGCTCCAAGATCAAAACCCCGAGGCACCAAACATCTGTCTTCTTTGTTATATGTCCCTTTAAGCTATACTCTGGCGACTTATAAGAGATCATTAGATTGTGAGACTGCTCTGAGTTCATCACCGGTCTTAACGCGTAATCTGTTAAGAATGGTTCAAATGATTCATCCAATACAACGTTCGATGACTTGAGATGACCGTGAGGGATTGTTAGTGTTGGTAGCTCGTTGAACAAGTAACCTAAACCCTTAGCCACTCCTTGTATGATCTTTAGCCTTGTTGGCCAATCCAGTCCAGGTTGATCCACAGAATGATTCGCTGAAACAGAGCAGTTTCACGTCAAAACTGATTAAGTTTCAATTTTTATGAACAACAAAAAATTGAGTGTTACATACCGTGAAGATGGCTTGCCAAGCTACGATTTGGCATGTACTCAGCTATCAAAAGCTTCTCTTCTCTACGGTAATAGTAAGCCACAATAGGCAGCAAATTTGGATGGTTCAATCTCCCTAACCGTCTCAAATGCTCATGAAACTCCTCTCTTCCAACATTGTTCATATGCTTATACCTCTTCACGACTAGCGTCTGTCCACTATTTATACCAGTTTTATAAGAAGCACCAAAGCTTCCGCTCCCAAGAACTTCAGCAGAGGCTCTAAGAAGATCTTGAAGGTCAAATCTTTGACTGTCATCTTGCAGAAACAAGAGTTTGCTGTGATCTGGTAGCGCTCCTCTCCTACTAGTGTAACTCGAAACCGACTCCACGGCATTCTCCTTGTCCTTGGATTGATCGTAATTGTATTTCTCTGTCCTGTCCTGACCCGCGGATGGATATGCCGATAAACGCTTACGCCTTCTGGTATGAAGAACGCAGACCACAAGCGAAATGATCATTAGTATTATCCCAATTATAATCAAAATAATTGCAGCCGTGTAGAAAGCTTTCTTGTTCTTCTCCATGGGAATAAAAGAGAGATTCGGAAAATCCCCTGAATCAATGGAGCATGAGCTTAGTGGAGGACCACACAGGTTCTTGTTCCCTGCAATGTCCAACAGAGCAAGAAAGATTCTTTTTTTACATAAGAACTCATATAGTTACTAAAACTTTGCAGATTTTGAACTGTTTTGTTAAGTTACCTGCAAAGGAGCCAGGATCCATTTTGCGAAGGCTTTCGGGTTTAGGTCCCTCGAGGTCATTGTTTTCGAAGCTAACCAACTTAAGATCCTTCTGTTTAAAATCAGGTATCTCCCCTTGAAACTGATTCCCATTTAGCCTCACCTCTAAAAGCATTGGCAAAGAAGCTAAAGAAGAAGGGATCTTCCCACGAAACGCGTTGTTTGCCAACAAAAGCTTCTTCAAATGATGCATGCCGTCAAAGGCATCCGCAGGTATATCCCCTGTAAACCTGTTGTTGGACAAGTACAATGACTTCAACGCACCAAAATTCTTGACAGATGGCATTGAACCGTTGAAGTTGTTGTTCATGAAGCTCAAGGTTCGCAGATTCTTGATTGGAGCCAATGGTTCAAGGTCTAGCTTCCCGGTTAAACCCATTCCTTCGAGTTGGAGGCCCCAAACATTACCGGTAAAACAGAGAACACCGAACCAATCCGCCGAGTTTCGCTTACACGGGGGGACGGAAGGATCCCAACTGCTAATGACCGAAGCATTTACTAAAGTTTCTTTGAATCTCAAGAGGCAATCTGCGTCTGAACCTTGCAATGGCACAACATCCCCCTGATGCTGAGACATAACCATTGTGACCTGACATAAAACAACGCTGATGAGGAAGGTAATGAAGGCTAGTTTTTTCGCCGTTGAGGCGGTGTTGCTTGCAAGCATAACCGGGTTCTCCCAAGTTAGCATTGCAGCTAACACGCACTATAGATCGATTCTTCTTCAATAAGAAATCTACTCTCTTTTTTTCAAGAACTTCTCCTTCTTTCTCTTTTCTCTCTCCTGTCTTCCAGACAAGAGAAAAAAAAACGAAGAACAAAACCCAACTATGTCAATTCGCAAGACTTGTTTATGTTGCATGTGTGTGTTGTCTAAAAGATTATTTAGATTTTGGAGAGATCTTAGGGAGGCCATTCGATTTTGTTTTTGTTTTTAGTTATACAATTAATCCTTGTTGTTGTGTGATTTGTTATTTTTCAATTTCTTCTAACTAACTGAACAGTGGTATTTAATTAATATGATGATTACGTAAAGATGATCATAATATATATTGAGCTTTTATCAAACAAACAAAACTAAAAAGAAGAAAGATTATGATAACCCTAAGATGCATGCTATTGCAATAAGAATAGAGAAAATTATACTTTGTGTCATGTACAGTAGTAAAACTTCTTAAGATTGCCACTTTTTTTAGTGTCTTCTCCCGCCTGCCATAGAAATTGATTAAAAAGACTTTTTTGTCCTTATGCAAATGAAGTCTAGTTTGCTTATTAATAAAACATATTTTTTTTCCCTGGTTGATGTTGACTGTTGCTACTTCTCTCTCTCTCCTCTGTCTTTTTTCTTCTTCTTTCCTTTTCTTCTTTCTTTCTCCATTAACAAACTTAGGGATTTCAGTTTTCACATGGGTTTACTTTATCATAAAGATATCAATCAGCTCTGCTGATGATTCCTAGAGGTTGTATGCTGCATTTCTAATAAATCAATTCAATGGACCAGATCCGATAAACTATATCCCGATGGACCATTTCCAGTGAACTAGTTCGTGAAATCTTTTTTACCAGTTTTTCTCCTACAAAGGGGTATCAATCAGCCTTACAAATGTTCCCTAGAAATGGTGTTTTTTCCCGACGGACCAATTCTAGTAGACCAGATCTGGTGGACGATATCCAATGAATCAATACTAATGGACCAAACTTGTATTTTTACTAAGTAATCGTGTCCATCACGCGTATCTTCTGAAGTCATAAGCGATCGACCATATAATGAAACAAGTGATGCGTCTATAGAAGATATCATCTACAATCCATCTAGGTTTACATTTTGGATTATACAATTGTCGGTAGATGGACCAGATTCTCGTGGACTAGATCTGGTGGACAAGATTATATGGACTAGATCCAGTGGACCAGATCCGATGTCGTCAACCGGATGTCCATATTTTCTTCTCACTCATCTTTTTGTGTTTGTCCTTCAACCTTGCTGGACTACAAATCTTACTAATGACATGTCAGAGGACAAGCGTCGGAGTTGTCTCTTGGAATCTGTCAAAGTGAGTTATCGATGGACCAGATCTACTTTGTATATTTTGTCTATCATATATTACTTACTCGTCCGCTGTTATTAATATGTATGTTACATTACCCACAAGATATTAGGCTACATCTCAGCAATTAAAGGCTACTGATGCCAACAGAAAAAACAGAGTTTCACTCTCCAATGTGTAGGGGCAAAATCGTCCAAGTTTTATATTTTGTGGCATGTTTTGAAAGAGATTTTTGTTAATGGCAGTTTTACAAATTTGAGTTTCAAAAATGGCATACTTAACAAAATTCCCATAAAAATATATAGAAATAGTATTATTGACGTAATGTCTGTTATAATTGGTTGAAAGTCTTTGTACAGGCGACAACATTGGGACATATTTTCAAAGAAGACAAAAAAGAAAAAAAAAACCAATGGTACGTACAGTAGTAATTATTAAACACTGAACCATTGGCAAATCTGTCAGGGAAATAGCGACCTTGGTTATCAAGTTTAAAAGCATCATGTAACCCTTCAATATTTTTCCCAACCCATTAATTCAGAGAACAAAAGAGAGAACTACTTACCTGAAATCTCGTTTTATTCTTCTCTTCCTCACTGCTCCTTAATTCTTCTTTTTCATGTCCTGGAGTGAAATCAAAGGACCGTGAAGCTTCTTAGCTCCTTTCGAAATCCGTGAAGGAGACTCATTGAGCCTAGGGTTTGGGCCTCTTAACTCATATCTGAAGCTTCAATTCACGCTTTTGAGAGATACAAAGCTTTATCGCCTCGGGACAATGAAGGTGGTAATTTTTGTTCCTTTTTTTTTTGTTTTTAAGTCGTTTCAGTTTATTTCGATATCCATGGAAGGTTTTGGTTCTTGATCTGTTTTCTTCTTTTGACTCATGGGTTTTTGTTGGAGCATTTTTTGCAGCAAAAGATGCGTATCAAAAAAATGCGTATCAAATTGTCAGTGAACAGTGACAAATGCAGGAAGAAAGCAATGCAAGTAGCAGTGCTTGCAAGTGGTATGTGTCAAACAGGTTCAAAGTTGTATAGTTTAAAATTTTGTATTTTTATATAATTGTGTCTTGCAATCGCAGGTGTAACCTCAGTGGCTTTGGAAGGAGAATTTGGGGACGAGCTTGTCGTCATTGGAGACGGAGTTGATGCAGCTTGTTTGGTTCTTGCGTTGAGGAAAAAAGGATGCTGTGCCACATTAGAGACTCTACAAGAAGTCAAGCCGGAGAAGAAGCCACAGGTCGATGACAAGTCTGTTACACCGCATTGCTGCATAGCTCAATGTTCTGTCGTTAATAACGAGCAGCCTAGGCCTGAGATATATAGAATAGTGCACGACTCTTATGGTCCAACCACTGGTTGCAGAATCATGTAAAAGAAGACTAAAGATGTAGATTCCAAATCCATTCAAAAGTTTGATATCTTTTAGTACATGTGTACAAACGTATCAAAAACAAAATTGCAAATCAAACAACATTTGAGTCCTATTTTTCCAAGTCAGATTATAAACATACATCAAAACAGATGGAAAGCTAGTTTTTCCTCATCATATCAAAGAAGATCTGGATCCCGGGCAAGATGTTCAATTGTAACCCTACGCATTGATCGAACCATCAGTTCATGGGAAGCTCTGATTCTAGCCAGTCTGCTCTGCATACTCTGAAACACAGGATGGCCTATTGCCTCACGCACTCTAGCATAATGCTCTTGGTCTTCAGAAAAATTAATAAGTGCCTCAGCTGCGTTATCCCTGAGCTCTTCCGACTCATCGCCTAACCATTCAATCAGAATCGGTATCATACCCGAATCAGAAAAGGCCTCACGGTCATTCTCATTGTAACTCAACTGAGAAATAGCTCCAGATATCCTCTCTCTGAACTCAAGGGATCCATCTCTCAAAAGCTCGATCAGTAAAGGAATTGCGCCAGACTCTCTAATTACAGATACAGAATGCCTATAACCCGCAAGATCCCATAGCACATCAGAAGCTGCCAACTTGGCTTCGTTATCGCCTTCTCTCAAGATCCTCACCAGTTGCTGCGCTATCAAAACAGCATTACCCTCAGCTACAGCTAATATACAGAACACATCCTCTGCAATATCTTTCCCCATGGGATCTTGTCCCGAGAGAAGCTCGACGTACAAAGGAATGGAACCAGCTTCAGTAACAGGCCTAATATACTCAGTCTGAGCAGATATGATCCCTAAGGCATTACCAGCTAAAAGCTTTGCCTTATCATCCCCATCTCGATATAGATCCACAAGTGCTGGAATCACTCCTGCTTCAACCAGTATTCGCCTAGCTCGTCTAGTAACACCGATCAATCCGATTGCATGACAAGCTCTCTCTCTCGACGCCAAGTTCCCAACTTTAGCAGCTTCTACAAGAAACTTAAGCCCTCCTGAATGAACAAGAACGCGTCTGCTCTCTCTTATCGTCGTCAAAGCACTAAGGATCTCTAACAAGTACCATTTACTTGCATCATCTTCCCAATTATTCAACTCACGAATCACAATCTCTAAACCACCTAACCTAGCCAAACCAATTCGAATCGACGATCCAAAAGTAACTAAGCTCCACAAACATTTCACCCAAATCCTCCGTAACACACTGCCGTTATTACTATTCGCCTCAAGTAACAACCCTAGCAAGCTAGCAATCACACCACACCTCCCCATCGTAACCGCAAACCCACCCTCACCACCGCCGCAACAGGCGATACGTTTCAAGCAATGCGCGGCGGCAGCTTGAACGGAACGATTGGGATCATCGGAGACACGAAGAAGACCGGCGAGGATCGGAATTACACGGGTTATATAACTCTCCGGTACCCGACTCGCTAAATCTGATAACTTTAGAATGGATCTTACACGAATTGGAGCCGAACCAGACGAAATCGCATTTTCGAATCCATTAAACTCTGTTTCCCAATCTGGGTTTTGAATACCTCTGCTTTCGCTTTCCGTTTCTGAAGAAGAACCCATTTCTGGAGATTACCAAACACCTTCGAATATCACGAAAATGGAGAGAGATTCACATCTACGACTACAAGCAAGAAAGATTGAAATATGCCATTGTTGACCAGCCCTAGACACATTAACTACAGCATCATAGTGTATGAAGAAGACGACTCACTTCGGTTACCCGGTTTTTAATGGATTGTACCAAAAAAATAAACCAAATATAATTCGAATAATTTTACATGGTTTACTCGGTTTATTAGGAAAACAAGAGCATACGTCAGTTTTGTCTGTTGAAAACGTAATCAGCGAGAAACAGCAACGGAGCTGCCTTGTCTGAATCAAACGTTTTAAGATGTTCCCGCGCTTCTCTGTTCAACTTGTCAGCATAATCTCTCGACTTCTCCACTCCCATCACCTTCGGATACGTCAGCTTTCCCGAGATCAAATCTTTACCCGCGGTTTTCCCTAGCTCTTCCGATGACTTGGTCACATCAAGCACATCATCCACCACTTGAAACATCAACCCAACGCATCTCGCGTAACTCCTAAGACTTTCGATTTCTTCATCAGACGCACCTCCCACTATAGCTCCCATAACAACTGCAGCTTCAAGCAACGCCGCCGTTTTATGAATATGTATAAATTCAAGATGCTCTAGTCCCGCTTCATCGTTGTCGAAGCTCATACCTTCTCCAGCCAAATCCGCCGCTTGACCAGCAACGAGCCCTTCCGTTCCCACGGCTTTCACTATCTCTAGAACGGCACGGAGAACTCTCACTGGAGGAACCTCCGAAGAGGTGGATTCCACGGTGTGCTTGATGGCCAGTGCTATGAGCGCATCAACTGCCAAGATTGCTATATTTTCGCCAAAGACTTTGTGATTTGTGGGTTTTCCCCGGCGGAGGCTGTCGTCGTCCATACAAGGTAGATCGTCTTGGATGAGGGACGACGCGTGGATCATCTCAATTGCACATGCGGCAGGCATTGCGGTTGACTCTTTCCCACCCACGAGCTCGCATGCAGCCAGACAAATCATTGGCCTTATGCGTTTTCCGCCCGAGAGAAGCGTGTACCTCATGGCCTCGCGGATCTTCAGCACTGGCTCACAGAGTGGAACAGCCTCCTCTAGTGCCTTATTGACAAGCTTAGATTTACGTTTCATATACGACAAGAACTCTGATTCAAAGCTTTCAGCAGTGAGAGTGTGGCTTGGCGGATCACGGTGGCTGGTCTGTCGCCACAAAGAAGACATAGCCGCATTTAAACGCGGCCAAATAAATCTCCAAAACAAGAACTGAAGAGAGATGAAGATGGAGATGAAAGTGTAAACAAGAACTTCTTTATTTTCCATCTTTGGCTTTGGTGGTTCGTTTTTACATCGCAATGTTGGTACCATATTTATAGTAGTGGACGAGATTACTCATTAAAAATTATTGATTTTTGAAGCAACTGAATTAATTAATTACGTAACACACAAACCAAAACAGCTTACTCTAGTTGTAAGTTGTGCTATTATCATGTGGATCATACTATATGGATTCATTAATTGTATAGCGCCGGGAGCGTTTACGCTTTTGGCTCGCACGCTAACATTATTATAAGGAAAAAAAACAAATTATCATCCAAATGTTTACCGTTGCTTTATTACTTTTTTCTTGGTGCAAATAGTTGCTTTATTACTTAACATTGATCTTAACATGTTTAAAAACACTAATTTTTATTTATCACATTATCCAGAAATTGCAAAAGCAAATATGCAAAACGCAAATAATATTTTTAATTCCGTGTGCTATATATGTTTTAACATAATATTTGAGTGAAAACAATAAAGGAGTTATTAGTCAAACATGAATTTAAATAACATATTCAACCAGACATAATCCATTAACTGTACTAATTCTATGTTGGAACTCGTTTAATCAATTACATCCACGTGATCCCTGAAGATCTCTCCTTCACAAACTTCAAAACTGGAAAGTTCATTAATCGACAAATAGAAGATTAGAAGTAGCATCAACACCTCAATTAATCAAAAATAAAAATACTTTTGCATCCAAAGGGACAAGCTAAGTGAAGACCTTTGAGCCATTAAATTAGAAAGAAGGCCTCGTGTATTCTTGTTATTATACTTTACATTGGACACATATATTTTGGTTTATTAAGCTTCTGATAAGCATTAGTGTCAGTTTTTTCTGTTGAGAACGTAATCAGCGAGAGACAACAAAGGAGCCACCTTGTCTGAATCAAACCCTTGAAGATGTTCCCGCGCTTCTCTGTTCAGTCTCTCTGCATATTCCTTCGATTTCTCCACTCCCATCAGTCTCGGATACGTTAGCTTTCCGGCTATCAAATCTTTACCGGCGGTTTTCCCTAGCTCTTCCGACGACTTGGTCACATCAAGTACATCATCCACCACCTGAAACATCAACCCAATGCATCTTGCGTAACTCCTAAGCTTCTCTATTTCTTTATCAGACCCACCTCCCATTATAGCTCCCGTAACGGCTGCCGCTTCGAGCAACGCCGCCGTTTTATGAATATGTATAAACTCAAGATGTTCTAGTGCGGTGTTACTATCAAATCCCATACCTTCTCCAGCCAAATCCGCGGCTTGACCTGCAACAAGCCCCTCCGTCCCCACTGCTTTCACCATCTCCTTAACGGCCCTGAGAACCCTCTCTGGAGGAACGTCCAACAAGGTTGATGTCGCGGCCTTTTGGACAGCCAAAGCTATGAGCGCATCAGAAGCTAATATGGATATACCTTCTCCAAAGACCATATGGTTAGTGGGTTTTCCACGCCGGAGACAGTCGTCGTCCATGCAAGGGAGGTCGTCTAGGATGAGAGACGACGCGTGAAGCATCTCCATGCCACAGGCAACGGACATTGCGGTTGACTCATGTCCGCCCACGAGCTCGCATGCAGCTAAGCAAAGCATTGGTCGTACGCGTTTGCCATCCGAGAGAAGCGTGTACCTCATGGCCTCATGGATCTTGAGTACTGGCTCGCGGAGAGGAACGGCCTCCTCTAGTGCTTTATTAACTGACTTAGCCTTATTGACCATATACGACATGAACTCAAACTTATAGCTTTTGGGCGAGTTCAGAGGGCGGATGTTAACGTGGCGTGTGAGCCTCAACGTAGACATAACTTTAGTGCAACGTGGCCGGAATCTCCAAAAAACGAGTTGGAAAGAGAGGAGGAAGGAGATGAGAGTGTAAACAAGAGCTTCTCGAGTATCCATATTTGGCTATTGATTGGTTTGATTTTTATAAAAAAAGCTTGGAATACTGATACCATATATTTATATAGATTATAGTAAAAGAGGTTAGAGTTCAATCTTACGCATATTGATTCCCTTAATTAAGTAATTACGTATAATTCACAACGCGGACCATGCATATGACCTGTCGTTTTTTTTTTTTTGTTAATAAATATGATCAGTCGTTTAAAGTTGTAAGTAATATGAATTCATCTACAATAGCGTCGAATTCATGTTTAGAAAGCTGGCTGCTTTCACGATAACATGTGTTCAATACATATATATGTTTGGTCAACGAAATTATCATTTATTACTCCGGCCTTGATGATGACTGATCAAATGAGAAGTAATCTAAACAAATGTTCAACTACATAATTTGCAGTACTACTTAGCATGTGATCGTTATACATGTATAAAAACATTATTTTTCGTCTTTCGTATCAAACATCATCTACAAAATATAATTAAGAATAAACTGCTCTCAAACGAGGCACTAAAAACAATATAAATGCAAACTTATTCACAGTCAACCAACAACGTCGAGTCATGTTGGGAACCATTAAAGAAGCTGGCTGCTTGCACGAACGTTTGCTCAACCATCACACTATACAAGAATAGTAAAATACTTCATTTAATTAGTTCCATGTTCTTGATTGAAATTGAGAAATAGTCTGAGTGTTTGCGTTTGCATCTACTACGTAAACGTAACAGTGATGGTTACATTTATAAGAAAGCATTATTTCTTTCTTTCGTATTAAAACATATATAATCTACAAATTAAGAATAACTTCACTCAAACGTGTTATTTTGCGATCCTTTCTTTGGTCTCCGAAACATATCTTATCTACTATGGTTCTGATGACGACATGATTCATTATATTTAACAACAGAACCTTCTAAAACCACGAGGCTTCTTGTATTTGACTTGGTGCTTCGTTAATGTACTAACAACCTCAGGTGCCGTGTCTTTTGCGGGCTGTGTCTCGGTTCCATTATTTGTAGGAGGAGCCTCAAGTTTCTTTGGAGGTGGGTTTAAGTTTGCATCTTTATACTCGACTCCATATTCCATTGCCGACAGTTCAATGCCTGTCTTCACGAGCATCTTCATGAGCACTCCAATTTCTATGTTACCACATAGATATGCCATTGGATATCCCATAGTTGGTTGTGCGTCTATGGTGAATGATACACCTGAAACCAAACCCACGAATCAGAACAAAAACAAACAAAAAAAACCTAAACACCTGTCCAAAACTTGATCTAGAGAAAACATTTTGATCACCTTGGATGGTCTTCAAAGCTCCTATGATTCTCTTATACCAACTTGCATCTGATGTGTTAAGCTCGAAACAACATCTCTAAAGAAGCCAAAAACATACAGATTCAAATTTAAAACCATTGATAAGTATTGGAAAGTAGTGAAGAAAATAAAGAAGTTGTGAGAAATATAAAAAAAAACCATGAAGTGAGAATTAGGTCTCCGGGTTCCTTGTGGATTCTCTTCATATCCATAATCAATTCGGAAGAGCTCAACGTAACTTCTCGCTTTATACAACTTCTTAATGAAGATTATAGGATCAACTTCGCCCCGTAGATACACCAACCAGTTTGACACATCCAGCTTTAAACCTTTCATGTTTCAGAAAATAAGAACACTGTTTTTATTAGCCTTCTCATCAACTCTTGCGTAATTGATTAGAAGAATCTCCAAGACTCAAAGTTCTTTAATTACCTTCAATGCCCTGATATACTTTATTTAACATCTTTTCATAACCTTGGAGTCCAATATTCACACCAAAAACACATGTCTATTTCATAAAGTTACACTGATAATATTAGAGGACTAGCATGAAAAGTAAAGATTATTTCTTGGAAAATAAGAATTACTAAATTAAACAGAGAATTACGTACCAATGGAGGAGGCGGCATCGTTCTGAGTTTCAAGAGCTGTAATCTTAGATGGTAATTGGAACAACTTAGATAATATGAGCGTAGCTTTCTCTATGATTCAAGTCTCCTTTCTTATATGGGCGTATCTTTTTATTGCCATAATTTAGAGATTTATTGCCTTAAGTGATCCTATATAAAATCATAAACTAGAAATATTCCATATTACACAAAAACTTTCCAATTTCTTTTCCACGACGGCACTAATGTTTACTTTTATGGTGAGCCAATCGGATTTTATTCTAACAAGAAGCCACCGTCGATTTGGCAAAAGAGGATTCTCTCTAAGATGACCAATTTCATCTTTTTCCTAATATATCAAAAAGAAAACAGTTTTAAATGTAACAAAAAAATAAAACGAATTACCAAGGTAAAGTCATACAAAAGACCAGTTTGCACGCCACAAACACGATATTCAAATCAAAAACAGGGGAACGAATTATTCAACAGGGAAAACCAAAATCAAAATGCCTTGTGGAATAGGGGACATTTGAATTTTATTAGCAGCAAGTGGGAAAATAAGCAGAATAAAGGTGTGTGTGTATATACCAATCAGATCCAAGAAGGGTCTTCATGTTATGCACTGTGGTATATGTTTCTACATTCCTTCCTCAGTAGCTGAGTTCTTCTGATTTAGTGGCTGCAACGCAGATTCTGGCAACGTGTTCTGTTTAAGACTCTTTTTTATTGTTACCACTTCCAACTTGTGTCTCCTCTTCAACTTTTCCATTTTCTTCTTTAGCTTCTCGTTTTCTTCTTCTGCTTCATTGAACTTTTCCTGCAACCAAATATGTTCATAGTGGGAGCCCAAAAGTCAGAAAGCAATGACACACACTCGCAAACCTTGGTTTCAATCAATTAAAATCTGAAAACTTTGCTTGTTACCTCAGCAGCTGATGCTGATTGTTCTGCTTCTCTGAGTCTTACAAGAACTTCTCCAGCAGTATGAACAGCTTCAGCAGTATTCCTTAGTTGAATCTTGAGGCTTACGTTTTCTTTCTTCAACAAATCCCTTTCTCTTTCTCTTTCTACTCTAAGAGCTGAGAGCTCAGTAGCAAGTGATTTAGCGAAACGTGAACCGCAACCCTTTTTTCCAGCCTTTGCTACTGCCTTCTTTAACTCTGTTATCCATTCCACTGTTGCTTTATGCTTTGAGCCTAAGTCGTTGTACTTCTCTTGTAGCTCTGTGTAATGTTCAACAAACCTGGCATGACCAAGAACAGCTCTTCGAAGTGCATCCTCTAACTCTTCAGAAGATAGTTTCTCTTGTTTAAGCTGTGCTTCAGCTTTCTCTGCACGCATACGTTGAGTTTCAATCTCAACTCTGAGTTCATCGGTTAATGATATCCACTCACTTTCCATTTCTGTGCACTTGAGTCTTTCTTCTTCTATATCTTTTTCAGAAGTCTTGTTACGGAGTTGAAATGAACGAGCCAACAGTGATGACCTCATTTCATCGGTGCAGATGGTTACAGGCGTCTGCAACTTGCTTTTCAGATCTTCAATTTCTTTGAGTAATGCCTCCTTCTCACCAATAAAAAAGAGTGTCTTTTTGGAGTCGTCATCCGAGATTTGTTTTACGTCATATTGTTCAGTTATGACTTCTGCTTGGTCACGCTCAACAACATCAGTACAGCTGGGAAGCTGCAGAACCATTTAATTGGGATATATGTTACAATCTCTTCACATTTTTTTCACTATAGATGTGGTCAGAGTAAATTGAAGTAAGAACCAACCTGGTTTTTATCTGCAGAAGGAACTCGTTCTCCATTACTTGGTCCCACAAGTTCTTCTGTTTCATCCTCAGTTTGAAGTTTGTGTTGCTCTACCTGCAGAAGATATAATTTAGTAACCAGACTGCTTAACCATATATGTTGATTCAAGATTCAATAGACATAAGACACATAAATTGAGTTACCAGGCGAGTTAGCTGTTCAATCTTGGCTGCTTGCTCTCTGCACAAATTTTCAAGCTCTTGCTGCTTCTCAATAATCCCTTCCATATGATATCCATTCTGATTCACAATGAATCCAACAATGTAAGCTTTAGGGTAGCTGTACCTTTAACTAAAATCTACAAAACACACTTTTTCGGCTATATCACTTGATTTACTTACTCCCTCAACTACACTTGATAATTTGGAGCTGCATAGTCTGCAGGACGGACAGAGTGGCGACAGAGGATCATCTGTTACATCTGTTAAAATTTTATCATTCTGTAGTATCTGTGTGGAAGGTTGCATGGTCAAGTTATCAGATGACAAAGAAACTGAGCATCGGTTTGATGCAGGGTTCAGCGGATTCTCAATAATATCCAAGCCTCTTCGCAGGCTTGCAGCTAAAGATTCTGTAGAACCTGTGAATATCTTACTTCCACGTAAAGATGATCTGATATGTTGGCTCTCTGCAAAACACGTGGACTTTATGCTCTGCGCCAGGCTATTCTGATTCCTGAGACATGATGAAGAAAGAGCATAGCTCTTCCTTAGAGAGTCTCTGATTTTAGGTGACTCTGACTGGATTGGTTCTTGCAAGATTAATGATTGGCGGCAGGGATTGATTGAAATGCGGTTTTCCGTTGCAAATTCCTTTAACCTTGATTCATTTATTATCCCTGCACTGTCTTCGTCATGTTCTTTCAAAGATTCACCAAAATCTTTATCTTCAGCTTCTACTTCCTCTGAACAAATCTCATCATCGTCCATAAGCTCTGATTCACCGAATGCTGTTACAAAGGAAGAGTTGACTGACTCTCTGCTGACAGGGAGCTTCTTAAGTTTTTGGTTGAATGAACCACGCAAGGACTTGATCTGCTGATGCAGCTCCTTTACATCATCTTCATCAACCGTTATCTCTTCCTCGTCAATATCAATTTTTGGGAGCATCAAAGAGCGGTTAAGACTAACTCTTAGTTGATTCAAGCTTTCACGTGCATTCTTAGCTCCGAAATAATCATTTGTACTTCCAACAGAGTGACAAGCGTCGGTTTTGGCTCTTGTAAGTTCTTCCTGCAAAAAGTGGTTGTAAATGACATTTGAATGACATCTAGCTTCGAAAATCGAAAGATAAGAAAAGGTAATAGGTTGGTGGAAGAGGTATTAAACCTTTAGCAGACGTATCTGATCACTCAAATCATTCACATCTTCTTCCGAGATCTCATTTATCATTGGTTTGTTTCCCATGGCTTTAGCCCGCTCACCAAATCTAAGGGTGCTCATCGTTCTTTTTGTGTCTCTGGATTACACAAATTAACTCTATTAGTACATCTAGTCTGCATCATGTCATACGGTAAGTGTTTTGAGTTTTGTTCTTTCTGCATATTTAGCACTAATTGAATGTTAACAAGACCTGAGATTTTCCCTTCTTATCTCTATGCAGATCATTGTATTAATGGAATCTTAATTCTTGGTACCATCAGGCTATTATGATTATATTTAACTAATTAGTGATAACAAGGTGAAGAAAAATACTTGTCGCTCGGAAAAATGTTGCACAGGATAGTGAGTTTTGAATTTCCACCAAGAGATTCTTGCAATAAATGCGTCAAGCATGAGGTTTTATGAAGACTGCGGTCGGATATTCCAGGGTGAATATTTTTCGCCAGAGCGTTTACAACATGGCTGCACCAATAGTTAAGAAACAAAAATGTTATTAGAATTTAGAAAACTAATGAAGCTGTTGATTTTTTGTTCCCTAATTCAGATGTTAATTCTTAGTTGAGACCTATGAAAGTAACACAGGGAGTTCATAAAGTTATACCCGAGCTCTGACAGCGACTTCTTCAAGAACTTATCTTCCTCCACACAATGTTTAGTAGCATCACGTTCACTTGTTCCCACTCCAGCAAGATCAACAAGGTTGATCCTGCTTGTTCTGGTAGTATTGAAACTACTTGATGATGCTCCCTGTACGCAGATAGTATGTGATCAATCACTCATCAGATTTGAATACGCAAGATAGTCGAGAAAATAACTATACCTTATTCCAAGACTCGACAATGAAAGAAAGTATGACGTGTGATCGAGAACTTTGAAAACTTGTGCTAGTTGCTCCAACTTTTCTGCTTGAAAGGCCCTGTAAAGCAGAATAGAGTGCACACCGAAACATGAGAGATAGACATGGAATCAGTGAAGAAAGGATTATTTCATCAACAGAAGCATATAGCGGTTTCCAAGATATAGTGAAACCATATAGATAACTTAGAATACTTAATAGATGAAGCTAGCATGATACCTTCATCAGTATTTGAGCTACATCCTCATAGCTATCTACGTATTCCTCAGTCAAGTTATCGACATAAACACCATTCTTTGCATCATCCTTTATCTGCCGTATGACACAAAACATAATCAAAAACTTTACACTCAACAAAGATTAACAATGGGAAGAAACTGTAGACTAGTGAAGTTAACCTTAAGGTTTCTCTGGTTTTGATCTATCAAATCACTGATTTGCCCATTGTATATCTGCAGGAAAAGATTAAGCAATGTAAGACAAGAAATTCCAAGAGCATGTTTTCTCCAAAAAAGGATCCTTCATATGGGCTTGGAAATACCTCAAGAAAGGAACAACGGCACTGATAGTTCACTTCTTTCCCTCCTGACTTCAACTTCTCCTGCATAATTGGCAAAAGGGTGACGCTCATTGATGAACCAACCATCACAGCTCTCATAATCAAACACGAGCTCTAGCTAATAGTAAGAAGCATAACTTACTCTCTGGATTTCCGAAAACAGCATCTGAAAGACTCGAGGCGCGAGTCCTTGCTCGCCTTTAGGAGATGGATCCTCAAGCATTGAACCTGCTGGACCCCACAGTGTATAGGTCTTCCCACTTCCGTTCTAAAAGGATACAAGAAATCGGGAAATAGTTCAACATTGTCTGGCGATTAATTGGTTTCAGTAGCTCCAAGAACACAATTATTCAATACCTGTCCATATGATAGCACACTAGTGTTGTAACCTGATAAAGCATCCCGAACCAAAGGAACACCTATCTGCTGGAATACATCATCCTGGCATCAACAAGTAAACAAGTTAGATGAACACAATACATTTTTCTCTTCACACCCTAATAGAAACTTATCCAGATTGTGTGTGTGAGAGAGAGAGTCGAACCTGATTTAGATTTGAGTCGAGAACAGAATCAAATGTAAACTGGCGATCCCTAACAGAATATGAATCATTGGAAACTTTTTTAACTTTCCAGCAATACTCCTTGGTAGGTTTAATTCTCACCACAACCTTAGATATAAACAAAAAAAAAATTTGAATTAGAACCAAATTTTTAAGGAAAGAAAGCAAAGGCTCTTGATTTCCTAAAATCTGAGCAAAATGATTCTCCAAAGATAGAAAGAACCAACCTTGACATGTGGATTCGAGGCTTCTTCTTCCACTTCATTTCGAATCTTCACTGCCGACACTCCATTTCGCTGTTTTTTTTTGTATTCAAATTCCACCAAACAAGACGCAAACCCATTAGGGGAAACATAATAAAAGGAGATGAATCCCACAATTCAATCAAATGAGAAAGCTCTTTCACTTACCCGAGACGATAAAACTTCACCTCGGCGATTGGGTGAACCCATCTGATTCCTGTAAGCCGCTGATTTAGAGACAGATTCATTTCGCGGAGTATTGATGTTTGGATCGTGAGGAGGGAAGTTTTCGATGTCGGATCTAGGGTTCGAGTTTGGTCTAAAATGGCCGGATACGGATTTGGGAAGAAAACTCCATCTAGAAGACGAAGTGGGTAAGGTTCCGGTGAAGCGACTGTCTGCCATGAATCCCCAAATGACAGAGCTTGCGAGATCGATCGTGAAGAGACAGACAAAAATGTGTGAGAGAAAGAGAGAGAGACGACGAAAGATTCAAAATTTGAAGGAGAGGGAAATGTAAAGTAATGATAATTTTTTGTTTGCTTTGGTTTTCAAACTGATAATTATCTCTATTCTTTCGGATCTACTTTACTCGACCGTTATAGGATTTTTTGTATTTTTTTAAAATTCACGATTCTTTTTTTTTTTATCATACATTAAAAAGAAAAAAAATTGAACAAATCTTCAATGTTTTATTTATTAAATAATAAAATAAATGTTTTTCATGATTTTGGAAGCAGGTGTGAAATGATGGAAAGCTGAAAGTCTTACTTTAAGCTACACTACTCTGTCCTGATTAGTGATCACTAAAGTTCCCACATAGATATGCATTCAGTTTTGTGGTATTTTCCCAATCAGGAACTGGGAATCTGCAGGTTTGGTGTTCGAGCAACAGCAATGCACTTAAGGGGGTGAGCCATTGTCAAGACCAATGATCCACGAGCCTCTTCCATGTTAACCTTATCTCCTCCGATTTTCCAGTCAAAGCACTGCACCATCACTCCTATTGCAGTTCCAACGAAGATGTATGCTAGATTTGATCCAGGACAGCCTCTCCTTCCAATGCCAAAAGGTATGTACTTATGTGCTTGCTCTCTCTCTTCTTCTTTTCCTGGAACTAGAAACCTCTCTGGCTTAAACTCATCAGGCTCTTCCCAAAAATCAGGATCTCTCATCACAGCATAAGCATTGATAACAAGTGGTGTCTTCTCCTGCATATAAAATCCTCCGATCCTACACGCTTCACGGGATGTCCTTGCAAAGAGAGGCCCTGGCGGGTACAATCTCAGTCCTTCCTTTACGATCGCTTGCAAATAAGGGAGGTTTGGTAGATCTGTTTCTTGAACCAACCTTGTTCTCCCTACAACGGAATCAATTTCTTCTCTTAACTTCTCAAGAACCTTGGGATTGTTGATTATCTCTGCCATTGTCCACTGTGTTGCATGTCTTGAAGTGTCTGTGCCTGCAACTACAAGATCCTGCAGTTGAAAACGTTTCTAAGTTACAAGACAATTAAATAGTTTTATTTGGATTATAGACGATCCTGCCTAATAAGAGACACAATTACCACGAACAACGACTTAATGTGGTTCCTAGTGATCTTACACTCTGCATTTTTGTCCCGGTAAGCTGCCAACATCACGGCCATCATGTCCATGTCTTGATCTTCGTCAAGTTTCTCTCCCTGTTCCTCAAGAATCCTCTCCAGCAGTTCATTGAATCTGCAGGAAACACTCATTATCTCCTTTTTGAACAGTGAGATTCCGAGCTTCTTAAGAAAACTGTGCAACATGTTTGCCATAAAAATCTTCTTTGTCAAGGCAGTTGACTCCGTCACCAAGCCTCTAACTCTCTCCGCCTCACCATTCTCCTCAGAAAAACTCCTCCCCATAATCATCTTACAGATGCTATTGTTAATAAGCTTCATTGCTTCCTTACTAATCTCAACGCTCTCGTTCTTCATTGCCTTATCAAACAGACTCGTGTAAAACAGTTCTAGCTCATCTACACGGATGCGTTGTGACCGCTCTAGTGCCTGAGGTCCAAGTAGTTTCGTGACCATTAGCTTCTTAATGAACTTCCAATAGTCTCCATAAGAAGCTGTGAAAAAGCCAGAAGAACCGACCAAGAGGGACTCGCCGATCGGGGGGTTTCCCCGAAAAGAGAAGTTCACATCATGTGCCCTGAAGATCTCGTACGCCACAGAGGCCGAGGAAACAAAGATTACAGGGACATTGAATATGCGGAGATGGAGGAGAGGTCCATACTTGGAGGAGAGTTTCTGTAAGGACTTGTGGGTTAAGGTAGAGAGAAGCAAGTGTAGATGACCAATGATGGGCAGAGAAGGAGGGCTAGGAGGCAAATTAAAGCCACCTTGTGAGTCCTTTGGTTTCTTGAAGAAGAGAGGGTAACATAAGAGTAAAAATAAGCAGAAGAACATAAAGATGAAACAGCTTTCAAAGTCGACATTCATCACTGCTACCATTGCTCAAATTGAAGAGGCAGAATGAAACAGAGTATCCTCTTATCAATAATCTTGGATGCTGTTTTATTTTAAGAAATAATTTTTCTTTCTTGAAGACTGTAAATTAAAGAAAGATGAAAGTATATATTATAAAAACAAGAAAAGTTCAGATCAGAAGTTCCTTGACACTCGTGATCATAATGATCATTAAATAATAAGTGAAATTTTGAATCTTCAGAAACCCCCACGTACTGACACATAAGTTTATACGTGGATCTTATGAGTCTTGTATATAAGAAATTTGCATGTGGAATACGCAGATTTTATGGCAATAGATATGTAAACGTTTTTTAAGCCTCTGGCATAAAAAACACTCAATTAGCAACACAAGTATCTATAGGAAAGTGCACTCAAGTCTGGATTACTGATAACTAATTTGAACTTAACCAACCATCCCAGTAAGTTCCTTGTAATCAATCAACAAAGACCAAACATTTTCAAGTCCTAAAATGTAAATGCTCGAAATTTCTGAAAACTTACAGGGCGTTTTGTCACTTAATAAGATGGTAATGACTGAACATCATCAAAGCCAAAACCTCTGGGCTCGGGATGTTGTTTCTTCTTTCGTAAATCCTACACAGATAAAAGATCTCATTCATGCAAACACATATGCCTGGTGCTGCTTAGGTGAGGAGGACAGTCTAAATACCAAAAGACCAAACATTGATCTCCCCTCAAAACGCAATGCAGCTTTATTAAAGCAAAAAATCTCCATATTCCCCTTTAATCACCAGAACTTACCCTATGAGCCACCAACGAACTAGCTATCAGAACAAGCACATTCGAGATTCTCAAGATAGAATTGGACTGCCACTGTGCCGTAACAATCGTAAGCAGCTCAACTGCAACCAATTATGAACCGAAACAAGCTCGCAGAAACATAAAGACTCTCAGTTTTTGGAATTGCAGCATTCTTTGTTTGTCCCTTTTATCAGTTAGAAATGATTATATATCTTAGCCAAAAAAAAAAAACTGCCTTTTGTAAATCTCGTTCTTATCTAAAACCCCCAAAAACAGAACCTTACACGAGTGAAATTTTCTTCTTTTGTAGTCCAACAATCCCAACAAAAGTCACAACAAAAACCATTCAAAGGTTACAATTTAATCTCACACATGATCAGCTAGATATGCCATGTTACACAGTGATAAAATTAGGATTAATGATAATTCAAATAGCTAATCAATGGATTAACTCCCAAGGCATAAGAATTGCGTTTGAGTATGGAAATTTTCTACCAATCTAGACGAAGAACAACCTGCATCACTAAAATTCTAGAATTGAACTGCTCTATGACACCAAATCGAATCAGATAAAAAGGCATCTACCTAGAACTCACCAATCTTACAATGAACTCAATAGTGAGAGGAAACAGTAGATTGAAACCACATAAGTCAAAGATCAAACTGCTCTATATAACAGAACTGAAGTCGAGATGGTAAAAATTGGAAGATAAAGTTAAGAGTAGATGAACCAATCAAAGATGCAAACCGAATGCAAAATGAGAGCTGAGTGTGTCTACTACTTAATAACATTTCTATGCTCAAGGGATTCAAGAAACTCTTAAGAACAAGTGGCAAAAATAGACAAGTTTCTAGTTTTTTATATTCAGAAAATGGAAAAATCCATATAAAATGTTGTACATACAATTTATAGTATCATACAGTACAGCGTGATTATCAAACAAAAAACATAGTAAATTGAAACAATGACAACTTAGAGCAGATTTTCCTTACCAGATTAACGAAATTTCAGGACCTTTCTTTGTCTGTGAGTTCAGAGGTTCAAAGACATCTGAAAATTACGAACTTGAGGGCATCTGCAGATTAGCAAGTAAACCCTGGCTTCGGGGAACAGGAGTGCACTTTAGGGGATGAGCCATAGTTAAGTTTAGTCCTCCAGCCTCATCCATGTTAACCCTGTCTCCTTTGATTTTCCAGTCAAAGCATTGCACCATCATTCCAACTGCGGTTCCAACAAAGATATAACCCAGATTCGATCCAGGACAACCTCTTCTTCCACTCCCGAATGGAATGTACTTAAGTGTGTTCTCTCTTCTTTCCTCTCCTTCCCCTAATCTTGAATAAGGTAGAAATCTCTCTGGTTTGAACTCCTCAGGGTCTTCCCAGACATTCGGATCTCTCATCATAACATAAGCATTACCAAGAAGTGTTGTCTTTTCTGGTATGTAGAAACCTCCAATCTTACACCCTTCTTGGAACGTCCTTACAAAGAGAGGCAATGGTGGGTGCAATCGGAGTCCTTCCTTAACCACCGCTTGCAAATAGGGGAGTTTTGGTAGATCGGTTTCTTGAATTAACCTTGTTTTCCCTACCACAGAATCAATTTCTTCTCTCAACCTCTCAAGAATTGTGGGTTTGTTAATAATCTCTGCCATTGTCCACTGTATTGATTGTGCTGAGGTGTCATTACCTGCAAAGAAAATCTCCTGCAGATACAAAATGTTTCTTAGTAAGAAAACTTTTGATCCTTAAATGATATCAGCTTAATGAGAGGAAATTTTACCACAAAAAACGCCTTGATGTGGTTCCTGGTAATCTTATGCTCTGCCTTCTCATCTCCATAAGCTGCCAACAAGACGTCCAACATGTCCCTATCTTGATGCTCATCCAAATTCTGTTCATGTTCCACAAGGACCCTCTCCAGCACCTCGTCAAAGCTGTTGGAAACACACATGATCTCCTTTTTAAACAATGAGATTCCAAGCTTCTCAAGGGGCGTGCGCAGCAAAGTTGCAAACAACACCTTCTTTGTCAAGCCATCTAACTCAGTAACCAATCCCCTGACTCTCTCAGCCTCACCATTTTCCTCCGAAAAACTTCTCCCCGTGCACATCCTCCAGAGGCTGTTGTTACTGAGCTTTGTTGCTTCCTTTCCAACCTCAACACTCTCCTTCTTCATCGCCTTATCAAGCAGGATTGAATGAAACCGCTCTAGCTCGTTCGTTCGGATGCCTCGTGACCGCTCAAGTGCCTGCGGTCCAAGGAGCTTAGTAACCAGGAGCTTCTTCATGAACTTAAAATAATCTCCATAAGGAGCACTACCAAAGACAGAAGATCCAATCAAGAGGGAATCGTCGATTGAGGGGTTGTCACGAGACGAGATGTTCAAGTCATGAGCCTTAAAGATCTCGTAGGCCACGCAGGCCGAGGAAACAAGGACAACAGGGAAGTTGAAGACGCGAAAATGGATGAGAGGTCCATACTTGGATGACAGTTTCTGTAAGGATTTGTGAGCAAGGGAAGAGAGGAGAAGGTGAAGATGGCCTATGATCGGAAGTGATGGAGGGCTTGGAGGCAGATCACAGCCATAGGCAACAAGCCGTGAGTTCTTAGGGTGCTTGAAGATGAAATAGTAGCATAGGAGTGATAAGAGGCATAGAAGGGTTATGATGAAGCAGTATTGAAAGTCAAAGATGAGTGCTGCCATTCTTGCTCAAAGTGATAAAGGTAAATGAAACCAGACTAGTATTATCTTCCCAAGAATCAACGAATATATGTATGATCAGATATAATATTGTTTATGTTCATTACTTAAAATATACTATAGTTTTTGGAAGAATGTGTATATGAAGGAATCTTGAGTCTTTAAAGTAATATATACATTAAGATCAGAATGTTTTTGGATACTTGTGGTCATATCTCGATTCCAGGCCAGACTCCTAAGCTGCATAATAAAACAAAATCGACCTAAAATTCACCGATTCCAAGATGGCCAAAGACGGCAAAAAAAAGAAAAAAAAAAAAGAAACCAGCAGTAACTGAATCGACCAACGACCGTACCAGTAGAAAGCAAACGAGACAGTGATGAGTTTCTTTACTCTCTGACTAGGTTCGGACCCGCGTTACAGCGCGGGGGAGATAATTAACTATATATAAATTTTAGCGGATTAGGATATGGTACATTTTAATTTTATTGCAATGTAATCGATTACAGTGAATTATATATTTGTATAATAAGTTTAAATAAAATAATAAACGAAAAATTGAATAAATAATAATACATTGAATTTTGATACAATTAAAAAAACAGTGAAAAGTTAACAGCACAAAAAAAATTTATTCAATTGACCCTTTTTGTAGTAAAAGTAGAAATATACGTAAAAATTACATACTTACAATTTTTGTTATGAAGTATCAACCTGTAACATAATTCATTTTGCAAAAACCGTTATTCATAACTCGCTCTACCATTATAATTGTGATTTTGACAAACTACCCGTGAACTATCTAAAATTTACATAGTTTGATATATAATATATTTTACCAATAATAATTATGTCTCAAAAAAATATTTTTATTATTTTAAATTCTAATTTATTTTTAAATTTTAATCTTTTAAGTATAATATTTTGAAACTTATGAAACTTTTAAATATGCTCATGTAACAATTGTTTTAATATTGGTCATACTGATTTTAAATCATTGTCCATAATATTTAACCAAATGTAGTTGAGTATTATATGTCCGTTTTGAAAAATTCAAATTGCAACATATGTAGAAAAAATTAAATTTTTATTAAATATTTTTATTATATAGTATAATATCATAAATTTAAAATAATATCAAATAAATGTCAAAAAAGAATGATAATTGCTTTTAATATATTATATTAAATAGTTAGAGAAATATTAGAAAATCATAAAATTAGTTATGGAAATAATATAATCTTAAAATTAGGTATGGAAAGTATCCGATGTATGTATCCAAACCCATTTTATTATCCAATTTTGAAGTATCCAATTGTTAAAATCGGGTTAATTTTTTAGTTTTGACCCGACCCGTATTCTATTTTGTACTTCTCCTTTACTGAAGAGAAAAAGAAGATGACAAGTAATAATAATACACACACCGGGACATTGTTTTAGGACAATATTTGCGGTTTTTGATATTGTAAACCGTTAAAATTAAAACAAACCAAAGTTAACCGGGAAATCGTTTATACTTTATATGATACCGAGAAAAAACAGAGGATAGTGTGATTCTTCTGCAAATTCATGGAGATGACGAATTTGGAATCTGAAGGTTAGAAAATGAAAGGCTCGATTCGAGGAATAGGAGTCAACTTCAGGGGATAAGCCATGGTCAAGTTGATTCCTCCAGCCTCATCCATTTTGACCTTGTCTCCTATGATTCTCCAGTCAAAGCACTGCACCATTGTTCCAATTACGGTTCCTATGAAAATAGATGCTAGATTTGATCCAGGACAGCCTCTCCTTCCGCTTCCGAAAGCAATGTGCTTTAAGGCTTTTCTCTCATCCCCTTTCTTCCCTAGAAACCTCTCTGGCTTAAACTCATCCGGATCTTCCCAAGAACTAGGGTCTCTCATCACAGCATAAGCATTAACTACAAGTGTTGTCTTCTCTGGTACGTAGAACCCTTTGATCTCACCACTTCTTTGCAACGTCCTTACCACAAGAGGCAATGGCGGATGCAATCTTAGCCCTTCTTTGACTACAGATTCCAAATAAGGGAGCTTTGGTAGATCTGTTTCTTGAATCAGCCTTGTCTTTCCTACAACCGAATCGATTTCTTCTCTCAGTTTTGTAAGAATGTTAGGGTCGTTAATGATTTCAGCCATTGTCCACTGTATAGTTTGTGCTGAGGTATCAGTGCCGCCAAGGAAAAGCTCCTGAAAGTTTTTAGACGTTTGTGAATCAGAAATGGGTTTTCGGTTTTTATGTTTTACAAACCTAATGAGAAGAACATTTGATTACCACGAACAACGACTTGATGTGGTTCCTAGTGATCTTATGCTCTGAGTTTTCATTTCCATAAGCTTCCAACAACACATCCATCAGGTCGTTACCTTGATGCTTGTCTGGCTTCTCTTCATGTTCCACAAGAACTCTCTCAAGTACCTCACCAAAGCTGTCGGAAACATACATTATCTCCTTCTTGAACAGTGAGATTCCGAGCTTCTCTAACGGCCAGCGCAATATGTTTACCAACAAAACTTTCTTCGTCAAGCCATCTAACTCGGTTACCAAACCTCTCACTCTCTCAGCCTCACCATTCTCCTCTGAAAAACTCCTCCCCATGCTCATTCTGCAGATGCTGTTGATAATGAGCTTCGTTGCTTCCTTACCTATCTCAACGCTCTGCTTCTTCGTCGCCTTATCGAGCAGGCTTGTGTAAAACCGCTCTAGCTCATCCTCACGGACGCCTCTTGACCGCTCAAGTGCTTGTGTTCCCAGAATCTTTGTAACCAAGAGCTTTTTCATGAACTTCCAATAATCTCCATAAGGGGCGCCAACGAAAACCGAAGATCCGATTAAGAGAGACTCGTCGATTGGAGGGTTGTCACGGGACGAGATGTTAAGGTCATGGGCCTTGAAGATCTCGTAAGCCACGGAGGCCGAGGAGACGAGGACTACAGGGAAGTTGAAGATGCTGAGATATAGAAGAGGTCCGTACTTGGATGAGAGTTTCTGTAAAGATTTGTGTGCTAGGGAAGAGAGGAGATGGTGAAGATGACCTATTATGGGAAGAGACGGAGGGCTCGGAGGCAAATCATAGCCACCTTGTTGATCCTTTAGTTTCTTGAAAAAGAGAGAGTGACAGAGGAGTGAAAAGAAGCAGAGGAGTATGAAACTGAAGCAGTTTTGATAGTCAACTGTCATCATTGCTGCAATTTTTGCCCAAAGTGTGAGAGGTAGATGAAGAGTATTATCTCAAGAATATAATGTATGATCTAAGGTATTGTTTTATGTAAAGTACTGACATATATGTAACGTTAAAATGAAGAGTATCTGAAATGTTTCTTTAGCAATAATATATACACTGAGATCAGTTGTTCTTTGGATACTAGCTAGAAAAAAGAAACAATTAAATCGATAAACTAAAACCTTCCTAGCAAGTTGCAGCCTCGATGTACTTCAGTGATATTATCATATATAGAATATTAAGTGGAACATTAAACAGTACACAATGATTGCAGTTCGACAAGATAAACCGAAAAATATGAAACAATCCACGAATAAACCGAAGAAATAACACATACAGTTCTTTAAGGTTCCACACATAAGCCAAACTAAATCAAAAAGCTCGAACGCTGTACCCTCACATAAAACAGCAGACTACCTGGTTACCTGTAAAGATTCATTACCTCCTGTTCTGCACATTCTATGTTAATGATCTTAGGGTTCGAGAGACAGGAGTAATCTTAAGAGGATGAGCCATGGTCAAACTCAGTCCTATAACAGCCTCTGCCATGTTAATTTTCTCTTCTTTGATCCTCCACTCAAATCCCTGCACCATCACTCCAATTGCAGTTCCAATAAAGAAACAAGCTAGATTTTCTCCAGGACAGCTTCTTCTTCCGCTTCCGAAAGGAATGTACTTAATTGCTTGCTCTCTTCTCTCCTTCTCCTGTTCTGATCTTGACGAAGCTAGAAACCTCTCTGGTTTAAACTCATCAGGATCTTCCCAAGAACCAGGATCTCTCATCACAGCATAAGCATTAACCATAATGGTTGTTTTCTCCGCTACATAGAACCCTCCGACCCTACACCCTTCTTGGGAGAATCTTCCAAAGAGAGGCCCCGGTGGGTGCAGTCTTAGCACTTCCTTGACCACCGCTTGCAAATAAGGGAGGTTTGGTAAATCAGTTTCTTGAATCAATCTTGTTTTTCCTACCACGGAATCGATCTCTCCTCTCAATCTTTCAAGAACAATAAGGTTGTTAATGATCTCCGCCATTGCCCACTGTGTTGTTTGCACCAAGGTGTCAGTGCTTGCAAATAAGAGATCCTGTAGTTACAAAATGTTTTTTCTTAGGGAGAACAGTTATGCATTCTCACTAAAACCACCTGATGAGAGGAACATTTACCGAGAAAAACGACTTGATATGGTTCCTAGAGATCTTATACTCTGCATTTTCATCCCGATACGCGGCCAACAAGGTGTCCATCAAGTCCGCACCTTGATGATGCATGTTTAGTTTCTCCTCGTGTTCCACAAGAATCCTTTCAAGCAGCTCATCAAATCTGCAGGAAACATCCATCATTTCCTTTTTAAACAGTGCGACAACAAGCTTTTTAAACCCCATGCGCAACATGTTTGCCAACAAAATCTTCTTTGTCAAAGCATCTAACTCGGTAACCAAAGCCCTGACTCTCTCAGCCTCACCATTCTCCTCTGAACAGCTCCTCCCCATAATCATCTTGCAGATGCTGTTGTTACCGAGCTTCAACACTTCCGCACAGATCTCCACGCTCTCCTTCTTCATCGCCTTATCAAACAGGTTCTTGTAAAACCGATCTAGCTCATCTGTACGGACTCCTCGTGACCGCTCAAGTGCCTGGGGTCCAAGCAAGTTCGTAACCAGGAGCTTCTTCATGAACTTCCAGTAATCTCCATAGGGAGCAGAGATGAAGCTGAAAGATCCAGCAAAAAGGGTATCATCAGTCGGAGGGAATCCACGAGACGAGATGTTCACGTCGTGTGTCCTGAAGATCTCATAAGCAACTGAGGCTGAGGAGACGAGGACTACAGGGAAACTGAAGACCCGGACATAGAGAATAGATCCATACTTGGTGGAGAGTTTCTGTAAGGATCTATGGACTAGAACAGAGAGAAGAAGGTGAAGATGACCGATGACCGGAAGAGACGGAGGGCTCGGAGGTAAATCAAAGTCAAGTCGAGGGTCCTTTGGTTTCCTGAAGAAAAGAGAGTAACAAAGTAGTGAGAATAGGCATAGGAGGATACAAATGAAGCAGTTTTGAAAGTCAATGAATATCATTTCTGCCAAAGTGAAAGAGGAAGATGAGAAAGAGGATTTTTGCTAATCAAGAATCACCCATCTTAATCTGATGTACATATAACATAAAAGTATAATGTATTTTATCCATCGTGGTTACTAGTGTAGGACCAAGATAGTTCACTATTCTATCAAAAGTCATTGACTTTTGACAAATAAAATTGATATCTACAAGAATCTAAGACAGATGTGTTGATAAAGACCATGTTACTGGATTTGATTTTGATCCAACCAAAAAACATATCATGCATTTACTTGAACTGTGGTCTACTCCAGAGCAGCAACATCAAGTTCCTAGGATAGAAAGAAGCCAAAACATTGGAACAAACAAGAATAATGGAAGACATATCAATATAGAGTACCTTGACCATCTCTAGTGTCACCGCAGATAAAGTTGTTAGCTGATGTTCCCCCAGCATTCATGAATTCACATAGCTGATCAAACAAAGTGACCAGCTTTATATATATTAACTTGAGGCTGAAAACGGTACTGAACATTTCAAGGAGTCTAAATCCCAAATCCACCTTCTTGTGTTTGGGTGTCCGGCCAAACCATTGAATGGGATGTTTGGGAACTCCATGGAGGAGATTAACTTGAACAGTAACCCTTGGAGAAATCAGCTTCCGAGACACCATTGTCTCTCTCTCTCTCTCTTTTAAATGCTATCAGAAACCAGATTCACGATTTTCAAGTAAAAGAAAGAAGAAAAATTTATGAATCAATACACAATGCTTATAATTGAATAGATAAGCCCAGAATTTTCAATCTCTTCCTTTTTTTGATCTCACAAAATCGAAACGCACAATACATAAAATATCACAATGCTTAACGACTTGTTCTAGAGAACACTACGCTCCCCAAGACCAACCCACCATAAAGACTACTTGAAATCTCTGTATTTTTCTTCATCACCCCAATATATATACTCCGTAAAAAAAAAAAAAAAAAGCCCTTTCATCAAATTACAAATCCCTTCACATTTGAACCTTTCTTCCTTCTGGGCAATCAACGTCACAGAGTCTCACATAAAGCAGAGATCAAAAACTTTTCTCAAATCTATCGCCTGATACTGAGACAGAACAACATCAGAAATTGATTGAACCAGTGAGGTCGGTGAATATGAACCGATATATGACTTAAACCGAAGAGCTGTACACAATTATTTACGGTTTCACATAATAAACTAAACTAAACCAAAAAAAAAACCGGGAAACTGAACACGGAAAAACATACAAAGCAGAGCAAGCGTCCTTGTTCGTTCACTGACAGCGATTCGAAGTTAAAGGGTTTGAGGATCGAGAAAGAGGAGTGATCTTAAGAGGATGAGCCATGGTCAAACTCAGTCCTACAACAGTCTCTTCCATGTTGATTTTCTCATCATTGATTCTCCACTCAAATCCCTGCACCATCACTCCAATTGCAGTTCCCATAATGACATAAGCTAGATTCTCTCCAGGGCAGCTTCTCCTCCCGCTTCCAAAAGGAATGAACTTAATCGCCTTCTCTCTTCTCTCCTCCTCTTGCTCTGATCTCGAAGCAGATGATAAAAACCTATCTGGCTTAAACACAAGAGGATCTTCCCAAGTATCAGGATCTCTCATCACAACATAAGCATTTACAACAAGTGATGTCTCCTCCGGTACGTAAAACCCTCCGATCATACACCCTTCTTTAGAGAACCTTACAAAGAAAGGACCAGGCGGGTGCAGTCTTATCGTTTCTTTAACCACCGCTTGCAAATAAGGGAGGTTTGGTAAATCAGTTTCTTGAATCAACCTCGTTTTTCCTACCACGCAATCGATTTCTCCTCTCAGTCTCTCAAGAACGTTACGGTTTTTTATGATCTCTGCCATTGCCCACTGTGTTGTTTTCACCGAGTTATCAGTACCTGCAAATAAAAGATCCTGCAAGTTGCAAAACGTTTTATCTTAGAAGCATAACACTTTTGATTCTCAATGAAACTACTACTTGATGGGACGAGCATTTACCGCGATAACCGACTTGATATGGTTCCTTGTGATCATATACTCTGCATTTTCATTACGATGAGCTTCCAACAACGCGTCCATCAAGTCCGTACCTTGATGATGCTCGTCTAGTTTCTTTTCGTGTTCCACAAGAATCCTTTCCAGCAGCTCACTGAATCTGTCGGAAACTACCTTTGTTTCCTTACTAAACAGTGAGACAACAAGCTTCTTAAACCCCGCACGCAACGTGTTTGCAAAGAAAAGCTTCTTTGTCAAAACATCTAACTCGGTAGCCAAAGCCTTGAAACTCTCTTCTGAACAACTCCTCCCCATGATCATCTTGCTGATGGTGTAGTTAGTGAGCGTCAACGTTTCATTACTGATCTCCACGATCTCCTTCTTCATGGCCTTGTCGAACAGGTTCATATAAAACCGCTCTAGCTCATCTGCACGGACACCACGTGACCTCTCGTGCGCTTGAGGTCCAAGAAAGTTTGTTACCAGGACCTTCTTCATGAACTTCCAGTAATCTCCATAGGGAGCGGAGATGAAGCTGAAAGCTCCGGCAAAAAGGGCATCATCGGTCGGAGTGAAGCCACGATACGAATTATTCACGTCGTGAGTCCTGAAGATCTCATAAGCAACTGAGGCTGAGGAGACGAGGACTACAGGGAAACTGAAGACGCGGAGATAGAGAATAGGTCCGTACTTGGAGGAGAGTTTCTGTAAAGATCTGTGGATTAGAACAGAGAGGAGAAGGTGAAGATGACCGATGATCGGAAGAGAGGGAGGACTCGGTGGCAGATCAAAGCCACCACGGCTTGACCCGCTTGGTTTCTTGAAAAAGAGATAGTAACAGAGGAGTGAGAAGAAACATAAGAGGATGAAGATGAAACAGTTTTGAAAGCCAACGCTGATAAACGCTGCCATTATTGATCCAGAGTGAAGAAAGAGGCAAAAATTACAAAGAGAAATGAGCTTATAAAGAATCCACGAATCTGATATGAGGCATGAGGGCATGATTTGTTTACTATAGAACAAGACAAGTTCTTCCTTTTTCGAAAATCTTGGAAGTGTATTGGAAATTGGCAATAATCTCTTTTTGCTAAGAAAGTAAATGTCACAAAATTCATAGGATGAAAGTTTAGGTTTTTACATAGTTTAAGACCTAGGGTGTACATAGTGCTCATGGCCTAAAGTAAAAAGTGGAACTTTATCGAGAATCTATGAATCTATATTAACATTTTTGAAGTATCTTTTGTGTTCTACCCTTTAATTTTGTGATATTTTCATAATTAACCCATTGCCATTTGATTAAATAGAAAAAGTTTAAGATAAATTTTATAATTAAATCATAATAAAATTGCAAAACTATAAATCAATATTTATTACATTTAATAAATTTCCTAAAATCTCTCCCTAATAAATCAAATATTTCTCCAACATATTTATATGATCTTATTTGTTTTTAAATTTATATTATTACATAAACATATGTATAATAAAAATATAATTGTTTTTTTTGAATATGTTGCAATTTGAATTTTTAGAAACGGATGTATATTACTCAAACGATATAAAAATGGATGTACTAAAATATTATTGATAATTGTGTAACACGGGTTATATGATGGAACGAGTTATAATTTACATAATTATGATTATAGATATTTTTACGGGTGGTCTACTATAGTATAACTCATAAAATATTTTAATATGAAATTATACTATGTAAACGAATCTTATGTCAATATCATTTCATTATTTTAAATATTATACTTATTTAATTAATTCGATCAAATTACGATTATATAAAGAATAAATTATACGGGTTAAATCATAGAATTAACAATCAAGTATAGTTGTACACTTTTATATACCAAAAAAATTTTAATAAAAAATACATTTTAGAAATATTGTCCCGCGGTGTACCGCGGGTTAAAATCTAGTATTAATGTATAAAGTAAAACTGAATCATATATCAAGCGTCATTTTTAAGAAAAGAGTAAAACTAAATCAATTTCTTCACTTTTGGAAAATGACACTTGGTATATGATTGAATGCTTAAAGAAATTATTAGACAAGAGCTTTACACTATGTAGTATATGAATTACAAGAGTGATAAAGGCACCTTTTAATTAATGTACAATATATAATAGCTTTCATTCACATAATCATTTTGTTTAGATTGGTTTTGTTGATTTTTTTTTTTTGTTTAACCACTATACAATTAGACTGTATAATCTTTTGGCTTCCATTGTATGGCCATGCTTTGTTTATTAACTACTAGAAGAAAAGTTTTTCTTTTTCTTTTGGAAAATCTAGAAGTTGAAGGTAAGAAGCAAAATTTCACATCGTTGCAAATAGGAGAAGAACGAAATCGACCTTAAAAGTCGCGACTTAAACTCGGAGAACAATATAGAAGTTTTTACGGTATCACACAATAAACCAAAAGTAACCAACTAAACAGAATTCATGAACTCACGAACTGAAATTCTGCGGATTCGAATTTAAAGGTTGCATTCGAGCAACAGGAGTACACCTAAGAGGATGAGCCATGTTTATGGTCATTCCAGCAACAGTCTCTTCCATGTTAACCTTGTCTTCTTTGATTCTCCAGTCAAAGCAATGCACCATCATTCCTATTGCGGTTCCTACAAATATATAACCTATATTTTCTCCAGGGCATCCTCTTCTTCCGCTGCCAAAAGGAAGGTACTTTAGGGTTTGCTCTCTCTCCTCTTCTGGTCTTCTTGAAGAAGCTAGAAACCTCTCTGGCTTAAACTCATCCGGATCTTCCCAAGAACTAGGATCTCTCATCACGGCATAAGCGTTAACTACAAGAGTTGTGTTCTTTGGTACGTAAAAGCCTCCAATCATACATTCCCTTATGACTTTCCTTCCCAAGAGAGGCCCTGGTGGGTGCAATCTTAGCCCTTCCTTGATGACCGCTTGCAAATAAGGGAGGTCTGGTAGATCCTTCTCCTGAATCAACCTTGTTTTACCTACAACCGAATCAATTTCGTTTCTCAATCTCTCAAGGATGTTAGGCTTATTAATGATCTCTGCCATTGTCCACTCAATTGTTTGCACTGAGGTGTCAGTGCCTCCAAGGATAAGCTCCTGTTGTCAGAAAACTCAGAAAAATCAATGATGTTGTTTTGGATTCTCAATGAATGCACTTACTAAAAAATAAAATTTACCACGAACAGCGCCTTGATCTGGTTCCTAGTGATCTTATACTCCGCATTTTCATCTCGATAAGCTGCCAACAACACATCCATCATGTCCATATCACGATAGTCGGGGTTCTCTTCGTGTTCCACAAGAATCCTTTCAAGAAGCTCATCGAATTTCGAGGAAACAGCCAATATCTCTTTTTTGAACAGTGAGAATCTGAGTATCTCAAACAGCCTGCGCAGTAATTGTGTCAAGAAAATTTTCTTAAACAAGGCAAATGTCTGGGTGACCAGTCCCCTAACTCTCTCTGCCTCGCCGTTCTCCTCTAAACAACTCCTACCCATGATCATCTTGCAGATGCTATTGTTAGTCAGCTTCATTGCTTCCTTAGCAATCTCGACATTCTCGCTCTTCATTTCCTTACTAAGCAGGCTTGCGTGAAACCGTTCTAGTTCATCTGCACGGGCACCTCGTAAACGCTCGAGTGCCTGAGGTCCGAACAGCTTTGTGACCATGAGCTTCTTCATGAATTTCCAGTAATCTCCATAAGGAGCCATGACAAAGCTTGAAGAGCCAAAAAAGAGACACTCGTCAATTGGAGGGTGGCCGTGGGATGAGATGTTCACGTCATGCGTCTTGAAGATCTCGTAGGCCACAGAAGCAGAGGAGACGAGGATTATGGGGACATGGAAGATGCGGAGACAGAGAAGAGATCCATATTTGGAGAGTTTCTGAAAGGACTTGTGAGGTAGAACAGAGAGTATAAGGTGCAGATGACCGATTATCGGAAGAGAAGGAGGGCTCGGAGGCACATTACAGGCTCGTGAGTCCTTCGGCTTCTTGAAGTATAATACAAAGAGGCAAAGGAGTGAGAATAGGGATACGAGGATGACGATGAAGCAATTTTGATAGTCAACGACGATTGTTTCCATTGTCGCTCAAAAGCAGATGAAACCTAGCGAATAATCCATGAAAATGTTACAGTAGATCACCAAGCGTGTTTCGTTCATTACATTTAAAAATATATATTTTCTGACTGAAAGAACGTGAAGGTGTTGCGCGAGACTCGAAGATCAAATTAACAATATCAATAAATTAAATAATTAGTTTAAATCTCCCAAGGTGACAGATAATGTGATGTGAAGAACAGAGAGATGTAAGATTGACTCACAATGTAGAGACTGTAGGCAATGTCCTTCGTTGTTGTATTTTTGAACGCTTTCTCCCAAAAATGCTAGATGTTCTTACTCCTCCTTGTTCGAGCAATTTATAACTGAACCGAAGCAAAACAAACCTCAAGAAGTAGAAAGAAGTCTAATTTAATTGAATCAGATTGGTTGGTTATGCAGACAGCCAAAATATGAAATATAACTTTTACTCACATTCGAATCCATAAACTGATTCAGGATTACAATTTAGCTGCAATTTTACTCTCTTTTGTGATTTATAGGATACGGTATCCCTAAAGACTCACCGTTGGCCTGTTACAAAAGGGTCACCGTTAGCCTGTACAAAAGTATCCCTAAAGACTCACCGTTAGCCTGTTAGAATTTTATTGGTTTAAGTTCACACTATATGCTCCTGACTAGCCTAGTAACAGAAGCAGCAAACTCGGAAAAGAGAAGGGCATAATGCAATGGAAAGCCTCTGATATGATGAGTTTATATCAATACATACCTAGCAAAGAAAGGGACTGCTTCTGTTGGAATATTGTTTTGAGCTTCAACATGAAATTGGGATCACCAGACCAGTAGACCCTGATCAGTTCAGAATCCCAGTGTCAGCAACGCCAATCACAAAACAACTCTATAGAAAGGATTCAAGATTGACTCACAGTGTAAGCAATGTCAATCACAATAGTCCATAAAAAACAACCAAAAATACACCAATACAGTACCAATGAGATTCACAAACCTAATTCACGCCCACAATTTGACTGAAATGAAACCAAAAATCAATTTCCACTGTAGTCATCCTTCTTCACTCGTAATCCAACTTAAAACCCCCAATTTATGGGCATGAACCCAATTAATGTCACAAGAGCCAATCATGGGGAGCAAATGGCGTTTGAATTGCGTAATTTGGGAAATAAATAAACCTAAAGAATTCAACAATCTCAGATGATGCGCCATAGACAAAGAGAAAGTAAAGCCACAGTGAATATGAGATGAATCTATATAATCGAAGAAAAGATTATGCGAAGGTGCTTCCATTTCTTCATCTCAAAGGACGACGAAGAAAACAACACAACTGAGCGACGAAAGAGATGACACAAAACCAAACCAAACACCAAAACATTTTCCGGTTTCTTAATAGCAAACCGGGAAACTAGTACAAAACAAATAGTAAACCGGAACCTAAACCCAAAGCTATGTATATGAAAAACCGTAAACCGGGAGACTTGGTCCCATACAGAAACTACGTAATTAAACAGTCAGATTTGATAAATATTTGTTATGGAATATATATGAATGTCATTCAGGTCAAAACATACATTGCTCTTTGGGAATATATACTGTAAATTTAACCTTCAAACTAACCCAAAAAAAAATGGGTTATCTTTTGTGTTATCATCTTTAGTTACCATGTTATTTTGTAATTTACTTCCACTAATAACAAATGCAAGGAGACATAAAAGTCAGTTTCTAGCAAAGGCCGAGATCATCGTCTAATTAAGGTGACAACGAACTAACTATTTTGCCAACTGAGGTTGCTCATTGTTTATATATAGGAGTGCATGCAGAAACCAAAACATTTCTATCAATAAACATTATTTTAGTTTTGAATTTGAATACATGAGAAAAATATTGCCTCTCTCCTTCAAAACCCATATAGAAGACTTGGACACGGACGGACACATTAAACATGCAAAGCTTCCTAATCACTAATCACTAATCACACCAACACAACAACAACACTGGGTGAAAAAAAAAAATTATAGTTATTAAAATGCAGCGCTCTCTACCTTTAAAAAAAAATTTAAAAATTAACTAGAGAAAAAAAAAAAACATTGCCCTAGAATTAAAAATCGCACTACTGGGGATCTTTTCGAATTCAGTTTTCGTCGTTCAAATCTGGAAACGATACGTATGTGTTGCTCTCTTGAATCGAATTTGTAAAACTCTTCGATTTTTGCATCTTTTCTTCGGGTCGCCTTACCAATTTTGTTTTGGTTCTTCACTCTTCAGTTGCAGAAGAATGGAAGCTCTCTACGCCAAGCTCTACGACAAATACACCAAACTCAAGGTTTTCCACATAGTTCCTCCTTTTCAGTTTTCATCTAATTTTGCGTATCTGGGTTCGATTTTGATTTCGATCTCCTTTTTTCCAGAAGAAGAAATTCTCCGAATTCAATGACATTAACAAGGAAAATGAAGAGAAGTTCCTAAACTTTGTTTCAGGTACCAATTCCTCTCTACTTTATCGTTTTCTGAAGTCAGAATTTCAAATTGCAGTTTGGGATGCACAAAACTGGGGTTTCTTTTGTAAAATGTGGAGATGTGTCCCAAGTCTTTGAACACGTTCTTAGTGTATCTTTTGATTTTTATTCTATGCAGCCTCGGAGGAGTTGATGCAGCATTTGAGAAATGAAAATCAGAATTTGCTGGAGACAGTGGAGAAGATGAGAAATGAAATGGAATCGATCAGGTCTGTACATCATATTACCGTGCTAATTTTTCCCCTGTGGAGGTGTTTTTTTCTTAAGAGAAGTTGGGGCCTTGCAAATTTAACCATATCAATCTTGTTCCACAGGTCTGACAGGGACGACAAGTGTCAAGAGTATCAAAATCTTCTCAAGGAAGAAGAAGAAAAGAGTAAGAAGCAAATATTTAATGATAGTTTCTGCTCAGATTGCATGTGTCGTGGAATGTAGCCTTTTAATCGGACATGGTATGAAGTTTTTCTGAGATAATACTACTGTGAACTGCTTCATGGAGGAGAGTGACGACGACTTGCTTATAACACTGTCTAGGATAAAATCTTTGGGTGTTTCGGTTTTGAGTAATTTTTGTCCTTGTACCTATAAGAGCGAGTTTATTTTTACAGACCAAGCACTTTCTGAAGAAGTTGTCAAGCTTAAAGAACTGCTCCAAGAGGGACATCCTCGCAACACCAAAGATCAAAGTGGAAGAAAAGAGACAAATACTCCTGAAACTGCTCGAGTTACAACAAGAAGCATGAGAAAACGTAGCAGACTGTCAGAAGATGTTGAGGAAGCGGACATAGTATCACCTCACATTAGCAAACATCATAAGGCAAAGGTAAAAAAAGTCACCTCTTATCCTTTTCAGTTCTGAGCTCAGTGTTGCGCATCTTGCTTCACAAACCCCTGTGGATCGTAAAGTTATCCCTACTAATATTTTTTCTTGCTTTGTTTCAAGGAAACTCTCTTGGTTTCTCAGCCACAATGCTGCAAAACAGCCTACAACGGATCAAGTAGTTCTGCTAGTTGTACATTTCAAGCTCTTGGCGAGCACTTGCTAGGAATGAAATTATCAACTAATAATGAAGGCCAACACGTCTGCATTGTAGCCTCTCACCCAACAACTGGTAATTTATTTTAACGTAAAGTTAATCCACTGTATCCTTCTCTGGGTTGTTTTCATGCAAGACCTATTTACTTTTGATTCTCGGGGTTGTTAATCCATCCAACTTATTTGATATCATCAGCCACCAGAAAAGCACCGATGCTGATGTTTTTCTCCCTGATTTTTTTACCGTAACAGGTTTGTCCTTCAGCCTAACTTTTATAAATAACTCAACTGGTGAAGAATCTGAGCTGCTCTACAACGTTTTATCGCTCGGAACATTCCAAAGAGTGGCACCAGAATGGATGAGAGATGTTATAAAGTTCAGCACAAGTATGTGTCCCGTGTTCTTTGCAAGAGTCTCTAAAGTCATTAAGCTCTATTGTTGATTAGCACCGTATGCACGCCTCCTTCCCTTATCTTGTAGTCATCTCTGATGGATTCTTAGTGTGATGTTTTGCAATAGTCTGAAAAGTTAGGGAAGTTATCATGTATCTATAGAAATGTGTCTCTCGTCAACTTTGGGATTGGTTTCAAAGATAGTGTCCTTTTGATGAATCCAATTGTAACAAGATCTTGATTTGTCCATTGCTCTCAACACCACCCTTTTCTTTTGTAGATCTCATGAATCTCTGATCAATTGTGCATTTCGAATGTTTTAGCATTTCATATATATGCATCATCACAACTGGTCTCTAGATATATATTTGCTAGACGCAAGAAAGTGTCATCCCCGTTTAAAGTATATATCAGCCTCCACAAATAACTGAAACCAATCTGGTTCACAAGATAATATAGAAGGATCATAAGAAGAGAAAGAGAGAGTGTGTTGCTTGGTTTTTCTCAAGTTGCATAAAGAAACATAAACTTATATGTTTTGTTTGGCCTCTTGTGATGGATGATCGATCATACTGAACTAGTTTTCTTATCCCAACGAAAATGGCATGGTAAGATTCCTTTCTATATCAGCATATAAAATGACTCCCATATTCATGTTTTCGTATAACACAAATTTGATGATTGGAAAATACCATAAGTAGCCGTTACATAAGTTAGGTGAATATTCAATTCAAATGCACCAAAGAGCCGCTATATTCTAAGTTACAACGTTCCGAAATATTTTTAGGCTAATTTTCTTTTTATTACTTTCACAACGTCGTCGTTTCCTGTGCCGTACACGTTTTATAATCCACACCCACGTCTCTCTCTCTCTCTCTCTGTTAAAGAAGAGAAGAACTCTCTCTAATCTCTATCTCTCTTCTCCTTCTTCTTCAATTTTGATCATTCGTCGAATCTGCTTCTCCTCAAGTGAAAGCATTTTAATTTCAAGAATTTCTGCTTCGATTGTTGGTTTTTCGATTAGAAGAGGCGGAAAAAGAATGGCGACGGTAAATGGGTACACAGGAAATACTCCGGCGGCGGCTACGCCGGCAGCCACCGGATCAAAGCAACCTGCTCCTCCGACTAAAACCGTCGATAGTCAATCCGTTCTCAAAAGGTTCTTCCATTTCTAACTTTTTCCGATCTTGGAATAATTCGCATCAGATTAAAATGAATTGGTTAATGGTCTTTAGCCTCTGTATGATTAGAATCGCTTCGATTGTTTAGAGATTTATTCATGTTTCTTTCGGTAGATTAGATTAGGATTTGGGACTACCCACCCACATCTAGTTCTTGTGGTCTACATTTGTAGCTTCTATATCATTTTTAGAGAAAACGATGGATCCAAAAACTGATTGTGACTTCTCTTTGTTCTCTTCTGAAATGATGGGTTCTATTATTGATTACCAACTGTTTGGTATAATTTCTCTAAGAGTATGATGCATCGAACTTTATATGTATGTACAAACACATTTCACGATTGTTTTCCTCATGTTGATTCTGAATCAGATCTCTTGCACTTTCTTTTATGTACCCCTTCTTCCTCAAAAGCAAATTCATGGTTTTCTAACCTTTTGTTCGTCTTTAAATGCAGGCTGCAGTCTGAACTAATGGGCTTGATGGTAAGCTATCCCTCCTTGCCTTTCTTCTATCATTCTATGTAAAGTATCAACAGTTAACCTGTTGGTATGCTTAGACGCTTATATATGGCCTTTGTGTTTACTGTATGTTTTGCAGATGGGAGGTGATCCAGGGATATCGGCTTTTCCAGAGGAAGACAACATATTCTGTTGGAAAGGAACAATCACAGGAAGTAAAGACACTGTGTTTGAAGGAACTGAGTACCGACTTTCCCTCTCGTTCTCAAACGATTACCCTTTTAAAGCTCCCAAAGTTAAGTTTGAGACGTGCTGCTTCCACCCCAATGTGGATCTCTATGGCAATATTTGCTTGGACATTCTTCAGGTGACATAACAATCATTTGCTTCTGTCCTTTTGTGTGTTACTGTTAATCCCATGGAGCTAATGGTCTGTTTTCACATTGTTTGTAGGATAAATGGTCTTCCGCTTATGATGTGAGGACGATATTACTCTCAATTCAGAGCCTTCTTGGAGGTAAACTCTATGACTGATATTATAACCACCGGCTAAGGTTTCTTATAAATATATCTGTTGGTTTGATATCCAATATCTGATTTTCCTGTTATTTTGTTGGGATTTGATCAGAACCGAACATCAGCTCACCATTGAACAACCAAGCAGCTCAGCTTTGGAGCAATCAAGAAGGTAATTTTGCAATACTAACCACACTACAACATCTCTGGTTTCTCCATTTGGATTCAGTAATGATGTTTCTTCTTATTCTTGTTTTTTGCGTGTTGTGTGTTGGTAATGTAACAGAATACAAGAAGATGGTTGAGAAGCTCTACAAGCCTTTAAACGCATGATTCTCATTTCTCAAATAGCCTCTGTAACTTGTTAAATCACAACTGTCCTGGATCATGTTACTTCTACTTTTATAATCTCGGTGTGAGCCAGTATTAGGAATCAAAACCCTCTTACTACAGAAGTTACAATTGCATAAATCATCACCAGCATCTTTTATAAAAAAAAGGATAAAAAACTCTATTGTTAAGTGCGAGTTCAAGTTACTTAGATTTCGAGAAGCTCGTAGTAACTCTGAAAATGTTGTGGAAATATCTGAAATTTTAATTGAAAAAAAGTGTATGAAACGAAGCAAACAAACGAAAGCCATTTGTTATAATTTTACATTGAGACTCGAACATGGAATTGTGAAATTATTAGCACCAGAGAAGTTGAATTCATGCGAAGACGATGGATGTGGAAAGTCACAATTCGTATTTTACCACAAAATCAAAAACTTATTCACGTCAGGATCAATTCGTGAAGCCCATAATTCGTATTTTACCACAAAATGGGCCTTAGGGAATTTCACGTTCGACCCAATTATACATATTTGCGCCTTAAACGACGCCGCTTCCTTCATACCCTGGCCGTACATCCCAGAAACCTTGAGCCTTTAAAACCCGCCGGAGTCTCCACTCTCTTAGTTTTGAGAAGCATTTTACATTTGGTTCAGTCTTTTGAAAAGACGAACAATCTCTCACTGCACTTCCCTCGAGAGCTTAGATCTCCGATCTGGAGCCTTTTACAGATCTGGAGCCTTTTACTTCTCCCCTAGTGTTCATAATCTAACCTAATAATGTCGATCTCCGCCCAAAATCCGGATATTTCCGGCGATAGGCAATCCGGCCAAGATGTTCGTACTCAGAACGGTATTACTTTTCCCCTACTGCTCCCTCTTTCTTCTATTCTCATTTCCGCTCATGCTGATCTGTTGTGTTTTTCTCATTTGGAATTGTTGTGTTCGATCTCTAGCTAGGGTTTTGTTTTGAATCTCTTCTGGATGTTTTGTGGTATTTAACTCGGATTTGCTGACTCTATTTGCAGTGATGGCTTGTCAAGCTGTTTCGAATATTGTTAAGACCTCACTTGGTCCCGTCGGACTCGACAAGGTTTATACTCTGATGCCCCTATTCGACTTGTTTGTCACACTTGTTGTATTTATGGGTTTCTGATTTGCATCTGTGTATATACATATCCTGGTAGCCTTTATTCATTGAGTTCTTAGATGACTATGCGCCTCGCAACATTTGTATCTAGTTTTAGGTCACCTTTAGACCTAACCATTTCCAGTTTTATTCTAAATCTGCTCTTCAGGATTCTCTTATTATAGTTCCTCCTTTGTTTAATCGTGTTTCATTGTTTTTTCAGATGTTGGTGGATGATATTGGTGATGTGACAATTACAAACGACGGTGCTACTATTCTTAGGATGTTAGAGGTCGAACACCCTGCTGCTAAGGTAACTGATGCATATATGATGGTTATTCGTATATTCTTATTATCAGTTTCGCATTAATGTGCGTTTAGATGAGTTATTATGAATTACTAGTTACTCCAAGTCTGTCTGCTTTGCTCTGACAGGTTCTTGTCGAGTTAGCTGAACTCCAGGACAGAGAAGTTGGTGATGGGACTACGTCTGTTGTTATTGTAGCTGCGGAGTTGCTCAAGGTTAGTTTGTTTACTGTTTTCTTTGTTTTTGTTGTTTGTCTTTATAGAGCTGTGAAGATTTGTGACGTGATAGCTGCTTGATGATGATTAATGGTCTTAAACATATATTTTCAGAGGGCAAATGATTTGGTCAGGAATAAAATACATCCAACATCAATTATCAGTGGATACAGGGTATGCTCTATTCATATGTAGTGACTTGCATTGCAGAACTGTTTCCAGTGTGTTCATAATCTGTGTTACTGTTGACAGCTAGCGATGAGAGAATCTTGCAAATACATAGAAGAGAAGCTAGTGACGAAGGTTAGTCCTGCTGTGATGGACTACATTTTGCTCTCTTACCTCATCCATATTTTTTTTGAATGACATTTGATGAAGTTTTAATTTGTGTTTAACTCTTTAAGGTCCTCTCTTTATACAATTTGTTTTTCTTTGGTATATTTAAGTTCTCCCCGAAGTGGCTGTCTCTGCCCCTTCAGTTAATTACTTGTTTTTGCTTTTCTATAGGTTGAAAAGCTTGGAAAAGCTCCATTAATAAACTGTGCTAAAACCAGCATGTCCTCCAAATTGATCTCTGGTGACAGTGACTTCTTTGCTAATTTGGTATGCTTCTAGTTCTCCTTTCTGGTTATTTTTTCCTAAGTGTTTACTCTTGGTTTTGGTGGGAGACTTTTTTCCTACTTAAGTCCGTTCTAGCATTTCCTTTTAAGGTCTGGAACCGTTTGATATTTTCTTAAAATCATATATTGATCATTGCATGTGCTGAACTGTTATAATACCTTTTTTTAAGGTTGTGGAAGCTGTTCTGTCAGTAAAGATGACAAATCAGCGGGGGGAGATAAAATACCCTATCAAGGTCTGTTTCTGCTCCTCAGTAAAAATTTCAAACAAATCTTTTGGTATTTGCATGCTCTGATGTTTTTGCTTACCACGTTTCAGGGCATTAATATTCTGAAAGCTCACGGACAAAGTGCAAGAGACAGCTATTTGTTAAATGGATATGCACTCAATACTGGTCGTGCTGCTCAAGGGATGCCATTACGAGTGTCTCCAGCAAAGATTGCTTGCCTTGACTTCAATCTTCAAAAGACAAAAATGCAGTTAGGTGTCCAAGTTGTTGTTAACGACCCACGAGAACTTGAAAAGATCCGTCAAAGGTAGTTTGTTGTCTTGATCCTGACGTGAATAAGTTTTGATTTTCTCTGATAACAGGATATACAGTATAAAAGAAAGCTTAAGATATTGGCTCTATTGTATATTTGTACTGCTGATGTAATCTATGTTCCATACAGAGGTTTTTAATATGTTTCTGAATTTTTGTTTTCACAGAGAAGCTGACATGACAAAAGAGCGAATAGAGAAACTTCTTAAAGCTGGAGCAAATGTAATTCTAACCACGAAGGGGATTGACGACATGGCACTTAAAGTGAGTTTGATGTCCAATTTTTCTCTTTTCCCGTACACAACTCATTTTTATAAGTTTTCAAGTATAATGTTTGATTCTTAGAAGTTATTAATTACTTGGATATGCCCGTTGCTTCTATTTCAGTATTTTGTAGAGGCAGGAGCTATTGCTGTTAGACGTGTGCGTAAAGAAGACATGCGCCATGTTGCTAAGGCTACAGGAGCAACCCTGGTACTTCCTTAGATTTGCCTTTTTGATACTAAACACATTAGAACCAAGTTGCCAAGCTAAGATTTTGACTTATTGTATTATTTGTTTTAGGTCACCACTTTTGCTGACATGGAGGGCGAAGAAACATTTGATCCAGCACACCTTGGATCTGCTGACGAAGTTGTGGAAGAGAGAATTGCAGATGATGATGTTATATTGATAAAAGGAACTAAGACAAGCAGTGCGGTATGTCGTTTGCTCTCTGCATTAAATCATTCCTTATCTATTGACAGTAGTATATCACACAGAGTTAAGTCTAGCTTTGTCATGACTTTATAAGCATTTTTTCTTGTTGTAAGGTCTCATTGATCTTAAGAGGTGCAAATGACTACATGCTTGATGAGATGGAGAGAGCACTACACGACTCTTTATGTATTGTCAAGAGGACCCTCGAGTCTAATACGGTAACATCCTTTTGCTTCCTGTTAAAAATACTCTTTGCATTTAGTAATAAATATTACATCTCTTGCTTTACCCGAGATTGTTTCTTATAAAACAGGTGGTTGCGGGTGGAGGCGCAGTTGAATCAGCATTGTCTGTGTATCTGGAGCACCTTGCAACAACCTTGGGTTCTCGCGAACAATTAGCAATTGCTGAATTTGCTGATGCTCTATTGATTATACCAAAGGTGCAACCAGCAATCCTATTTCATTAATAAAGAAATCTGTCTTTTGTTCTTGACTTATAATCCAACTAATACTGTCCTATCCTCAGGTTCTTGCAGTAAACGCTGCTAAGGATGCAACCGAGTTGGTAGCTAAACTAAGAGCATACCACCACACTGCACAAACAAAGGCTGATAAGAAGCACTATTCAAGGTAATAAGCAATATGGCCAAACAGTTTGTATCTCTTCCCCTTGAGGTTTCGTTTGAAAATGTTTATTCTCATTGGTTTTATGTTGATAAATGCAAATGCAGCATGGGACTTGACCTCGTAAACGGAACCATCCGTAACAATTTGGAAGCAGGAGTTATCGAACCAGCTATGAGCAAAGTGAAAATTATCCAGGTGAAGCACTCGGCTTACTTTCTCACATAAACTACATATTTATAAGATCAAGTGATCTCTTCTTAACTTTTAAAGGAGCTTTATTTTGTGACCAGTTTGCGACAGAGGCAGCCATAACAATTCTGCGAATTGACGACATGATCAAACTGGTGAAGGATGAGAGCCAAGGCGAAGAGTAAAGCAAAGCTCAGCTCAGCTCAGCTCCCTCTTTGACAGTCTTGCCGTATCAGTAGTGTGTTTTTGTTCGCATTTCATTACCCACCACCTCTGCGTAGCTTCTCAGCTCAGCTCCTCTTTGTTAGTCTTGCCGTATCTGTAGTGTGTGTTTTTGTTTGCATTTCATTACCCACCACCTTTGCGTAGCTTCTTTTTTGGGCTGTAACAATATAGTCTCTGGAACAGCAATTTCTGTTTTTAGGCAACTTTTTATTTTAAAGAAATTTTTGCTTTTTCCGGATAAATTTTGTTAATGATATTGGGATTTTGTAGTTTTGTTCTCTTATTTTATGGATTTATGGTGTAGTCTCACAACCAAAACTATTATCCCTAAACAATATTGATTCATTCGTTGTTCTACCTTCATGACTTAAATACTTCATCCCCTTTCAATTACTAGAATAAGAATATTTCTATATTTGAGATAGACTGCAATTTATTTACACAACTAAGAACAGAGAGCAGAAGAAGTTCCTACGATATTTACACAAAGCTACATGCGTCTAAAACAAATTGACTATACAATCTAACTCTATACAACCATTTATAAGGATTGTATGGTTTGAACACTTTGCGATGAAGCCAGTAACAATGCAGAGCCAATGCTGGAACCATCTTCCATGGCCTTAATCACTACGTGTTGAGCTACATCTTCTCCCAGTATATCCCTCAGAGCTTCATCCATGTATTCTCTGAACATCCTGTAATTCAAATACAGGCCTCCTTCTACTGCCACCACCGTTCTTCTCATTATCTGCTTATCGCTTCTCCTTCCTCCTCCACTCCCATCTCTCCCTACCTTCTTTAAGATTCCTGCAATTCCCGCAGCTGCTAGCCTGGCCGCTCTGCGTGTCACCACATCACATATCTTTACTACAAGTTTCCTCACCTTCAATGCTACTTCTGCTACCTGTTGTTATGAACAACAGAACGCGCCATGGGATCAAAGGTATAAGCCATCAATTATATTAAATGATTGTTAAACAGAACGAAACGTTGCATTACGAAAAGCTTACCCCTAAATCGTTCAAGATTCTTGCTACCTCTAGTAACTCCGGTGTGTCATCTTCGTGCATTGCTGAGACGGAATTTGTTCTATGATTGGAGTAAGATAAGATTTAGAAATATACGTAACACAGAAAATTCCACTACAAAAGAAAAAGTACAAGTAATAGCGGTTTTTACTGGAGACTATCAGAATTGAAATTTCGCCAAAGTTTAGATAGGAAACAAAGTAAAACTTTGGCTGTTCTTTTCTCGTCTAAGAAGATATACAGGCATAAGACACAAAAGGAAATGTACCTTAGAACGAAAGGTGTCGATAAAATGGATGAGATGGGTCCAAAGATGTCGGACTCTTGTGACATGCGAAGAATTACTCTGCGGACAATGTCGCCCAGATACATCCCTCCTATCATCTTCTCAAATCCCTATAAACAATACCAACCAATTGACTACCTGATTATAAACCTTGAAAACAGGATAAAACACAAAAGAATGGGAACTTAGCTGATTACCATGTCATTTGAGTTCATACTCTCTGCATCTAACTCAAGATCATATGAAGTTCTTGGCAGACGAGATGACCAAAAGTTTCCCCACTCCATATTGACCACCTAGAACAAAAGAACATTATAAAGGGAAGATAAAATATTTTATACTGAATCTTCAGAAGTCTAAAAATTGATGTTTCTAAGGATGAACTATGTAAGAATTCTTATTACCATGCTTCCAGAAGTTGTGCGCGGGTTTTGACACTTGATTATGGCATCAGTTCGTTCAAGGTAACAAGCATTACTACCTGTTCCAAAGACAACTGCGGCAATTGTATCTGGGTCGTGAAAATGTCCAAATGATAGAGCCCCAACAGTATCATTCACCTGCTCAAACAATGAAACTAAATTTAACACCACACATGATATCATGAAGTTTAAGAGATACAACGTCAATTCCCGATGCTTATTCAATTGTGAGTTGTGACTGTATGTAATTCTTCAAAGGAACAGCAATAAATAAAACAGCAGTTCCCCAAGGGTATGTTTATGTTGCATAAGTAAAGGACTTACAAGAGCTGCAACACGAATATCTAGCCCTCTCTTGTTCAACGCTCCTTGTAGACATTCAGCAATGTCTTCCCCAGCCTAAATTAGTAAGATAAACGTGTCATGAACTTGATGCAGCAATGTTGAGTACATTTCCAAAACTTAACTCCAAACGCTAGAAGATGAATCACATTGTTATGTTAAGTTGTAATACACAAACTGATGATTATAAACCTGCGTTGATCAAACTATTAACCTGAAAAAGAGTGGTTTCATCATAGGTTTGAAGATTTATAATGGAGCCTTAAATGTAATCTAAAAGTCAGGCGACAGGTAAAATGTTGTAGAGAAAATTTAACTAACCATTTCACTAATTGCAAAACCTTTGGTCCATTTAATTAGAACTCCTGAAGAGATAGATGTTTGCTTGACTGGGAAAGAAAAAGTAAATGCAAGTTCCCTTTTTACAGGTTGTGACAAGTTAAACACTTCTTTTTCAATAAACATCTGCAAGGATGATGCAAGAAAGTCGAAGAGAACCTGCAAATCAAGTACGAAATAATCATGTGAGCTTTTAATCCGTCGGATTATATAAACCGAGTTTGGATTAGAAGAATGTTGAAGAAAGCATTGACACCTCGCTGGTGCTATTCATTAACGATGTCGGAATGGAATGTCGTTCAACATCTTGAACTTCAAGAGTAGATCTTTGGCCACCCAGATGAACCCTTATTATCCTAAAGTAAGAGCCACCAAGATGAAGTGCATAATAAGTTCCCGTCTCGCTCCTGCAATAAAAGGGTTCGTACATTAAAACAAGACGCTTACATTATGACAATCACACAACCAAAACCCTCCAATTTCACACAACTAATACGCAAATTTCCAGACATTGCACAATCATGTCACCAAATCCCATAAAAACTAAAAAAGGAAACTCTTTATAAGCTCTAATCAAAAATCATTGGGATGTGTAAAAATCTCACCCATTGGGAAGATCATCAACGAAAGTGAGCAACATTTTAAGCTTAGAACCTCCTTCAGAAACCAAACCAGCTTGCATCTCCACAGCTATAGCATCAACCATCTGCCTCAACCTTCCCAAGGGAGTCTCACACGCTTCCTCCAAATCCCTAAGTATCCCCACCACCTTCTTCCACTTCCTCTTCCCTTTCATTCTCCTTCTCACAGCCACCGTGGCCACTGAACAAGCCACCACAGCCGCAGCTGCAGTCAATGTCACCAAAACCCTCCCCATTCCAAATATCTACAAATGTCTATACACAATCTCTCTCTCTCTCTCTCTTTCTCTCTGTATCTTTAAGAGAAATCGAGATAAATAACTCACAAAAGCAAGCACCTTTACGACGAGAAAGCAAATGACAAAAGAGTCTAGAATCAGATTGGCACGAAATGCAAATGAAAAAGCTTCAACCACCGATCAGGATAAGCCTATAAGCCTCCATTTCAACGCAAACGATTCCTTTCTATAACCACAGATAAAAAATCAAACCGCCTCAGCAAAAAAGCTCCCTTTTTCTTGTTGGCTTCTCCGTGATTTCTCGAGATTAAACAGCCTTGCTGCGCTCGAAGGTTCCTTGTAAGACGAAAAATTCCAGCGAAAGTTATATCCTTCCGGCGAAAGAAGGCAGCGAGAGAGATTGATAAAATTTTGGTGAGAGGGAGAGTCAGAAGAAGAAGAAGAAGAAGAACGCTGGAAAGGCCAAAAAAACGAATCGATGAATAATACATGAATGTTACTTAAATTACAGTTGTGCCCTCGTGTACTTTTCGAGTATGGACGGTTTCGATTCGCTTATTTTCTGAGTATTTGTTTATTTGGGTTGACTCGTTTTATTATTTGAACTAATTTATTTTAGGGAACTCAAAAACGACGTTAAGACAATACAATTTGGTACATCAGCCTGTCACTGTTATGCTCTAACTTTGTGGTCGTTTATATAAAGAAACGCATTTGAGGAGAGCAATGACGTTTTCGCGACCACCACTTTAGCAACTAGCAAGGATATAATAGTATATGATTAGACTAATTAATCTATAGCAGAGACTAATCAATAATACAAATATTCAACTAGCTGACTAATGAAAGAACTGGTGGTTTCATTATTATTTTGTATATTGAGACTTGTATCTCTTTTTGGTTCTAATAATAATAAAAAACTGAGTGATTATTTTCTAATCTCATTACTTGTTTTATGCCATATGGATTAGTTTTAGAAAATATACGATTAGAAAGATCGACTCTGACTTGGTGAAAGAGATCGATTTACTTGGAAAATGTAGTTGATAGATAAAACTTCAGACAAGTTAAAAAGGCTTAAGACTCATCCATGGCTGGCTTTTGATAGAATAATGCAGCGCATGTTGTTGCTACTAAAGTGGTCATCAGCATGCAGAACTATGTCAAACAGAAGAGAACTAACGAGCAAACAGAACTATCAAGAACTACTATCAAGAATTATGTAATAAAATAATCTAAGCTGGTATATATGTCAAAGTTCCAAACACTGCTCCATCATGTCACCAAATACTTATTACACAAACTAAAAGGGAGATACTTTAAACCCCCTAATGAAGCAGCTTTGGGATGTGTAAGAATCTCACCGTACCCCATTAGGAAGATCATCAACGAAAGTGAGCAATAAATTGAGCTGAATTGGATCATCCTGAAGAACCAGCTAGGCTCACTCTCCAGTGCTATGAGATCCACCCATCCTTGGTCTTGTTCACAGGGACATTGCAAAAGAAAAAACGAATGACAAGAGAGATGCAAGAAAGAAAACAAGCTTATTCATTAATTAATAGAGAGTCTTCTTCTTCTTTGTGTTAGTTGGTTGGCTGGCCTCCTCTTCTTCTTCTCTTCCCTTTTTGAATCCTGCTGCAGTTTGGTTGATTTGCACTAAACTTGGAACATAAGAGCTACCACACACATGTGGGCAGCAACACGAAAACTCAGAGAAGTTGAGAGCTCCTGGTATGTAAGGCACAGCTTCTCCAAGATGCACTTTCTTAACGTACCCATTCTCTCCAATGATGTAGGCTGCGTCCTCGTAGCGGGTCGTTTCAGATGCGTCATAACTAATAACCACGGCGACTTTCTTCTCCTCGTCAATGAAGAAACTGCCCCCGGAGACATAAAAATCAAAACCAAAGTGTGGTTCCATATCAACTTTTAAGAAAGGGATCCACGACACAGCATGGGGCTCAATCATAGATGTAACCCAAATCTCCACCTCCACCTCTGATGAATCCAAACCCTGATATAAGGCGGCGAGTTTCTCGTCTCCAAGAGAAGAGATAGCTCCAGTACAGTCATCGTAGTGAGCAAACGGCAGTGGAAGAAACTGTCCAAAGCTCTCCGTTGTGAAATCAAAACAGATTAAGACAGACTCGGGCACAATTTGTTCCGTTTCTTCCTCCTCTGGCCACGGTATTTTTTCCGTGGCAATCAAGTAAGTGTTTCCCTTCAAAGACGTGCCGCGCTGAGTAAACTGTATCTCGCAGGTGGGAGTGATATCAAGAACCCTCCATGAATTTGAGCTAAAATCATAGATTTCGTACTCACAGACCGAATCTGGATCATCCAAAAACCTCAAGATTTTGTGTTTACGGTTATTGTCGAATCCGATAGCATACCTGTCCAAACTGTGGTAACTGTTTCTAGGTTGGATCCACCTGGTTTGACCCAAGTAAGGGTTCCACACCACGAGATCCTCTAATTCGGTCACGCATAACAATAACCCGTCGCATTGAAATACTTGAAAAAGCTTGACTTGACCAAGTGGAGTATTACCTATCTCCTTTATAGATGGATCCACGTATTCGTCTTCGTTGTCGAAGAGATCAAACCTCACTGAGCAAAGCTTATACTTCTTCATCATGAACCCTAGAAACTGATGCTTCGCCTCTGCTTTACATATAATCTCATCTTTGGATAGAGCGTTCCATCGTTTGCAAGTCGATCTCACCGCTCCAAGACTAGTTATAGGAACCCTAGAGAGTATCATCCCTACCAATTTCTTTGGAAGATCAGAGATCGTAGTCGTCATTGTTTCGATATCGGCTAGGGTTCTCTCTAACTTTGCTTGCTTAATCTTTTTACATATTTATAAGCTTCAGTATATATAACAAAGAAACATATATATACATATATTTTTGGTTCTTTTCTGGTTAATTTAAAATATTTTTTCACTACTATATTTATGTAATTAAATTTTTCTAGCTATATTTCCAATTTTTTTTTTTTTAAAAAGGGAAAATCGCAAGTTTTTTTTTGGTTTAACGTTAAATTGGAAAATCCCAAGTCGATCAGATGCTTTCTCACAATGACGTAGTAGTATTACTTACTTATGTCGTCCAGTCCATATGGCAGAAGTGGTAAGAACTTTCCCAGGCCGAGTGCTCTCTTCAATAATGCATTGCTAAAAAGTCGGTTTTGTTCTCTCTAGCTCCGGAGCTGTGTGTAGTACAGTAGTATCGGAGGCTTCTTGTTATATTTTTTCAAGAACCTCTTCTTACCATACTTGTACGTCATATATCTCACCATTCTCTTTGATCGGGCCAAGAGAGACGATGACCTATGCAGCAGATCCATCCAAGTAATCAAGTGATTTTTGATCTCATTCGTTATTTTTCTAAGGAGTTCATGAGTAATCATGTTTTGACACTAATTGTACGTACCTCTAATTGTGCTTAATATTTAAACCTTGTTCCCCCTGTTTCCATGCATATTGCCTTACTAATACTTTCTCACATGAACCTTTGTCTGTGCGTATTCCATGCGTACAGCATATACCATGTGAATTCGTTTTGGAAAAGGTAACTTTAGCTTGGAAAGCGATTTAGAAATGAATTTGGAAGATTAACTCTTCGACCTTTAGTTATAAGGTTTTGAGCTACAGATAGTCATCACTCCGTGAGAGAGAGAGGCCATTTTCTAAAAATGTTAAGGTAGCTAGTTCAGATTTACTCGGAAAATGTAGTTGCTAGATCAAACTGATTTTAAAGAGACTTGGCTTCTTCAATGTCTTCCTTGAGTAATCCAGCTATCGGATATTATTGCTACTAAAGAGATCAGCTTGTAGAGCTACCGTTACAAAAATTAGAACATGTAACACTCTTCCATTCACAAAAAAAAAGAAATAGACTCTAATCAAGAAAGCGATTCAAAAAATAAGGTTTCTTCCAGGGAAGAGATTATATGTAGAACATTTTTTTGTTGTTTTCTCTATTTAGTTATTTAAATTTTAAAAACTTTAAATATGACAGTAAACCCTTTAACATTGTAAAACAAAGCAAAAGGGGAAAAGAGAAAGTAAATAGGAATGAATGGTGCGGATCAAAAGGTAATAAATCATACAAAAGTTGAATAATCACAGTGTAAATATAAACTCTGATTAATTTTTATTTAATGAATGATCTGATTCTTTTTACTTGTTAAACTAATCGACTAATACAATTATAATCGTTTTATTACTTTGAAATGTTGGATTAAAACCTAGGTTAAAATTTATAAAATTATTCATCCTACTATATTTTATATATATCGTATGGTCACTAATCATAATTAGCACGTTTGTTCCATACCCACTAATTTGTGTATTATGTCGTTTCAGTTTGAAGAAGACCTTTTAGCTGAAGGGCAGTTTCAATAGTGTTTCGTATTCTTAGAAAAATAATTACTACCATGGTGATTACATTAATTAAAAAAAAGTTAATTAAAAGTTCAAACCAAAAATAAATGCCAAGAAAAAGAAAATCAAATTTTTTTTTTTAGGGATTTTAATGACTTGGGAAAATAAAAAGGAGGCTCCTTTGGGAACTAGTTTTTTACTTACAACACAACAGTCGTCGTCAAGCGTCAGAGAAAAGAGAAGAAAACTCTCTCTCTCTCTCTCTCTCTCTCTCTCTGGGTTTAACTGAAATATGCAATCTGGCGGCGATTTCAGCAACGGCTTCCACGGCGACCATCACCGTGAGCTTGAATGGGAAGAGAAGCAAGTCGGTGGTCTCAGCTCTTTAGGCCGAGCCAAGAGGCGCTGTCGCGGCGGACCTCGCGACCTTAAAGACGGCGGAGCCAATGTGCTTAGGGTTTCTGACCAGCTTGGCGAGCAGAAGTCACTGGAGACTTCTGAGTCTTCTCCTCCTCCTTGTACTGACTTCGACGTTGCCTATTTCCATTCCTATGCTCACGTTGGAATTCACGAAGAGATGATCAAGGTACTCTCATTCTCTTCCTTCTTCTTCTTCTTCTTTTCCCTTTTGTGCTTATCCTTTTTCTTCTGTGATAGCTTAAATTCAAATTTAGGGTTGAAATTTTTTTCTTTGGTTTGGGAGTATAGGACTGTCTAGTAAATTTTCGAACTTGCTATGATTGATGTTTTGAAAAACCATTACTGGGTTTGTTAATTTGATGTATATTATTGCTTCTTCTGGTACCAATTTGGGCTTTCCAGCTCGAAATTTCTTTGCTTCAAAAAACAAATCTCAGTGTCTGCAGAATTTGGCTGAAAATTTGTTCAGCTATATCCATTTATGATGTTTTGTGTCTTTACCTTTTTAAACCATTCATGTTTTTCTCTTTAGTCTGCTGTTTCCTGGGATTTCTCACTTCTTTCCGGAATGTTATTGGTTGATATAGGATCGGGCAAGGACGGAAACTTACAAGGATGCCATTACTCATCATCAGAGCTTGATTCAAGGCAAGGTAATAGTCTCTTTGCTGTCATTTCTGAACTATGCTCATTTATCTACATAACGATGATATTGAAGAATTTTTCTAGACTGAGACCATTGTTAATTCTTTTGCTTAGCCTATGTATCTGTCGTGTTGGTAGTTTTTCTGTTTGGTTAGTAAACCTATTGCCACATTGATTACTTGTAACAGGTTGTGGTGGACGTTGGCTGTGGAACAGGCATCCTTTCAATCTTCTGTGCTCAAGCAGGTGCAAAACGGGTATGAGTTAGTTATGTGTATACGCAACTTTATTATCAATGTTGACTTCAAACAATCAACATTTCTTGTTTACAAAAGATATGAATTTTGAAACATTTTGAAGAATGTAGCTTGTATACCATGGATATTAAGATTGGTTCTCTGTGTCTATTGTCTATATATTCCATAGACAATGGCCTAGACCAACACTGTACATGTTTTCTTACAAAATTTTATTATGCTTCCAGGTGTATGCTGTAGATGCAAGTGATATAGCTGTCCAGGTATTATTCCAGTTTCTTTTTTTTTTGATCCAGTATTTTGAAGATTAGGATTGCTCTTGATCTTCTCCCCCTTAGCTTCTACTTTCTGTATTTTTGTGAACTTGTGAGACTAGCTATTTTTTCAATCATAAAACGTGTTTTCATAGGTTAAAGTTGAAACTTGGAAAATAGAAGGAGTTCTTCGATATAATGTGCTGCATATCCCTTTGGTGAAAGTATGTGTGGGTATAATGACTGTTTGTCTTATTGTCTAAACTCTAAAGTGAGACCCGGCGCTTAAATTTCTCTCAGTTAAGTTGACCCAGGCTTCGTTTGTATCATTTAGTTTTAATCCAAAATCTAAGTCTCTGCATTGCTTCATGTTTTGATCACCCTTCAGTTAAGATCAAGGAAGAAATTCTTGCAAATGTTTTTGTTATATTTGGTCCTGTGAAACTGATTCTACTCAGAGAGAATTTACGAGTCTGGTGCTTTAGCTCTGCATGTGGTTTTCATTTGGTTTTTGTTCCCTATCAGAAATTCATATTTAAAAGTGGTTTTGTAATCTTGTTTGGCAAGGGATCCTACTTACCCTTTATTTTATCCTTTTTCACCACTAGGCAAAGGAAGTTGTGAAAGCTAATGGTTTATCCGACAAGGTCATTGTTTTGCATGGGAGAGTGGAGGTAATATTATCTTTGATAAATGCCGAGTTGGTCCTTCCTATTATATCCTACATAGTAAAAGTGGATATTTATATCATTTGCAAAAAGATAATTGGTGTCGTTATGCAGAAAGGTGCAATATAAAATGAATGTAATGGAGAACTTGGAATAGTCTTTACTTCTGTACAGCTATTGAGATAGTTTGGTTGGGTGAAACGTCTAAGTTCTTATGTAAGCCCTCATTTTCTGTACTAATTCTTCTTTTTTTTTTGTAATGTTCTTCAGGATGTTGAAATCGACGAGGAGGTTGATGTTATAATTTCAGAGTGGATGGGTTACATGCTCTTGTATGAGGTTATTCCCTTATCTTGTATACATATAACTTTATGTTGATGCTATATGATAACCTACCAAATTATTATATTTTCTTAGTACTCCTTGTTCTCTCATTCCCATATTGTGTGTTTGATGTGATGTAGAGTATGCTGGGAAGTGTTATTACAGCTAGAGATCGCTGGTTGAAGCCTGGGGGTTTGATTCTCCCCTCACATGCAACAGTATGATTTTGATCCCTTCAAATATAGTATCACAAATAAGCTCTAATGACTTTGCGTAGAAGGCAATATTTGATATGTTGCTGTTTACCTTCTGTGGACAGTTATACATGGCACCTATTTCACACTCTGACAGATATAGCCACAGCATTGATTTTTGGCGCAATGTTTATGGAATCAATAGTAAGTATTATATTAACTTGATCTTTGGGACAATCATTACATTAAATTTGATTGGTATATTGGTAGAACTGAAACTAAGATTGTATGATTTCTGTAATTTTATGTGGATTTTCTAATAAGCTGTTAAAAATCTCAAGATATTAACTAGCCATATCCCAAATAATCATAGGTGGGGTTTGGTTTCCTAGACAGATCAGATTAACAGAAGTAGGTTAATGAGCTTTTACTGTTTTGATAGTCCTGGTCCTTGAATTCAGGGAGTAAACATGTGGCATTACTTGGTCATAAGGGTCTATTGAAATGTCCGTTTTGTTAGTTACTAGCACGCTGGAGAACTTCCTACTCAAGAATTCAAGAAAATTTAAGTTTTATAAAGTGAAAAAGATCCCCCTGGCAGTAAGATTTCAGTAATGATATTTGATGTTGTTTGCAGTGTCTCCGATGATGCAATTAGCTAAACAGTGTGCGTTTGAAGAACCCAGTGTGGAGTCAATATCAGGCGAGAATGTTTTAACATGGCCAGGAGTGGTATTTCCTCGTTCTCTGAGTACTTATTATTACCTCCTATCTCTTTGAGCTCTCAGCTATGTTAAATGTGCATACTGAGTGAAGATTTATCCTCTTTGTTACTAAGTAAATATTTATGTAAGAGCATTTGAAGTGCAGGTTAAACATATAGACTGTCAAACAATAACAATCCAAGAGCTAGACTCCGTTACAGCAAAATATAAACTCAAGTCAATAATGAGAGGTATATCACTCTCTTTTCAACTATTTGTGTAGTGTCTGCATCTTAGAGAGAAGTTAGCCTTGCTTCCATTCTGTGTTGAGGCTTTTTCTTATCATGTTGTAGCTCCTATGCATGGTTTTGCATTTTGGTTTGACGTTGAGTTCAACGGACCGGCCTCTTCGCCTGCCAAGAATACTGGTGAAAATTGTGCTGCCAGTGGTTCTTCGTCGATAATTCCTTCTGGAGAAGGAAATCAGAAGAAGCGAACTATTCCGAGTGATGCACTCTTATTGTCCACCGCTCCTGAAGCTCCTCCAACGCATTGGCAGCAAGTAAGATGATGTTTTTGCATATACTTCCCAATTTCTCCAACTTTCTATCAGTTTTACTTTTCAATGAATCATCTAATTAATTGGTAAAGATAATAGGGAATTGGTCTTAAATTAAGAATATCAATGATAATTATGATAAGTAAACCTTGATTTCTGGCTCTATTTAAGTTACTGAGAAAGTAGCTTACACTTCCTGACAATTTGTTGTTGAACCACTTCTTTTGGACAGACGATTGTATATTTCTATGACCCTATAGACGTAGAGCAAGACCAAGTCATTGAAGGTTCCGTGACACTTTCTCAAAGCAAAGAGAACCGGAGATTCATGAACATCCACCTCGAATATTCGTTAGTAGCCAAACGCACTCTTTCACCCTTTTGGAATTTATTTAATTTCCACCAGTGTCTTATTTTGCGGTTTCTTGCAGCTCGGCTGGCCGTTCCTTTGTAAAAGAGTCAGTAATGCGTTAAGGAGGCGATTCTCTGACAGTGTCTCCTTACCTTAGAAGCCATGTAAGCTGTAGTCTCTTCTGCTAAAGCATTGATTAGTCCAGAAATTGCAGAACCAACACATGAAGACATTGACAAACACAAGCGATCTTGTAGTCTGCGAAACACCAGTTCTTGTAAGAGTATTATAGGTTTTAGATCTGATGGACGCAATTTTAGGATATTGTTTGGGGCAAATCTTTAGCTTTTGTTACTAGCCAACCCGCTCAGCAGCACTATCTTTGAATACTTATAATTGTCATGCATATTCATATTTTTATTGGAAATTTGTATAACATAATATACATTAAGATCAATTTATTCAATTTAGCGTTATAAATATTTTTTGCTTTTTGATTATGAAGTTTTAAAATATACGTTTATCTTCCCAACTAGTGCTATTAGTTATGATATCATCTATAACCATACTAAAGATTCGTGTAAAAGAGTGTTTATGTTGTTTGACTACATATAGTACAGTTTTTGGTTGTTAAAAAATATCTTTAATATTTGATTTTATGATTTAAGAGTGTTTGATATGATTTTTAACTAAAACGTTCGAGAAATTATGAGGAGGAATACGATAATACTATAATAAAATGGAAATATACTTATTTTAGGAAAGTTAAATACAATAATAATACATGGATTAAGAAAGGATAATAAAAAGCTGGCTCTTCATAAACTTTTAGGAACCTAGATCTCTGTAGTCTATTGAGAGAATTTGACTAATCATTTGGGACACTTCTCTCTTTCTCTCTCTCTCTCAAATAACAACATAAAGTAAAGACAGTTATTTAGATAACTCGAAGGTTTGCTGATCTAGTGATTTTTGTACACATTTTCATGGACTTTTTATAAGATCATTTTCAACATGTTATATGTATTTCAGTATATTAAGGTATGTACATAACCGGACCGGGTGATTATATATGTTATAGAATTCTAGAAATTCTTTTTCCCGTTCATGGTGGTATGCATGGAAAGGTACTACGCGTAATTGGATCATGCAAATCATCGTTGGATTATAATTAAAAATGTAAGCAACTTTTAGGTGTAATAATGGTTCAATTATTGATATGGTGCTTGTCTTATGTAATACCAATTTCTCTAATTTGTTGTTCTTCATTAGAATGCATTCCCATTTTTATTATTAAACTTTATTATCCATTCGATCGTGTGGTGCCATAAGATATATATATTCTCTCTTTTATGCTAAATTATTTGTAGTTGGTGTTGTCGTACTTGTGTATTTGCATGCTATAGCAACAGCCATCGAAAATTATATATATTTCTATAATATCCATATCTTTACAAAACTTTTTTGGCACGCCCACAAATGTATGAATCACATAGCACCATTTCTTTTCGTAAACTATTTTTCTTTCCACGATTTATATATTCATTATTGGATTAGATTATATGTTATAGAGTGCAATGTATGTGTTAAAACTGATTCGAGTTTAGATCAGTTTATATGCCAAGCTCGTTTTTGGATTAATCAAAGTTTTTGCTAAAGACGTACGATATTCGATCTAATGTCCACGATGGTTACTTAAAGGTACTTGTTAATTCAAAAATCTATAGTGAATCCAACCAAAGTATGAGAGCAAGATTATGAATTTGTATCATTCGAGAAGGTTGGATGATGATAGATACAAATATGCCAAAAATGATGAGCTAAGAAACCATATATAATCTAGCAATAGTTGCAACCAATATTTGCTTTCGAACTACTCCAGCACTAGGTGCAATTATCTAAATATGTTTTTAATTTGGCGTTAGTTCTAAGAAAATTAAAGATAAGATTTTCAATTTGATCATGTTTTTGGCTCATACGACGAACTTTAATTTGTCCTTGATTATGATATGTAGTGGCTTTCATCATATACGAATAGCCATTCTTGATTTACAACTGTAGCTAGTTCGTATATTCATTTCTATGTTAACGATGGAGATGGAATATAAGTGTTAGTTTTTTCTATCTTTTTGTGTGTGTAGATCGAATTAATGCAGTTTCGCCTATGTTGTTGAGCCAGTATCGGTCATCAGCTTTGTTTCAATTCGTTGTGTTTTGCATAGCTAGGGAATCATTACTTTTTTCTAAAACGTATTTTGTCAAATTTGATGGTTAGCTAGGGGTTTAATTTTTTTTTTGGTAAGGAGCTAGGGGTTTATATATGTGATGAGCTTAAACATTTTCTATTTTCGATAGTTTTTTTTTTGTTTTTGTTTTTGTGTGTCTATGTATATTTTGTGTAATTCGAAAACATCAGTTGGTAAAATAATGCGGATGTTTTGTCATATCTAGGTCTTTGGAGTAACATTTAGTACTAATACTGATATACAATTCCAAAGACACAATCTTGTCGCTAGTAAAATTACACAACAAAATGTTCTTTGATACTTTGGTCTAGTTCTTGATTCCCAAGTTACCAACTACTGGTATGATAGAACACTGCCCCAAAAAGAAAAGATAACTTAACAAGATACACGAGTTTCACTTAGATATTTTACCGAAAGGTCTATACAAAAATGCTTCCCCCATGACTCGACATATTCACTTTCAAAAGGGAAACACCGCCAAACAACAAAAATTTGTTAGAAAAGTTGGTAAGACAAACCAAGATTTAATAGTATTTTGTAAGTAATATGGAAACCAAGATATTTAACAACGTTGTTACATTCATATCGCTGTTACTACTTGATTGATTTGGCGTGGGACGTCGGAGGCGGTGAATGAAGATATAGTTTGGTATGAGAATCGGGTTGGTTCTTCTTGGCACTTGAGAGTAGAAAAGTTGAGCTACCTATCTTCTAAAGTGTTTAGGAGAGTACGTACGTAGCAAACACGTACGGGACTTAATTGCATTTTATTGAATCCGTGGAGATGAGCCTGCAAATATATATTTTCTAGATATTGATGGTTCGTGGGCGTCTCAGATTGAGGCTCTGCTATCAATGTATCCATGTACTGTATACAAAGAATACTTTATATACATAATAATCAGAAGTAGAGTAAAAAAGTAAATAAACTCTCGAGAATTTTGGTTTGAGTTTCTAACATCTAATAATACATTCACTTTGATACTTGAAATCCAACACTCCCATGATACATATGTGAAAGTTCATCGATAATTGGATTTGTAAATTCCCGTCTTAACATTTTAGTATCAATTTAACAACTTAAATAATTAGATTTAGGTTTTAAGAAATGTTGATGACATACTATTAGTTTTCAAACAAAACAAAAGAATTATAAAATTTAGACAAAACAAAACTAGAAATATTGAATTTTCATTTGAAGATAAAGAAAAGAAAACCTCGTATGTGTTTTATTGTTAGAAATAGACAAAGAAATTAAGAAAAATCTTAAGATGTAACTCTCAAGTCTCAACTCTCAACCAAACCAAACAAAACAAGACTAGTGAGTGAGTGAGAAGAAGAAGAAGTAGAGAAAATAAAATAGAAAAGGATTGTGGACGACGTACGTGCGAGAAGAAAATAATCCACGTAAGCAAAAACCATAGCAATAAGAGAGATCGACCCATCACCACTTCCCATTTTACAAGACAAAGAAGTCTATCTCTCTCTCAATTAAAAAAATAAAAATCCCAAATTTGAGAGACGAAGAAGACACTAAAGACCAAACAAGAAAAAACTCAAAGTCTGACATTAAAACTCAAAATCCAAGAAGAAGAGAGAGTGTGAGAGAGAGAGAGAGAGAAGCTCTTCTTCTTCTTCTTCTTCTTCTTCAGGCTCACACACGGGTTTTGGCATTTGGCGTTGTAAACAATGCTTCTCCCTCTCTTCTTCTTCTTCTTCTTCCTCCTCTTCCATCTCCATCTTTCTTCTTCTTCTTCTTCAATCTCCTTCCCTGATTTTCAGATCATCGACGTTTTACAACCTCCTCTCTCCGTCACCTCTACTCTTCCCAACGACACCCATTTCTCCGACGACTCCAACTCCAAGTACACTCTCCGTCTTCTCCACCGCGACAGATTCCCTTCTGTCTCTTACCGTAACCACCACCACCGTCTCCATGCTCGTATGCGCAGAGACTCTGACAGAGTCTCCTCCCTTCTCCGCCGCATTTCTGGCAAAGTTGTCTCTTCTTCTTCTTCTTCTTCCGATTCCAGATACCAGGTCGACGATTTTGGCTCCGATGTCGTTTCCGGTATGGATCAAGGCAGCGGCGAGTACTTCGTCAGAATCGGCGTCGGAAGCCCCCCCAGAGATCAGTACATGGTCATTGATTCCGGTAGTGATATGGTTTGGGTTCAGTGTCAGCCTTGCAAGCTCTGTTACAAACAATCCGACCCGGTTTTTGACCCGGCTAAATCCGGCTCTTACACCGGAGTCTCTTGCGGCTCTTCCGTCTGCGACCGCGTCGGAAACTCCGGCTGTCACTCCGACGGGTGCCGTTACGAGGTCATGTACGGGGACGGGTCTTACACGAAGGGCACATTGGCTCTCGAAACGCTCACGTTTGCTAAGACGGTGGTTCGAAACGTTGCCATGGGATGTGGCCACCGAAACAGAGGGATGTTTATCGGAGCAGCTGGTTTGTTAGGTATCGGAGGCGGTTCAATGTCGTTTGTGGGTCAATTGAGCGGTCAAACCGGCGGTGCGTTCGGTTATTGTTTAGTGAGCCGAGGCACCGACTCGACCGGTTCATTGGTGTTCGGGAGGGAAGCTTTACCCGTTGGAGCCTCGTGGGTACCGCTGATCCGTAACCCACAAGCTCCGAGTTTCTACTACGTTGGGCTCAAGGGCCTCGGCGTCGGAGGCGTCCGGATTCCTCTACCGGATGGCGTTTTCGACCTGACCGAATCCGGCGACGGTGGCGTGGTCATGGACACAGGGACCGCCGTCACGAGGCTTCCCACGGCTGCTTACGCCGCGTTCCGCGATGGGTTTAAGTCGCAGACGGCGAATTTGCCGCGGGCGTCGGGGGTATCGATATTCGACACGTGTTATGATCTGTCCGGGTTTGTCTCGGTAAGAGTCCCGACAGTGTCGTTCTATTTCACGGAAGGTCCGGTTTTGACATTACCGGCGAGGAATTTTCTGATGCCGGTGGATGATTCGGGGACATACTGTTTTGCGTTCGCGGCGTCTCCGACGGGTCTGTCGATAATAGGGAACATACAACAGGAAGGGATCCAAGTCTCTTTCGACGGAGCCAATGGCTTTGTTGGTTTTGGCCCCAACGTTTGCTAGCGGTTAAAATTAGATATTAATTACGATTTTTGTTTGCTAGTAAAGTAAAAAAGCTTTTGTCTCAGTCTAAACTATATATTGTCTCTTTTTTTTTTTTTATAAGTAATTAGTTTGGTTTTGAGTTTTCTTTAATAAATCTGATTAGTATAGAGATTTACAAACAAAAAATGTACATTATATGTTTTGACCAAGTATGTCTTTTGATTTCTGATTGGTTTTGGAATCTATTATTTTGGGTGACTGTTATAATGGGAGTGAGACAACTTTTTGAGTACCACCACCAAGTCAAAAAGTAAATTACACAGAAAAAGGGTTAATAGTAAAACTTTGTGGTGAAGCGTGAGGACGGACATTGGGGAATGAACCTTTTACTCTATTTAACCAATGTTCACGTTAACTTGTAATTAAGCAATTAGCATCACATGCTCTGAGATGTTACCGAGATTAGTCATGGCCATATTTGACTGTAGTTGTGAATTGCTTTTATTGGTAATAGAGATTAACAAGTTTAAAAAAATCAGCAACTAGACTTAGATTGATTGGAATAGTTAGTTCCTCCGATAAGGCCTTTTAAGAGTGTGGATTTTATTTACATGGAAGTGATTATTTTGTTAGATGCTTTACCAAAAAAAATGTATGTGATGGTCCTGAAGGATAGAAGAAGGCAGGCCTGCCTTATGGGCACATTATATATCGTGCCAGTCTTTTAGGTTTTTTTGTACATATGAGTACCCCTGAGTGAGATAGAGACCCACAAAAGCTGGAACATTTTCATAAAAAAGTGATGTGAATGAATCATTTAAAGCAACAACTTAATAATCTCTTGTCACAATCGTGAATCACTTGAGCGAGCAGCTGCACCATCTTCTTCAATTCACTACTTCCCCGTGATTACTTTTTTCTCCCCAAAGTTCCATTTAAAACTCTTTTATTAGTATCAAAATATCCTGAAGTGGATTTCATGATAACTACAACAGACTTCAAAACTGAGGACCCAATCTTAGTTGATTCATGGATGATAAAAGCCTAGAAAATATACCTCTTTATATTGTCAGGACAATTTGTTCTCTTTCTACAAATATCTGAACTATTTTTATGATATTTACTTAGCCGTTGTACACCTTTGAAATATATAACAAACACAGTCAATTCTTTTCACACTGTAACTTTGAAAGAAGAAAAAGAAAAAAAAAACGCAGAAGAGATCAAAATTAGCAGAGCACTAACCGACGAGAAGCACGTGCATTCGTATACCAATAAATCACATTATGAACCTCTAGTGAAAAATATATGTTAAACCCTCTGGTGAAAAAATTGGAAAACAAAAAAAAAGAGAAATGACTAAAAGGCAAAAGAAAAAGTGAAGAAAGTCATACATACATATTAAAAAAAAAGAGAGAGAGGTCCCATTGTCATCTATGTTGTCTCCTTCAGAGGGCATTTAATCAACAAAAAAGTTCCAACCACTGTATAAAAACACTAATGATTCATCATCTTGAATCCCAAAGCTGTGTGTTTTCTTTTCTTACACACAACCAAACTTTCACTTTCTTTCCAGTTTCCACTCATCTTCTCTTATTTGTGTATCACTGACTGTGTCTTATATAACCTAAGTTCTCTTACTAATCAGTTATATTACAACTTTGGGTCCAACCTAACATACTTCTTTAGGTTCTCATTCATTTGTTCTAAACCGTCCTTGCGAGTGTTTCTCCCTCTTCAAGAAAAAATAGAGATACTAAAGAGGGCTCTCTGCACTTTCTCATCTTATATACCTTCCTCTAAATTAAGCAGCCAATTCTATGTATTTCTCCTAAGGGACTATTAACAAAACAGGCACTTTTGAACTCCTTTCTTTCGAAGTAAGAACGTAATACAGTAACAATGTACAACTCAGCAAAAAACTACTATTCATGACATTATTACCCTTCACCATATTGACCAGGTAGAGGAGTGGATTGGTCAAACTCTTAATGTGCTACATGCAACATCTGGAGGATATACATCAATCCTTTCGTCACCTTCAACAAGCACGCAACAACAAACACAGAACGATGGTGAATTACGAATCCCTAGTGATATAAAACTAAACCCTAAGACAAGAACTAGACAACCCACATAGATCAATATAAAGTTTCGATTTCCATAAGAACTAGTTTACTGTCAAATATCTCAATTAATTACTAAAATATCACCAAATTATTCATATTCAAACGATCAATCAAGAAAACATAATTTCCCTTTTAGCTACCAGTTCTAGCAAAACCCAGAAATTTTCAATTATCCAATACTTTAGCTAATCGATTGCATCTTTGAATAGAAGATTGAGGAGTTTCACATGTTTTCGGAGGCAAAAACTGGAATGACAAGAACAAAAAGAACATTAAAGGAGAGGAAGAAGAAGCATGCGACGATGATGGATATGGAGGCGTCTTCAACCATGATTTCAGATCCATGATGACAAACATCATGCGCTTCCCAATTCACAATTGCAGAAGCCATTGTTGGCTTGTTTCCTCCGATGTATTCGCTTGTCGGCGACGAGAATTAATCGGCAATCTCAGAGTGTGGATCGTCTTTTGTGTCGGCGAAGTTTATTTGGTGAAGAAGAAAACATTATTGACATAAATGTTGTAAGGACAAAGTAGACATTTTACAACCAATCCATACCTGTTTTGGAAAGGTTTTGGAAAAGTGCCTAAAATGAAAGGGTACACTAAAAATAGTGCCTTTTTCTAATTAACTCTTCTCCTAAACCGTAAAAGCGTATTTAGGCCGAGTCCCATTATTTCAGTTGTCAGAATTTAAACCATGCACCATGGAAGAACAAGCCTGGGTCTTTTCAAGGTATATGGCTACCCTCACAAAACTAATATTACCAGATTATAACTGAGCCTACCAGATTATAACTGAGCCTGTAAAGCTGTTAAAAATGCATGATATATTGAGAGAGCCATGAAATGAACAACAGCGTGGAAACATGAAAAGGTCAAACTCCTACCCGATATATATACCATGAAAAGATTTTGTTATTTACATATGGCCTGTTTCCAACCGATGCACCTTGGAAACATAAAAATGCCTAGACTGGTGAGTTCAAACCCTCAGAAAACCAAAACACTAAGTCCTAGGAGAGCCAAATCAATTACAAGTGCAGCTAGAGATTTCGTCCTGCTCAAAATTCTGGCCTTCGTCTCCCATATATTTTACTAAGCAACCTAGTTCAAACGGCGGTTACAAGGCTACGCCTAGGGAATTCAACGAGTAGTCTACACCATAAACAGATATTTGAGATCGTCTACTGTTAGACGTTTCGCAGAGCTTCCACCATGATCTTCACCAAAGGCAGATGCAACCATTTTCCTTTTCTCTTCCTGATAAAAAGAAAATATGACAGGAAATTGATATGCTCGTTTTGTCAAAATTCATAAGTCTTCATATTCCACCCATAAAAAAGGGAACCCACAATGAGCTGATAGAGTTTGGAGATTACCTGAAGAGCCAAAATTCTATCCTCGACTGTATCTTTTACAGTCATGCGAGTTACAGTCACTGGCCGAGTTTGTCCAATACGATGTGCACGATCAATAGCCTGGTCTTCGGTTGTTGGATTCCACCAAAGATCCAAGAGAATAACATGACATGCAGCTATCATATTCAACCCAAGGTTTCCAGCTTTTAGAGACATCAGCATCACCTTTACCTGTTAGTAAAACTTGCGCTTTTAGAGAGCTTCAATATTAATACTCCATGAACATTCCATGCTTCAGTGAAACGAAAAGTAAATTGTTTTAGAAAACATATCTAAAATATTCACATCACTTACATCTGGATTCTTGCTGAATTCTTTAACCGCCCTGTCTCTTGCTGCAAGACTCATTGTTCCATCTAATCTTCTGAATACTATACCATTTTCAAGAAGACACACCTCAACCAAGTCAAGCATACCAGTCCACTGAGAAAATATTATCGTCTTTATGCCCCCCTGGCTAGGTGAAGATGAGTGTAGACTCATTGGCTCTATAATGGTAACATCATCATCATCATATGGCTGTAGCTGTGAGGAAGAAGGCATTTGACCACGCTGTGCTGAGTTTGTACTATCTTGTCTGGAAAGCGACTGCAGGATATCAAGGACAGCTTTGATTTTTGATGAACTAAACTCACTTTCTAGAAAAACTGATCTATCGAGACGTTTATCATGCGAAGTGCTACAGCCCAAATCATCAGTAATGCAATTTCTAAGGGAAGATTCAGAGAAAACAACATCATGCACAAGCTGTTGTCTGCATCTCGGTACAGGGCACATGTTCTCATCCCCGGTCATATAATCTAAAACACATTGATAGCAATATACATGGCCACATAGCGTAACAACAGGGTTTTCTGGTGGATCCTGCAAATAAAAATGGAATAAAAAAAAATATAAGTCAAGATACTGAGGACAAGACGTCAAAACCTATGAACTAGAGAATAGTGAGCCAGAGGACATGCTATATCTCAATTACTCTGTACTTACATCACAGACATAGCAGATGGCAGATGATGACTCTACTAAGCGATTGATCAGTCTTATTCGAGTTTCCATCGGGAGTCTTCTAGCTGCTTCTTCTGATACTTTACCAACAGGATCCGAGTTATATCCTTTCACAAGTTGTGGGTGGTCGCAAGCTTGTCGTAGTCGCAAAAGCATCAGAAGAATATTTGCGTAGTTTTGACTCAAAGTTCCCGCAGCAGCATAGGCCTGCAGAGAAAATGAATTATCATCTAATCGGGTACAGCCACTAGTCTCTGCTCTCGCATGCGCAGAAATATTTAATTGACAACAAAAAGAAAATAAAAAATTAAGAAACATGTGCATCAACTCCAATAAAACTGTTGCATAACAAGGTCATATTTATGAAACATTTAGTTGCTACAAACGTATCTTCTTTTCCAAAAAAGTGCACATCAACTGTAAAACAAGCATGAGCAGATAATTTGTAGAGGAAGAAAAGGAAAACCTTGAATTGTGAACGTGAATCCGCTTCAAGCTTCGTGTAGAAAGACCGCTCCTCCACTGAAAACTCAACCTTGTTCAAATTAATTTTCTTTGGAGGTAGATCAATTATGGGTTTTCCACCAAGCAATGTTCCTATAGATAGCAGAACAGTAAACAATTATCAGAAACCATCAATTGCAGCACAACTACGTAAGAACATAAAAGGAGCAAAGTAAAAATCTGCCATTGAACAGATAATATCAAAATACAAATGAAAAAGAAAAATACACAGATGTGAAGACCAAATTGGTGTTTAATTAATCACTAAAGTACCTTTGGTACGGCGCAGCATTATAGTTTTTAGAACAGCTTGAAGCTTCTTGTAACCTTGGGGAGTATCCCTGGAAATTGGAACCTTGATTGTATTGTAAAATGACTTGTATGCTGCATATGGTTCATATCTAAGAAACCTGAAATAGCTAAACAAATCGTCAACCGTATTTTGTATTGGTGTTCCAGACAGACACCACCTCATTTTGGCTCGAAGAGTGCAACAGGCTTTTGCCACTTGTGTTCTATGATTCTTTATTGTCTGAGCTTCATCCAGTACTATTCTGAACCACCCAACTTTTGCTATAGCACCGCAATCAGGCTCAGAAGAAGAACTGTCAGTGCCTTTTCTACCTCTTTTTTTACTCTTCTTATTGATATTGACCGTGCCTTTTCGTTTCTTACTGTTGGAGAAGCCAGAGGCAATACCATTTTTTTCGATATTTTTTTCATCGTTCTCATCGTCATCCACCAAGGGCTTGTTGGGAGCTTCATTTGTAACAATAGCGTAAGTTGTCACAACCACATCGTATTCTGCCAATTCATTAGGATCTTTGGTTCTATTTCCACCATGGTAGACTAACACAGAAAGTTTGGATTCTTCAGAAACCTTCTCATCGAGTTCTCTAGCCCACTGCCTTACAACACTCGCTGGACAAACAATTAATGTACCAGCAGCTGGTCTCTTCCACTTGAATGCCCGTGTTGAGGAATTTACTTCTATATCTTTGGCTTTCTCCATATTAGAACTGCCATTCTCATCATTACCACCACTGTTGCTTGAAACCTTGAGCTCTAGTTTTACATGACTACCACTTTCATGTTTTGCATTATCTGACTCATCATCAGCATCCAGGACCAATGCCTCAGTTTCTTGATTTCTTAAATTTTTGGACTTCAATTGTGCTTCAAACTTTTGCTTTAGGATAAGAGCAATCGTCGAGACCGTCTTACCAAGTCCCTGCAGAATAGACGTTACATAGTTCAAGGTAAATATCAATGTAACAGACTGACACCATCACAGATAATTATAGGTCAAGGTAGTCCATCAAATATTCAAATGTGACCTGATCATCTGCTAGTATGCCTCCCGAACAGTGCACACTTCTTGTTTCCTTCTGAAACATCCATGCCAATGCAATTTTCTGAAGAACAGTACCATTTAGTAAACAAACCAATACCAACTGCCAATAAATGGGAATTTAAATATGCTAATACCTGATGCCTCATAAGAGGAACTGAAAGAGTACCAGGATGTAGATCGATTTCAGTCACGGGTTGATTCAAATCCTGCAGGATTAAAGTACTTGATTATCAAAATTGCACTTAAAACAATACACCAGCTTTCAATCGAAAAATAAATGCTACATAGAAAGTCAATGATCCAAATTATCATTATTTCTCCAAATTGAGAATTAAGAATGCAGCTCATTGCATTATTAATTTAAGATACTGAGTATAAGATTGAGTAGATTCAGCATGGTAGTAATGACTCAAGCATCAATTAGACATACAGACGCTTATAGAATGTGTAATGACCCAAGAATCTCTGACAAATATTTAACAAAAAGAAATGAGCCTTGATTAAAAAAAAAAGAAGGAAAAACGCCAGCTTTAGAGTCCTTTATTGCTCCATATTCACTATTACAATCATATCAACAGATTCAAAAGCCCCAGCAAACTCTAAAGCTGGTACACGGCGCAACAATAACTTAGACATGCAAGCACAGAAGAACAGCCAAGTGTTGAAGTCCATTTAAAAAAAAAGGTTGGATTGAGGACGAATACCTGTAGTGCGACCTGATAGACGAGCCTCTCATCGATCTCAGCATTCCTATCTTCATCAATGCCAAACCTGTGCACTGCATCACTTGAACCAGCATGATGCAAAACAGAAGCAGATGTTCCAGGTATCACTGATGGAGGCAGGATCCTAACCCCATTTATACCTCGATGAATTCCTATCTCAGCATGGGCTCCACTATTATGATCACCAAAGCTACTCTTATTGCGTACAGGTGACAGAGCTGGACGACTATAATCCTCACTAAAGCGACTCCTACTAGCATTACTTGTATTGCTAGCGCCATGCGTAGAAGGAATGAAAGGGGAATTAAAAGAGGGTGGAAGGGTCCTTCTGAGAGCTTGCTGAGACGACAATGTCTCATAATCAGCATCAAAAGCATTGGAAATTCTCGAGTTAACAGTGCTCCCATTCCCTGAAAAAAACTTAGAGACTCCAGGCCGAGAAGTTTCACTTGAGGCACCATTGCGAGAAGCCTGATTTGTATGTTCAGCGGCCTGAGCATAACTATTCCCTGTAAAAGGCTTAGAGACTCCAGGCCGAGAAGTTTCACTTGAGGCACCATCGCGAGAAGCCTGATTTACATCTTCACCAGTCTTAGCCTGACTATTCCCTGTACAAGGCTTAGAGACTCCAGGCCAAGAGGCAACACTTAAGGCACCATTGCGAGGAGCCTGATTTGTATCTTCAGCTGCCTTAGCCAGTCTATTCCCTGTAAAAGGCATAGAGACTCCAGGCAGAGAGGCAACACTTAAGGCACCACTGCGAGAAGCCTGATTTGTATCTTCAGCGGCCTTAGCCAGACTATTCCCAGTAAAAGGCTTAGAGACTCCAGGCCGAGAGGCAGCACTTAAGGCACCATTTTGCGGATCCTGATTAGTATTTCCAGCCCTAGCATGACTATCCACTGTAGGTGAGATCATTCGAGGAAAGGTTCTCCTGGCTGCAAGGAAAAAAACACAGCATCATTGTCGATTACTCCATAAAGCTACCAAAACAAACATCAAAAGAAAGACAGAAATTGACAAAGGATATGTCAAAAATGTATACCAGCTAGCCATGGGGGATCTGTCCTGGTTTGAGGCGGTGGCCTAACAGGCCTAATTACCTCCTCATCACTATCACTACCTGAACTAATTTCAATAGCAGAATCCATCATAAGATCAGTCTCCCCAGAAGAATCAGCACTAGGTCTCTTCAGAAACCTAATCAGCCTGCGAAGCAAGAGAATGGTGTTACTCTCCAAATGAAAACACTACAAATCCATTACGTAATCAGACGATCTGTAGCTATCTATATACACCCACCATTTGAACTAAGATTCGAAACCAATGCTTCCTAAACCGTAAAAGAAAAAAATCAACAAACAGCATCACAAACAAGTTAGATTTTAGAAATGGTGCAAGGTTGATGACTTGGCACTATTCTCGAAATGGACGAGACGAACGAAACAATCGCATGAAACAAAACCCTATTCACTGTAATCGAAACTATTTTAGCAACCCCCGAAAGCAAAAAAAAACACCATAGATGGAAACAATCAAGCAATGGCGGGGGATTTGGAGACGTAAAACCCTACACGATGAAGTAAAAAGTAAGAATAGTAAAAACAGAAACACAAAAGTAGAAGAGGAAGAAGAAACAGAGCTCGAATCGGAAAATATGGCGGAAATGGAGGGAAGGAAACAGTACCAAGGAAGAAGCGAGTTAGAGAAGAAGGACGCCACTGTTCATTAGGGCTTTTTTTTTTTCTTTTTTTAGCTCAGAACCCGTCACAAATGTTGCGGTTACGACGATGAAAGAGATGGATGATAATGATGAGTAAAACCCCTCTCGTACACTTTCAATTTCTCAATGTAAAAAACTAAAAGCCAAATTATTCACTTCCTCGGCCCACAGTGACGTCTCTCGGCCCATCTTATATTTCAACGAAACAATCTCTCCACCAATCTAATATTTCCACGTCAGTAATTTCGTGAAATATATTTGTTTTTACTCGAACCAGTCGTATGATAAATTCAATTCTCTTATACTCTCAGTGCTTTTTAATCGCAACCCTTGTTTGTTTGTTACCGCCAAATGTTATAGCAAATACGGAAAGAACACCAAAACAAACAAAATTTCAGAATAATGAACGAGGAGCGAAACGACTTCGTTTTCGTTTCTTAATTGAAAGGGAACTGATACATCGCTCTCGGAAGTTTCACGAGATCTTTAAAGCAAAGGAAGTGAAAACAAAAACCTCATTTGCTTCTTCTTTCTTTATAAAAATGCTCTTGGAAACAAATCCTAAACCTCAGAATAAACAACACAACGTTACCCCTTTGTTTTGTTCAACTTCGCCAAAAAAAGCCTAAACTGAAATATAGAATAAATTTAAGAGAAATCCTGCAGCTGAAACCAACTACTGCTGCAATCTCTGCTCTGTGCGCCAGGCTTATTTGTCTGCGGTTTTTGTCCCGTCCTTTAACCAACTGTTAATCCAAAACCAAACCTATAGTCCTTCTTCTTATGGTCCAGCTGAAACATAACATAACGAAACCAGAGTTTTAAAAAGGCAAATCCATTTACTTACATAGAGAATATATGTAACTAGAGATTGACCATTTTGTACCTCTGCAGACAGAAGAAAATTGAGTCCCATGCTCAATCTTTCTTCAAGGAGAGCGGATGCAACTCCGTTGGAATCGATTTTCCCCCGCACACGAGCCTGAATCATACCCAGATTATTAGAGCCATACAGATTTCAAATGTTCTTTTGTTGCTTGTTTTCAATTCAATTACAGTCCAGTAATGTTACTTGCCTGTCTAAGAATGTAGTCATACCCAACACTAGCTGTAACATCTCTTGAAAAGTAGTTGTACATGAAATCAGTGGCAAGTGAAACCTGATAATGTGTCATGATTCATGAAAAAGAATGAATATGTCATGATTTATATCATAAGGTTTGAATATGCAATCAAATGAAAACAGTACATCACCTTATCTGAAATCTTCTGAACATAGTTCATAACAACAGCACCCGTGCTAGCAACTTGTGCAGAAGCAACCTGTCAAGAATAGTTTTTAAATGCTATGGGTATATAAACTGAAAGTGTCCACCAATAAAAACACTGATTTACTTTCTACAAAGTGAGGTTTCAAACCTCTCAGTTTATAAATAGCTTGAAACAAAAAGAGAAGTGATAAACTGTGAGCTGTCTAATAAATTAACTGAGAAGAAGCACTACCATTTTATCTGTCTCGTATCTAGCAGCATATCCTATTCCCGACTTTCGAGGCACACCAGCCCAGAAAACTTCACCACCCAAGGATAGACGGTTTGTAACACTCTGTATAAATATCATGATAGTGTAATGAATAGAAAGAACCAATACACAGGCAGATAAATGATAAACTTTACTAAAACCAATACACTAAGCATGACCAAAAGCATGAAGTTTAATAGAACGACTCGAGGTTCTTCTCTCATCTATGTCACAGCTAGATGAATAAAGACAAACAGTACAAGGTTAAACATTCAGAGATGGGTAGTAAACTTTCTTTCCCTATCTATTTGACTACACACTGAGAAATCTACAAAGTTTCAGCAGTAGCACGGGACAAGTCCAACTTACCTGGATATAAGTTGCTCCAATTAGAGCACTGTTTCCAAGCTGAAGCTGAGCTCTGTAGTCTGATCCCTACATAAATGTGAGAAAAAAAAGACTTCAGAAATTCAATGAACCAAATATTATAATCAAGGTGTATCAAAAAGTTCTGAAATTATTAAATATAGAGATTTTTCTTACCATGTAATCAAAGTTGAACATTGCATGTGAAAGATGTGGCTCATTTGTTATCTGGTAAAGGAAGCAAACAAAGATGACAACCACAATGTGCATAGTATGGATGTAATATCCAGCTACATCATAGACAACATACCTGAGCATTAGCCTTCACAACTAACTTATCAGTTAAATCCGCTTTCACTCTCGCAGTCATTCTACCATCAGTCATTACCCTTCCAATGAGCATCAACTGTATATTTACTGTCATTTTCATCTCTTTCATGACAATAAGAACATGAAAGCAGCTGATCACCAAAAATATTACCTTTGGGTCAAAATAATTGGCACCAAACTCATAATTGGCTGTTGGGATTTTGATCGTTTCAGAGGACTGAGAAGGAACTTCGGTTGGCCCCATCATTACACTGTGTAAAAATCATGCTTAGTGAAGAACACTAATAGAAGTATGTCTTTCCCAATAGCTGTAAACATAATCGTATTACCTGTGACTGAGAGAAAACTTTTGATTCAATGCCTTGGTAAAGTCGAAGCGTAAGCCCTCAAAATTGTCTGCCTTTAAAGACACTGCAAAGCAAAATCAAACCAGTTAAAAACCAAGAAAAGCAAAATCTAAATGCTAAAACCTGACATCAAAACAGTAAGAAACCATTAGGGGAGACACTCACGATTTCCATATGACTTCAAACATAAAAAAAAAAGCAGCATGAATAAGTTTGAAAGATTAGGAGCAGCTAATAACAATTCACAAACTTTCTGTGGCTACAAGCTGTTCTTATCTAGTTCTACTTGATTATTGGATTTCCCAAACTATGAGGTAAATCACGGTGAACAAATTCTAATCCGGATCAATTGAGCATTCTTAATCATATTATATCGTTTTCTACTGTATGTAAATCTCTAAGACCTTGAAACGATTCATGGGGAACAATTAAAAAAGATAGTACCCTTAAGTGGTCGACTTTAACTAATACAAACAGAAGAGAGCTAAATCTCTTAAAGGACAATACAATGCACTCAAAGCCACACTCATTTTATCTCCAGATCAAAACAAAAACCAACGAATTGAGATATCCGGGAATACAAATGAAATCCTAATGAAAGCTAAGTAAAGAAGACGAAACAAAATTCTAGATCGGAAAAAAAAGAAGGGGTATAGGATATACTGAACTGAAAGCTTCACGGTGGAGTTCCTCATAGGGAACAGGACAAGGGAGGTTCGAGTAATCAACTTTCTCATCGACTTTAGTCTTAGCATCGACTTGTGCCGCCGTAAGAGGTGGTAGAAGATCCGCCATCGCCGCCGCTACCGCCTATGAAATATCCTTTACGGCGACAGTAGAAATGGGAAGAAAAAAGGAAGGGAGAAGAGTAAGAGAGGAGAAGTAAGGGTTTTCTTCAGCTTAGAGGCGGAGTCTTACAAGGGTTTTGTAATCGTACCAGTGCTGGTTTTCTCCGGTTCAGTCTTAATTCCTAACCGTGTCGAAAACCGCTAATTTAATTCCAACCTCTAAAGTGGCTGGCTTAAACTAAAGTGTGTCATTCTTCTGCATCCAAGCAATTAAAACTAGTTACCAGATTTAGCATCTAGTTTGTGGAAGTGTGTGGAACTGAAAGCTACATCAAAGCCAAGGTTAGATTTATTTATTCGTTATTTACCATACATGATGACGTAATGTATGACAACAGAATGGTATTCTATGATGACTGTATATAGACAACATTTAATTCTTCATTTTTGTTTCCTCTTATGTCCATTTCCAATGAAGTAAGCTTTCCAATGAACACTCTTCATTCTTGTGTATATTCTTATGGGTTTTTTTTTTTTTTTTTTGAAAAATGTATATTCTTATGTTCATTTCCAATGAAGTAAGCTTTTCATTTGTGGCCTTGAATTTGGTTATCACAGTAATCTCAAAACAAAAGAGAAGATAAGCTTTTTCATTTGTGGCCTTGAATCGGTAAACAAAGCCTCCTAACATGTGATTTGGAAATATGATTTTGGTTTATGTGTACGGTAATGCCAGTCTTCCACTGGTTAATCGTTGTGTACGCTGTTTACAGTTTAGGCAGTACAGCATAATGCAAATAATGATTAGGAGAACACATGATAAACCAATACAATTGATAAGTAAGATGACAATGACTAGTAGAACCGAGAGACAACAACCTAAAACGTGACCGAAAGGTTTAATATTTTACACATACCAATGCCAAGAAGACTTGATATACATACATCGATTCCTTTATTAATCTCTTATTAAAAATTTATCTATTAAGGATGTGGAAGTTGTGAACAATAAATCCTATTAGCGCACAAGACCCAAGTTCAAGATACCCCAAGAAACATCAGGCCAAGATTGATCCTGTGACTTCATGAGAAGAACTCTAACCCAAGCAATCCAACCTTCCCATGACATCCTCTTGTCCCAAGGACTTCCCCATTGCAACAGCAGAAGAAGCCCTTTCTCTGCCTCTCCCTCTGCTTCTTTAAATCTCTTCTTTCCCAAATACACTTGACTCAACAACACATGTGGCTCTCCCACAAATGGGTTCTTCTCAATACACCCCAACAATCTCTCCTCTGCTCTCTCCAAGTACCCTTCTTTGCTTGTGTCACTGCTCACAACTTCCCAGTACATCTCCCTTGCTTCTATCTGCTCTTTTGCATCCAATACCTGTCGGTCCATTACATATGTGGTTATCAAGAACTCAACAAGCTTAACTATATCCTTGATAACAACTGAAAATCTTGAGACTGGTCTTTGATAATGAAGTAATTACTACCAAGAATCACTCTTTTTTTATTACCTTCATATCACTAAAGTACATAAACCATAGGAGACACAATCCAAGACAACACAATGATCTAGACATGAAACCAATCAGCTCACTAGGTACAACTCAAGGTTCAGTTAAATTCTTAATAGCAACCAAAACACTCAGTCTATGTTCGTCGTTTTCATCTTTTTTTCTCATTATGAATTGTGAAAGCTACTAAATTAATTAAAGAAGATACAACCCTAGACACAGCAACATGATGATCATGACATGAAAATTACATAAAAGACACCACTTTAAGTATCTGGATCGTACCTTGGTACAGAAGCTGAAAACTGGAGGCAACACGAGGTCTATGTCCTCATCTCTCTCCTTTCTCAGCACAAGTCCAGAACCAGAAACTCTTCTCCTCTGCTCCATCAAAATCTCCTCTTCTCTCACAATCAAACTATAAATGGCTCCCATTCTCGAATTCGAATTCATCCACAGCCCAGGCTTCCCATTCCCAGGCCACAACGCAGTCACGTTATTCCCTCTAAACTCAAGTCTCCCATCATGGTTACAGAAGAGCTCATCTTGAAACCCAAAAAGCTGATCACTAAAATCGGCCATAGTCATCAGCAAGAAAACAGCAACAACCCTCCTCGAAACAATGATTTCTTCACCTGTCTTGATGTGCTTCACAGCAACACCATTCTCAGGAACCAAACCATTCATCTTCTTCCTCCACTCTTCATCTCCATCAAAAACCCCTTTCTCCTTGGCGTTCCTCAACGAAACCTCGGAACAGCGGAGATGCTCAACGAGCTCACGATCAGAGTACTTAAACAAAAGATCATCGTGAATCAGAGTTTGTCTTGGCACAACGCAGAAAAGATGGATCAACGACTCGGCAGCTTCACCGACATGATCACGGACAACGTCACGACCTGTAGAAGGATCGAAAATGGCTAAATTGACATAGGAATTGGAATAAGCAGAGTGGAATAGGCCGCAGAGGCAGACGGATTCAGGAGCTTTCCATAGCTTGAGGATCTTGTAGATGTCGATCAAGTGATCTAAGAAGCTACCGTGTTTGTGCCAACACTCGCCGGCACCGACGCTTTTGAGGACGGCGATCAACGACGGAAGTTTGGGATCGATCTTCTCAAGCTCTCCTCGGAGAAAGGGGCGGGCTGATTCCAGAAGAACGGCGTCGTTTGGGGATGGAGATGATGATGAACCCATTTCGTCTCTATCACACTCTCTTCTTCTATTGATGATGATCGCATGGAGGTTAAATAAACCTTTTTATTTTATTTTATATTTATTTTAAGCAATTAAGGAAAAAACTCAACCAAAACAAATGACTATTACTAAATATGACTGATTATTAAAACATTGACCAGGCTAATATTTTATGATTTATTAGATGACCCAGTACCCCGTCGATTTTGAGCCCAACACAACGACACTACTCAATACTCATAGTGCTTCACTGTTTTGTACTAATAAAAAGGATAAACTGACTCTGCAACTTTATAATCTTTAGACAAGTTCTTTTATGAGTTTAGCACATTACGTGTCGTGTCATATAATGAACATGGTAGTTTTTATGGTTAAGATTAGTTAATTAATAGTTACATATTAAAAACCAAATGAGATCTTGCAATTGTTAAACAGGATTTGGAATTCTTTCCACCACATCATGTGGCTGCTTAAATTAACATCAACCAACCACTACAAGCCTACAGCTCTTTCCATTACTTTCCAAAAACTCGGATCAAAGTTCTGAAAGGATCCACAACAAAAGCCGAACGAACAAACATGTATTGATTTACTTTTGGCGATACTGTCCCACTTGTAACGATGTTTAATTATTTTTAGAATTAATGTCATCTTAACAACAACAAAATGCAGAGGAAACAGTGCAAGTAGTGAACAATGGAAAAAAAAAAACATACAGAAGAAAGATTGGGGGAATAAAAAGGAAGAAGCAGAGACTCAAAACGACTAAAACTATTACCAAAGTGTTGGACTTATAAATTTCACATGGAAAATGTAACCTAGAGGACAAAAATAATGGAAGTAAGTGAAACCCATCAGTAGATAATATATATAATTATATATTAACCTTTTCAACACTGAACATATTGCCAATGGTAGCAATGGCTTCATCATCATTTATCATCACACCAAACATAATAGTGCGTGATTCTTCATAGGAAATACGGAACTCCACTCCTTGGCCCCCTCATTTGATTGTTCTCTTCCGTCTCTGTAAAGAACTTCACTTCCCTTTCCTGGTTATACAAAACATTTCATAACAATTTCATCATTAACACATTCACAACCCAGAGACCTACAATCCATAAACAAAAAGAAGCTATTCGAATCTTATTTCACATGCTTACTATATCTAAATTTCTTTCTATTATCCTCCTAATACCATTACTTAAAAAAGTATATAGCATACATACAAGTGTGTCCGTGTTTAAAAGAGAAGATACGAGTATTCAATTAAAGAGATGGCTCACCATGTTGTCATTGAAACTCAATATAGACGCAACATTTCCACAGCGGTAACAGTAATTAGGTGCAGACCACACCTTCACAAATAAACAAAAAATGAACATCAGTAAGAAGAGTTCCCAAAATTCCAGTATAAAGATGTTAATTAATTAGAAGCAGGACACTTACAGTTACAAGGCCTTTATCTTGGAACATGTACTTAAGACCTTCTTGTACAAGCTGGTGGGCGCGGCATACTAGATCAAGCTTGTTGATATGGTTAAACTGCACAAATAGCCAAAACCAAATATCAGAGATGTGAAGTAAATTTATTAGCTACAGTAGCAATTCAATATGTTGAGAGGAAAAACATACCTCAGTGGTAACCCTGGATCCGAAAAGCCAACCAGCTCCACGTGGACTAACTGCCCATGTTTCAATATCTTCAGGATCGCTCCACATAAGATCGCAAAAGGGCCCTTCATGAGGAATCTCGCAATTTCGATCGACCAGTCTTATCTAGAGCCCACAATAAGATGTAGAGTGAGTGGGTGACCTTATTAACATGCTGAGCTAGAAGCATACTCGACAGGTGAAAGCCAAAAACATTAAAATCAGAGTTTAACCTGATCTATTGTCCGAACATCTGGGGAAAGGCCACCATGAACACATAAAACCTAGACGACACAAACATTATTTTAGTATAGCATAAAGACAACTTATGTGTTGTCAACGATAATGCCAAGCTGCAATAACAAAACAACTCACTGTGCCATCTATAATAGCTGACAGGGTAAGATAGTCAAAAACATCTGTGCAATATCGCCATGCATTAGCGTTACCATACTTCCTTTGGCATTCATCATAGAATCCATACACCTACATAACATAAATGGCTCTGTGTTACAACGGGATATCCAATATCGACAATCCATGTAAAATATTTTAATCATCTTATCCACAGATTCAAGGAATACATATCTGAACTGCACTAAGAGGTGTAATTGTAATAATAAAATTTAGCAAAGGTCTTTCAGGAGTGCGTTAAAAGAAAATTATCACTAAACTTTCTGCCTTAACAGCGTATGTAACTCTGAATCAACTAAGAGATTCAACAGTTTAGGTATGAAGGTACAACAGAGCTATAAGGAGAACACACATGTTAAAAAAAAAAATACTGGCACTATACGAAGCACCTTCTGAAATTAGCTTTCCAAACTCGAATCACATAAAATGCATCTTAGCTAACTTGACATGGCATTGCCACATGTACAAAATCAGAACTTTCAAAGCCCTGCTATAACAACGAGAAGATAATCAAAATTACTTACCTCCTAGTACTGCATGAAAAGCACAATAACAGATATTATAGGAGCAGGATAACACATACCTGCGTTAGCTGCCTACTTTCATGGTTTCCACGCAAAAGTGTTATATTGGCTGGATATCTACACATTAGAATACAAAAGAATAAGAAAACAACTTCGTGCCCACAGCAAAGAAAGCTAGAAATATATATTCCCCAACAAGCTCAGAAAGAACAATGTATTTTACACCTAAAATAGCATTCTCAAGACTCAAGAGAACATAAATGTAGTGAAAGAGTATACAAATCTTAGGTATCTTTCCAAAATCTAAGAACAGACAATTGTGAGATGCTTGAGAAGCAATTACATTCTCGAATGAACTATTTGAATGTAATATGTCAATGGGCATTTCTTTTCCAAGGTAAGATATACAATTGTTAATTGCTTAATAAACTATAAATTTGTACTGAGCACAATTTAAAACACGAACAACAGTATATCAAAGGCAAGATTTAATGATAACAGGAGCCTCCGAACATTTATGAACAACTTACCTAGCTTTAAGAAGTAAAAGAATACTGAAGACTTCAAGGCTGTTGTAACCTCTATCCACAAAGTCGCCCTGAGAATTTCCCACAGCAGATCATGATTGCATTCATATGAATATGACATACGAGACACCACAAAAAGAAAAACTCTATACCATAAATATGTAATTTGTCTCTGGAACATGACCTCCAGTCTGAAAAAGCTTCATTAGATCATGAAACTGGCCATGGATATCACCACAGACGGTGACAGGACTGTTTACAGGCTGTACGTTTGACTCCTCAATCAGAATTTCTTTCACCTGTAACATTATAAACACCTTCTGGTTAATCGTGATGCATCTTGGCTAATCTATAATCAGTTGCTGAAAAAGGAGAACATAAAATTGTATCTGAATTACAAAATCTGATACATCCAAGGTTGAAAAGAAAGAAAAAAAAACCCTAAAATGACTACACAGAGGGTAAAGACCAGATTCGAAATCACGTTCCATCAAGGTATACAGATACACACAAGTAGAGAAAAGCAGAAGAAGCTCTAAGCCTCAATCGTCTCAGACAAGAAATGGGGTTTGCCGGTACTTTAATCCATTCAGAAGAGAAATCAAAAGAAGAAGATGGCGTACATATTCGCAGAGAAGCTGAAGCTCATCCTCAGAGAGATGTTGACCATCTTTAACCTTCGAAATCCATTGATCCAAATCCATTGCTCCACTGCCTCTCTATATACCTCTGACTAGTAAGAACTTAACCTCTTTGGTTCGATTGCGATAGCGACTTTTCTGGGAAAAAAGAAGAATCGAATCGAATCAAGATAGATCTACCAGAGAATCTGCGACTTCGTTAGGGTTACGGAAGAGGAAGAGATGAAAATGAGAGAATGAGAGGTTCGAGTTCCACAAAATGACATACGGCAAAGGGGAAAAAAAAGATCTCGACCCAAATCCCAGATCGATCTCCGCCGCTTCAAACGCAAATCACACTTTTGCGTTTGATTTTTTCGATAAAACGCAATTTTTGATGAACCAGCGTCTTATTGCAAAAACTACGATTGAGATCCCTTTTAATTTTGAGAATTACGATAAGTGCCAAAAACTTTATGATCTTGCGTCTTAACAACCCTCATTGAACAATAACACACAAAAAAACAGCCGTGAGACTCATATTCCGATACAAAGGACGTCACTTTTCTGAATTTTCAGTCTCCTAAATGTACATAATCCAACAATTTACAAAGGAATGAATTTGAATCTATATACCAATCCAAACCAAAAGAATCATCAATCAGTAACTTTTTTTTGTATATAGAGTTAAAAGGACCACAAAAAAAGTTAGCAACAACAACACTTCGTGGAAGTTGCTATGAAGAATGGTTGCAGCAAGAAAGGACAAAGTTGTCCATGAAATGGTTGAGCTCAGCTGTATAGAGTTCTGGGTTACTTCGGAAATGGTCTACATGAGGTGAAGATATGAAGTTGCAAGCACGGACCTCGTGTCCTGCTTTCCTCTGCTCTACAATGAATGATTCAACTTGTTCCGCGGGTATAACTCTATCTGCAGAGCTGTAAATGTATAGTTGTGGACATCTTGGTTGTGCTGATGATAAAGTGTCTAGAACATCTGCGAGTCTCCTGTAAATAATATGATTACATGAGTTTGTTACTGTGAAACCATATGATTTGGGTGAAGGAATGTGTGATGAAAGGCGGGAAATTTTATATAGAGCTTGTTACCTGTTTACTTTGGGAAGATTTAAAATCACCGCGAAGAACTTTTCAAGTACCAAAAGCAAAGCAGTTTCTGTTGCGGCAGGTTTTGGTTGGGAGAAGTTTATACCATTAGTTTGTGTTCCTACGTTTGACTCATATGATGAGCTTGCAGATCCTTTAGTGGCTACGCTGTTCTTCTTCAAGAAAGCAGCTGAGAAACCCGATGCCCATACCTGTTTTTACAAGCCAAATTAGTATCCAGAAAGTTCTAACCAATAGTGCACATATCTAAAAAGAAAAGCACCCCAGTGTCTAACAAATCATGTATCCAAGAATAATGCTTTTAGTCAAGTTCGTAAATAAATCTTCTTTGACAGCTAGATAACCGTGTAAAAATAGCTATGAATGCAAGAACCATTGCTTACCGTTGGATCTGCAGCAGCAACAGGAGCTGAATCCACTATGCAACCTTTAACCTTTCCCATCAATGATGAATCTTGCTTCTGAAACTTTTCCAAAATGGCTCCATATCTGCAACAGATGGGAAATTCGCTAAGTGAAATGTGAAACCGCAGTGTAAACACACGAAAAAACTCTGGCGATATTAGAACTCACGTTAACCACCCGGTGTTGCTGAAGGTGTGAAAGACGAGGTTTTTCTTTTGCTCTTCATCTAACCAATCAGCCAAGTGATTAACCAGCGACTCGATGTTTTTCTCTGCTTTTCCTCCAACTTGATAACTCATAATCTCATTCATGGGAAGAGTAAAAGTGATGACATGGTAACCCCTTGAAGTATACCAATCCGCATATTTTTTGAGATGCTTCTGCTTTGATCCAAGCCATCCAAGCAAAACCACAACAGTTCTATTCTTCTCCAATGCACAGCTCGAGGACCCCGACAGATCGACTGCACCAGTCTGAGGCAAATGCCATCTATAGGAAACATCAGGAACCACAAGCGAGGCCCCAATCGTGAATGTCGATGGTTTTGATGCCTTAGCCAATTCTGCAGACTGATAAGCGCTACGAAGAGCGGACAAAGAAGTAATAGAAGGAGTGAGATTACAGCACGGATAAGGAGCTAGGAGATCAACATTTGGTACAGGAACACGAATCCTCGACAAAAAAGATAAATCCGCAAGCTTGGAGGCTGAGACTTGAGAAGCCCACAAGAAGCTTTCATCCTGAACAGAACCAGACACTGAAGTAGCAGCGATCTGCTGTGATTCAGAACCTCGAACTAGTGATCTAAGAGACGAGAACTTCTCAGAGACATCTGCAGAAACAGAAGCTGCAATGACAGCAGCAGCAGCAACAAGTGGCCGTTGGATGATCCCAGACAAAGAACCCATAATTGGCCAAAATCAATATCAATATACTCCAAAATCTAGCAGCATACCAAATCTCACTTAATAGAAAACAAGCTCCTGTTATATAAGAAGAGATAGAATTGTAATAAGTATGGACACACACACATGTTTAAAACGCGTGAAAGACTCCAAGATTGTAGAGGGACGTGGTGTAAATTACCTGGAAGCTTCTTCTAACTCGGGCTGTCAAAACTTGACAGCCCGACCTCTAATGGACTAAAGACTTGTCAGAGCCAAATCTCTCTATCTCTCCCACGAAAAAAAAAACACTTCTCTGCAAGAAATAGTTTAAAGTCAAAACATCCAAATTAGTTTAAATCAGTATTAAAGCTTAACAATGAATAAAAATATTCCTATGATGTTGACACAAAAGGGTTAAAACAAAAAACTTTTATCTTCTCTTATATTTGTTCTCTCTAAAATCATGAGGATCCCACCTCTCCAACAATTTGAAAAAAAGGATGAATCTTTTAAATAGAATAGTTTCTTCTCCTCTCCCAAAAATAATGAGAGAAACGATTAACCAATTAGAACACTTTTTCCTCCCCAAAATTAACACCCAGTTTTGGAGACGGTGGAGAGATTAAATCCCCAATTTTGCAAAGGACACACGACGACAAATGAAGAAACAGTTTGATTGAGAAAGACGAAAGCCCAGAACACAAAACCAAAAAAAAAAACTTCAAAATCAATCGCACATAGATCTCTCTCCGAGCGTAACGCGGCCTGGCAATGGTGACCTTGTAAGACAATGATTAACCGACGGATATAACCAAAAACTCATTTTCTCCCCCCAGAATTTCGAAACCAAGGATTAATTGCGTACGAGAAATTCCAGAAGAGATTATAATAAATCATCATAAAATTGAAGAAACAGGGAATAATAAAACAAAAACAAAAAATAGGGAGGGGCAAGGAAGAGTAATGTTTATGAATCGAAGCAAGGAGACGAACCAAAAAAAAAAAAAAAACTCACCAGAGAGAGAGAGACACGGGAAGAGGGAAATAAGAGGGAGAGATGAAATTTGTGTGTTTAGGGCGAAAGAGGAAGAAATACAATTATTAAATACCCAAAAAAAAATATTACATTAGAGAATTTTATATACTGTCTTCAACTACCAAAAAAAAAACTAAAAGAATCGAACAAGAGAAAATCAACTATTTGTAGACAAAAAAATTATTAGCTGCAAAAAAAGAAAACACATACTCCTAATTTCCTAATTTAAAAAAAGTATCTTATTTCCTAATTTCTATTTTTGATTTTTTTCCTTTTATTATATTGAATACTATTTTTTTGTATAAACTTTGTGGATCCGGAGGCTAATAAACTGTTTATATATGATAGAATTCTATTCCTAGGCAATGACATTTTTTCCAAATTATGCATGCAAGACACTATTGGCTGTGTTTTCGATTTTTAAAATTGTTTTATTATAGATGTAATCATGTAAATATTACAAAACAAAAAAAAAGATTAAAACAAGACCGTGTGAAACAGACCACTTGGGACTAGGAGAGTTGAACACATGTCCGGACGGTGGTGGTGCAAACTGCAATGCAAAGAAACTACTTTGCTATTCAAAGAATATTCGATTTGGATATCCAAATTAAAGATGAAACTTCAAAACCATAAGTGTTATGTATGATCGATTCGAGAGGAATCTTGGTTTTACATTATGCCAAAATTTGTCCCCACTTCTCCATGACTTTTGGAAAATGTGTTAATAAAACGAATTTTATTCCGAGTACCACAAAGTGTTTGGATTCGTCTCTAATTAATCCTCTCTTTGTATGTAGTTGCTTTCTTTCTTTCTTTCTTTGAATTATAAGTATTATCTTTGGCGTCTAATTGATTCCAAAGTAAACATTTTCGTCGATAATGACATTATTGTATTTATTCTTGAGTGAAGGCATTATTGAACTAATATATAATTCGCATCATCTGAATTAAGCCACTACTAGATTGCTGAATCTACACAAAAAGAATCCAATTCTGTTTTTATTATTTTCCATGGAGTACAAACAATTATTCTCCAAAGTTGGTAAAACTATCAAATTTCGAAGTTCTTCAATCAAATGTATATATTCAAATACCATAATGATTATTAGTTTTGATCTTTTAAAGGTACACTCCATGTTTTGCTACGTATGTACACTTCAAGCGTGGAAGCAAACTCTTTTCACCCATAGCTTAAGCTAAACAGTGTACAAACATTGTTTCCCTATTTTAATCATAGTATCGCATTTTTGATTAATTTGTAAGCACTGCAGCATTATAACTCCCCAAATCGCAGCACTTGTTGTCATAGATATATATATATTTTTAAAAACAAAACAAAACAAAATTTACAAACTTAAATTAAGATTTTTTTTTTTGTATAATCACAGAATCCTTCACATTGAGAGGCAGAAAACGAGGTTGTCTCACGAACATCATCAACTAACTACTTTACCAGATAAAACCCGCCAAATCCTTAATCAGCAAACGACCAAAGTTTGCCTCTAAGAACAACCTTCCCCTCCATCAGTAGATTCAATACCTAGTGCTATTCCTCCTTCCCCACCACTTCCTCTTCACTTTCTCCATCGAACCACTACTCTCTTCGCTCCCCAGCTTGCTCAGTATCAGTTTCGTTTCCCTCAATCTCCCTCCATAGTCCTTTTTCCATGTCTCAAACATCTGTTTTAGCCTCCTCAGCTCTCTGTCTGGGTTCAAGTTTGCTTCCACCTGACCAGATTTCACTTCCACCAAGAACTTTACGTCATCACCAAACACTTGAGCTCTCTGTTCGAATTCTTCTGCTAACCGCCCTATCACGCTCAGACCCGCACTCATAGGC